GGAGACTGGGCTGAGACCACCGGAGCAGCCCGGAGACCAGCGGCAAGGGTAGGTGGAATTGCTGTTTCCCCTCCCCTGCATTCGGGACTGCTGGTGGGCTCCCCAGTGGGTGGAGAGACCTGCGGACACCAGCCCAGAGACTGCCGCTGCCTGCCAACGGTGAGCCTGTAGCAGACGTGGCACCAGGTTCCTAACTTCCTCCGGGCACCTCCGTGTGCACGGACCCGAGCCGCGAGGCAGGCGCCATATTGCCTCCTCCCCTCCGCCGACCCTACCCGCGGCTGCCCAGAGAGACAATACAGCCACCAGCCGGAGGCACCTCCAGGGAACGGGACCTTCCCGTTTGGGACCCCGCCCGCCCTCCAGGTGCTGCTGGCACCGGTGTTCCAGGAAAACGTGCCGACTCAGAGGCTGAGAGACATAGACCCAGCTTGGGCTCCCTGTGGGTGAATTAGACCGGAAATCCTCTCCCTGGTGGAATACAGTTTGAACTCTGGGACCCAGAGGTCGGACCTGCAGACCAGATCCCCGTGCACCGAGGGCTAGCAATTATCAGGGGGGGAAATGGGCATTTATTGAAACCTTAAAATCTGTACCCCCATAATATGCCAAAATAAAAAAAAATTAAAAAAAAAAAGATATTATAATAACAGTCTCATTGGTAATGAGAAAAAGGCAATTGTGCAGCCATCAGTTCTACTCAAATGACAATGTCCTACCATAGCAAAGGGCACGGAGAACATAAAACTACAGTCCTTCTCATCCATGCTGATGGGACTGTAAACTGGAACAGCCTCTTTGGAAAAGAGCTTGCCATCATCCTATGACCCAGGCAACTCCACTCTTAGGTATGTACCCTACGAAATGTGGCTTGTTGGAACCAAAATACCTGCAACGACTGTTCATAATAGCCAAAGCATGGAAACAACCCGAGTGTCCCCCATGGTGGATTGGTTAAATAAATGATGTCACAGGCACGCAACAGATACTACAGAAAACAGAAAGTACTACACTGGAGCTGTACACAACAGCATGAATGCATCTGAAAAGCGTAATGGGGAGCAAAAGCAGTCAGTCACACACTGAATGGTACACTTACACACTTACAACAGATGAATTGTATGGTATATAAGTTATATCGTAAGATTTTTTAAAATGTCATTCACAAAAGAATGCTTTAAGTTTCCATTTACATGAAATTAAAAAATAAGAAAGACAAACTATTAATATATTAGTTGATAACACCACAGGGAAAACAAGGAAGTGAACACTTACAAGAGTGAAGATGAGCCGGGCGCGGTGGCTCACGCCTGTAATCCTAGCACTCTGGGAGGCTGAGGCGGGCGGATTGCTCGAGGTCAGGAGTTCGAAACCAGCCTGAGCAAGAGCGAGACCCCGTCTCTACTATAAATAGAAAGAAATTAATTGGCCAACTAATATATATATAAAATTAGCCAGGCATGGTGGCGCATGCCTGTAGTCCCAGCTACTCGGGAGGCTGAGGCAGCAGGATTGCTTGAGCCCAGGAGTTTGAGGTTGCTGTGAGCTAGGCTAACGCCACGGCACTCACTCTAGCCTGGGCAACAAAGCGAGACTCTGTCTCAAAAAAAAAAAAAAAAAAAACAGTGAAGATGACTCTGGGGCAGAGAGGAGACTCTCATCAGGAGAGAGCCCTTTCTTGACCTGGGAGGCCATTTCCCAGGTCTGGCTAGGGGAATTTACTGCCTGTTTATGTATTATACCATCCTCTGCATATGTTTCCCAAAACAAAGGTGATGACAGTAATAATAATAAAACTATAAACCACTAAAAAAAATGTGACTGGTTATAAGATCTTCATTAGGAAATAAACTAAACTGCAAATTAAACAATTGTCTGCTTGCTAGTTTATTTTGCTCATCTGTACCTGCATTTACCGGGAGTTTTACTCCTGGGTCTCGTGGAGGCTTTATGCCACTCTCTTGGAATCTCGCTGTGTAGAGCGAAAGTTAACCGGGGCATTCGGGCATACAGCCTGGCCTTCTCTATTTCTTTAAGTTCTTTTATGGAATATTGTTTTCCTATAAGAAAATAAAAAATCTAAATCAACACTCTTAAAGATAATTCCAGTTGCTCTTGGAGTAGGAAACCACTTGACAATTAGCAGTCTCGAAAAATGAAGCCCAGTGATCACAAAGTACCTGTCTTATACTGAAGACTAGTTCTCGTCTCTTCATCCAACTCTCGCTGTCTTTGAAACAATGGATCAAAAAGTGGTGACACTGTAACCTACAAGAAAAATGAGACTCTTCGAGGCTGCAAGTATAGTTTGTATTAAACTTTAAAAATCTGTCCTAATCATTCAGGTAATGGTCTTGCTGTATGCCAAAGCAGCGGAGAATAAAGACCCATGAATAATGTCACTCCAGGGACCAGTGGAAGGGTAAATAGCACCCACCTCAAATGAGCATCTCTCAGAGAGCCTAAATGACTGAACGGGTGGAGGAAGAAACATGCTTCTGCCCAGGGTTCCACTGTATCACTGCATCAGTCAGTAAGTATTTGTGATGCCACTGTGCGCCACATCCAGATTAGGACCTGTCCTCGAGGATCTCTCGGTCTAGAACAGCCTAGTTATATACAATGGCAATCTAATCATGAGGAGTCCGCCCAGACCCTTTAGGAGCATGCGGCAGTGCTCCTGACCAGGCCTTGGGGGAAGAACACCTTCTGGGGAGGCTGACTGGTCTTTAAGGACTTGTGAGAACAGAAGGGCAGGTGACCAGAAGTAGGAGTTTGTGTCACAGGGACGTACAGAGGTTATAGAGAAAGTTTTTGCTTCCTACCCCTCCTGATTATAAGACTTAGGCCGGGTGCAGAGGCTCACACTTGTAATCCTAGCACTCTGGGAGACCAGAGTGGGAAGATCACTTGAGGTCAGGAGTTCAAGACCAGCCTGAGCAAGAGCGAGACCCTGTCTCTACTGAAAATAGAAAAATTAGCCAGGCATGGTAGTGTGCGCCTATAATCCCAGTTACTCAGGAGGCTGAAGCAGGAGGATCGCTTGAGCCCAGGAGTTTGAGGTTGCTGTGAGCTAGGCTGATGCCACAGCAACAGAGTGAAACTCTGTCTCAAAAACAAACAAACGGCGGGGCGTGGTGGCTCACGCCTGTAATCCTAGCACTCTGGGAGGCTGAGGCAGGCGGATTGCTGGAGGTCAGGAGTTCGAAACCAGCCTGAGCAAGAGCGAGACCCCGTCTCTACTATAAATAGAACGAAATTAATTGGCCAACTAATATATATATATAAAATTAGCCGGGCATGGTGGCTCATGCCTGTAGCCCCAGCTACTCGGGAGGCTGAGGCAGTAGGATTGCTTGAGCCCAGGAGTTTGAGGTTGCTGTGAGCTAGGCTGATGCCACGGCACTCACTCTAGCCTGGGCAACAAAGTGAGACTCTGTCTCAAAAAAAAACAAAACAAAAAAACAAACAAACACTGAGATAGGTGGATTGCTCGAGGCCAGGAATTCGAAACCAGCCTGAGCAAGAGCAAGACCTCGTCTCTACTATAAAATAGAAAGAAATTAATTGGCCAACTAACATATATATATAGAAAAAATTAGCTGGGCATGGTGGTACATGTCTGTAGTCCCAGCTACTTGGGAGGCTGAGTCAGGAGGATCGCTTGAGCCCAAGAGTTTGAGGTTGCTGTGAGCTAGGCTGATGCCATGGCACTCACTCTAGCCTGGGCGACAAAGCGAGACTCTGTCTCAAAAAAAAAAATCTGAAGACTAATTATAAGCTCAACTATTAGCTCTTCTGAGCAGCTTTTCCCAACAGTCCTTCCTATACCTCTAGTGGAAAGGTACTGTCTCCTGAGTCCCATGATCCCTGCCCTGACTCATATGATACAAGTGACACACTCCACCACACTCACTGTCCACATCTCTCTCTCCCTCTTGTGCTTTAAGTGTGCTGAATGGGAGTGAATGAATGAATGAATGAATGAGCAAATTATCATACATATGCATGCCTTGTTCACAATGTAAATTTCCTTCAGAGTCCCATAGGAACTTTGAGTTCCCATTCTAAAACTCAGGAGAAATGCTTTTGTGGACTTTTTTAATGAACAGAGAATAACTACAAGACTTCTAAAATGACTAGGTCTTCCCCAACTCCAGAGCTCCAAAGAATAAATAAATATAAGTAATAAACCTACTCTACCTTTCCATAGTTTGGGTTCTTTTTCTTCATATAAAAAGGATCATATACTTCAGGATCATAATATTCTCCAGATATAGTTTCCTTTAGGAAAAAAAATACACTTTAGAGGGAATCACTACATACAGACTGCTTTGCAAGATTCATAAAAGCCAAAATACTGGCCGGGCGCGGTGGCTCACGCCTGTAATCCTAGCTCTCTGGGAGGCCGAGGCGGGCGGATTGCTCGAGGTCAGGAGTTCGAAACCAGCCTGAGCAAGAGCGAGACCCCGTCTCTACTATAAATAGAAAGAAACTAATTGGCCAACTAATATATATAGAAAAAATTAGCCGGGCATGGTGGCTCATGCCTGTAGTCCCAGCTACTTTGGGAGGCTGAGACAGAAGGATCGCTTGAGCCCAGGAGTTTGAGGTTGCTGTGAGCTAGGCTGACCGCCACGGCACTCACTCTAGCCTAGGCAACAACAAAGCGAGACTCTGTCTCAAAAAAAAAAGAGAAAAAAAAAAAGCCAAATACTTCATTCCATTTTTATATAAAAGCATAGCTGCAAAGGGTTAGAAGAAGCCCCAGAAGTAATTTAACTCAGTGAGACTACCACCTTTTGGGAGAAGTAATCATTTAGCTTTAGTCCCAAGTCATCCATGAGCCTTAGTTTGAGAACTTTCTGCTCCATGAGACAGACACTTTTTGATCATTTTAACCACTAGACTTAGATTGAGTTTAAACCTACCTTGTAACTTCCAGATGCAGATACTAGTCTAACTACATTAGCTATAAGTCTTCCTTTTAAACATTTAAAGATTGCATTCCTCCCCACATGTTCTCTTCCTGGGCTAAACACCCTACTTCTTTCTGCTCTTCCTCCTATGAACTGCTGTCAAGATTCCACCCTCTTCTTCCACCTCTTCTAAAGGTTCTGCAACTGGCAAGTCCCCTCCACAGTGTGACATCAGGAGTGACTAAATAAGGACCAGGTAGACCAGGACTTTGATGCTGCCCACTCTAACCTAAGCACAGCCTCTCTCAATACAGCCTGACAGCTCAGACATTTTCTTGGAAGCCAGCTCACATGGTTGACTCACACAGAATTTACTATCATTGCAAATCACTTGGATTTCAACACATGCCATTTTTAAGGTGTGGCCTCCCCATCCTACACTTGTGCAATCACATTTCTGGACACAACTGTAAGAATTTGCACTTTGGTTTCAAAGAGACCTGGATTCAATCTTGAGCACTGCCTCCTGGAGTGTTTAGGAAGAAGTATTTATGCCATATATTCAGAAATTTTGCTCCGTAAATATACTTAAAATGCTCTAATACAGCTAAACTGCTCTGAATCACTAGTAAATGTTAATACCTGGGGTGGGGTGCTGGCGGGATCCTACAGTACACACCTAAAGCCAACAAATTTAAATTTGGTACTGCAAACAGGTGGCCTAAATTCCAAAAGAGAGTCCTGACCTCAAAACTGAAACAAAAAGAATCTTCAAAAAGAAACTAAATTTTATTGTTTTGTAAAAGCAAACAGAGGAACAGAGTATAGAAACTGTTAGTCCCTACATCTAATGGTCAGCTAACTCAGCAACCATCAAAGCCATTCTCCCTTGCCCACTTCTACTACAGAGGTTAGAAAGCTGCACAATCTCTTTCCTGGCCCTGCTTATAGCTACAACTTGCTGTGTGAGCCAGTTTTGGCCAAAGAGACCTAAGGGAGAGTTGGCTAGGGACTTCTGGGGACTCTTTTTGCTTTCTGATCAAAGGAGCAGGATAAGAGAAGAGCCCCCTGGCACCATTCCTGGCCCCTTCGTCCTAATTTGAATGCAGACCTACTACTGGGAGCTGTACAGGCAGCTGTGAAAATGACAGGGATAAATTGAAAATATTGAGGATTGCGGACTAGAACAATAGAAAAAAACTTACATTGTTATGCTGCCAGATCCCACCATGAGACCACCCACCCCTCAATTTCTTGTTAGGTAAATAATAAATAAATGCTTTATGATTTAAGGCACTGTTATTCTATTAACATTTACCTAAAAGCATTCCTGATAAATCCAGTTCCAGACTCCTATCCCTTCCACTTGAAACTCCAGGCTTAAGAAAGCAGTATTACAGTTCAAGTAATTCATCTTAAATACAAAAATAAGCTTGGGACTATTTGTATAACCAGTAAAATATTCAGATTATACTTTATTTAAACAAAAACAAATTCTCTGTACCGTTTTACTTGTGTGCTTTAAATAATATTCAAAATTCTCTTGTTTCATTTTTTCAAGCCCTCTATATGAAATTACTTTTTCCATAATTCTCTGCTGAAGAGGCTCTGCAACATTTATCACCCATTTTTTATACAACAACTCTTTTCTTCTTTTCTTAGAAGTATCCAGATGCTGAAAATATTCATCCAATCTCTAACGAAGTGATACAAAGAAAATAAATTATTAAGAAATTGTTCATTTATTGTCATTTATATAAGGAAGAAAAAACACTTGTCCCCACTCATAACCTCTCAGCCACATTCAGGTTACAAAGTCCTAGTATCAGATAAGTTGAAGCACAGAATATTTCATTACATGACAATAAATTTCATTTATTGTCATTTAAATAAGGAAGAAAAAACACTTGTCCCCACTCATAACCTCTCAGCCACATTCAGATTACAAAGTCCTAGTATCAGATAAGTTGAAGCACAGAATGAAGTTCATTAAGAGAACCTGAGACCACAGAGCAGGAAGAACTCAAAGTTCTAAACCACGACTGCCTTCAGATTAAACTGTACCTAACTCATGAAATCCTTGGTTTTTTTTAAGGATTTCATAGCATTCCAGGTCACTCAGTCCACGTCTAGCTTTCATTGTCAGGAAAGTCTGTGACAAAATTGGTAGAGTAGAAAAAGCACTAGACTTGGTTTGATACCTCTCTCTGATCTATAAAGGAGGGTAATCCCACCTACCTCTTTGGATGCTCAAATGGGAATATATGTACATTTCTGTCATAAATTGTAAATATAAATGTCAAAGTACTACAACGCCCCCCTTCTCATTGAAATTAAACCCCTCTTAAACTTATTGATTTCACAGTGACTATCAGTTACTGCTTGGTTATTAACCTTAAATACTAATTGGTTTCTGGAGGTTTTATATATCTCCACTACAACGTGGGAATATATGAGAATGAGGCAAGTTTTAGTAGGAAAGAATTTCTATTCAGAACCAGGACAAAGTTAGAATAATTTCCCAGGGCCCGGCCTCTTTCTTTCGTTGCAGATAGCGCACACGCAAACACGGTGAACATTCTGAAAACCCGCTGGACTTTCTGTAAGAAATGTGGCAAGCGCCAACCCCACAAAGTGACACAGTACAAGAAGGGCAAGGATTCTCTGTATGCCCAGGGAAAGCGGCATTATGATAGGAAGTAGAGTGGCTATGGTGGGCAGACTAAGCGGATTTTCCGGAAAAAGGCTAAAACTACATAGAAGATTGTGCTGAGGCTTGAGTGTGTTGAGCCCAACTGCAGATCTAAGAGAATGCTGGCTATTAAGAGATGCAAGCCAGCCTGAGCAAGAGCAAGACCCCGTCTCTACAAAAAAAAAAAAAAAAAAAAAAGAGATGCAAGCATTTTGAACTGGGAGGAGATAAGAAGAGAAAGGGCCAAGTGATCCAGTGCTAAGCATCTTTTGTTTCATTATGAAGACAATAAAATCCTGAGGTTATGTTAATTACTTCATTTGGTTGGTCTTTTGGGAGGGAATAAACTAGAGTCATCAATAAAATCACCCTTGCGGGGAAATTTATGGTTAAAAAAAAGAACAATTTCCCAGATCCCTTCAAGACAGATCCAAGTAGGATTTAGGACTTCTTAGTGATCCTGCAAGGAGGTGGCACGATCTCAGTTCTACATAGTATTATACAAACAAGTATTCATTTTGCAGAGGAGCCTCATTCTCCCTGCAAAATGAGGCTCTTTGACATGGTGACATCACTCTTGTTCCCCTACAAAACACAGTCTATATCCAATTCTTACCTTCACAACATAATTTTCTCTAAATAATATTGCATGTACAGCTTCATCAATATTTTCTCTAGCCAATACCTAAAATTACAGAATTCAATATTAGGATATAAATCCTGAAGAAATTAACTAGAATGACAAAACAGTGTATTTTACCAATAATTTTAGTATAAATCTAATATCTGTATCTTAAAGTATATTTTGTAAGTTTTTATTATGGAAAATTTCAAAAACTACTCTCCATGAACCCCTCACCCATGTTTAACAATTATCAACTCAGAGTCAATCTTATTTCATCTAAATTCCTATCATTTTTCAGCCCTCCACCCAGACAAACCCCTGATGTCATATCATTAAATCCTATTTTTTTAAAGTACAGAGCAGCTTACTAATTAAAGGCATTCTCTATAAAATGAATCCTCTTTTCATTCATATATTCATTCATTAGGGATGTTTTAAATGGCCCTTGAAGTTTCCTGCCTTCTCCTAGGTGTCTTCATAAGTCAAAGCTACAGAAAGTTTGATTTAGTTCAACTGGTCCAGAGTCTCAGGGCTAGTTAGTGGCAGCTCCTGGTCTCCTACAGATACTGCCTCACACCTAGAAACTGTTTCCAGTATGAGTTTGGGTAAAGCTGATGCCCTGAAATCCCCGCTTTACGGCTTTTTCAGTTAGAATGCTATGAACTGATCTACAGCTTTTGTTCTTACAGAACTTAAGTAGGAACAAATGAAAAGGCAATAAAATTCCAGGATCTGGTAGAGATATTCTATTACCTAAAGAAGTTATCTCTAGTGAAAAATGACACAGGTTCTTAGAACTATGTTATTTATTCTGTCTCTGGCTTTTCTTTCTGTTCTACCACACTGAATGCATTAAAACAAACTCCAAACTCAAATACCAAATCTGTGAAAGAGAAATCTCAAAAAGAGTTGCATTTTTACCCATATATTTAATAGCTTCACATGAAATCTAAAATGATATTCAAACAGCTACACAGGTCTTTTCCAAAACAAAAATCTCTTTATAATATAAACAGAATCTTGCTTTAAAAACTTCTCAGACTTATTTTAAGATGGCAACTGAAAAAGTATGTAAAATAAACATGTTTCCTGATTCTACGATATAATTTTAGAATCAATCTATTTATTTAAAGAGGTAGAAAACGTACATGTTTACAAGCATCTTGGGAAATTTTTTTTTTTACATAGTCTAGTAAGATTGTTAGCAAATGTTATAAACACTTGAGGTACTGTGTCAGATTCTCAATCTTTTTTTGTTTAGATTTTGTCTTTGATGGCTCTTTCGTCCTAATTTTGCCAGAAGATATAAGGAAGATGTTATGGTTTGTAGCAGCTCTCTGAAATCCACAGCATTCTGTGCACACATGTACCCGAATTGTCTCACTACTCTGCTACCATGACAAAAGGGGCAAAATAAAGGAAATTTCCAAGAGTTGTTTGTTTGTTTACAGCAAGGCAAATCACTGGGTCATACAAAGCAATGAAATTTTCTTTATGAGAAAATCATTCCCACATGCTGAAGTGTAAAGAACTGGCTTGTCCCACAGGACGAGCTGCAGGTCCCTGCTTTCACCTGCTCGCCCGCCCTCAGCCTGGCGACTAGGAACACTCCTGGGCAAACCTGCGGCCTTCTGATTTTGAAATCGTTCTTTTTTAAGCACCAAAGAAGGCAAGAAAAGCTTCATCTTTCTCTGCTGCACCCGTTTTAATAGAAGGATTTGTTCTGTAACATTTGGATTCAGTCAAAAGGCTGCACTTAAGGACCTAAGGCCGCAGCTTCCGCACCGATTCTGGGAATACAAGCGTGATTAAGGCAACATATTAATAGTTCCTAAACTCAAGGGTCATGTCCCATCACCAGTACGACGTCGCAAAGTGCCACGTTATTTTACCTCCATTAAAGAAACTGACTCGGGCTCCGGCCATGCTTTTAATTTTTCTCGCCCGAAGTGTCCATCATAGTTCACAGTTTTCGTGGAAGCCATGGGTAGCAGAAGCCCTGAGGGGAGAAAGAGGGAACTGAGGAGGCTTGGTCGGACGGTTGTCCTCGCGGCCGCGGGGCCTGTGGGCTCAGACAGCGGTTCGGACCCTCGCCTGGCCCTCCCTGGCGCAGCCGAGTCAGACCGCGGAGCCAGGACTCTCCGGAGGGGTGGCCGCCCCTCCCGAGCTGCCGCGGCCGGGCCGGGAGCCGGGGTGGAACGCGGCCCGCCTGGGCGCGCCGGCCGCGCCTCAGCCCGGGTCACAGCCCTCACGGGGCGAGGTCGCCGCCCGGGCCCCACCTGGCCGAGGGGTCGCCGCCGGGCCAGCTGCGGGATGGTCGCCGGCGCGCGCTCCGCCCCGGTCGGCTCTGCTCGGGCGGCGCCGCGGCCGCGTCTGGGGCTGGAGCGTCAGGCGCGTGCGGGACGCGAGGCCGCGCGGTCTCTTGGCCGCAGAGAGCCGCGGGGTGCGGGCCGCGCCATCGCTACGCCAGTGGGACGGTAACGCCAACGTCCCGGGAATTGGAAGGGAACAATTTTGTTTCACAAGTTAAAACGCCGCGTTTCAGCTTAGCCCGCGTAACCTCGACCGTCGCTACGCGTCCCCCCGCCAGGCCGCAGGCGGCGCGCGGGCCTGCAACCGCCCGATCCCCAGCCACCCTCCGTTCGGAGTTTTTTAAACAAATCGAGGGCAGGTACGCCAATACGAAAGACAATTTACCGTTTGCTTGTAAGGTGGAGGGCTAGAACTTACAGAGGAATGATTTTGAGCGAAGTATCCGACTACGTTTTGATACTTCCCATTGGACGGCATAGTTGAAACAGATGGATTTTGTTGGATTCATATTTGAAAAATCCAGCTATTAAAAACATTTGATGGAAAGCAATATGGAGATATCTTAAAGCGATACAAGTGATTCTACCATTTGATCCAGCAATCCCATTGCTGGGCATCTACCCAAATGATCCAATGACACTCTACAAAAAAGACACCTGCACTCGAATGTTTATAGCAGCACAATTCATAATTGCAAGGCTGTGGAAACAGCCCAAGTGCCCATCAATCCAAGAATGGATTAATAAAATGTGGTATATGTATACCATGGAGTACTATTCAGCTCTAAGAAACAATGGTGACATAGCACACCTTATATTTTCCTGGTTAGAGCTGGAACCCATACTACTAAGTGAAGTATCCCAAGAATGGAAAAACAAGCACCACATATACTCACCAGCAAACTGGTATTAACTGAGTAGCACCTAAATGGTCACATAGGTACTACAGTAATAGGATATTGGGCAGGTGGGAGGAGGGAGGCGGGTATATACATACATAATGAGTGAGATGTGCACCATCTGGGGGATGGTCATGATGGAGACTCAGACTTGTGGGGGGTGGGGGGGAAAGGGCATTTATTGAAACCTTAAAATCTGTACCCCCATAATATGCCGAAATAAAAAAAAAAACAAAAAAAAAAACAAAAACATTTGAGACAATAAGGAAAATATGAAACACTGACTAAATATTTAATGATATCTAGGAATTACTGTTAATATTTTAAGGTACCATAAATGGACTGTGATGTTTTTACAAAGGAAATACATACTGAAATATTAATGTATAAAAATGACACGTGAGATTTGCTTCAAAGTAATCCAGTAGGTGAAAGGTTAGGACTGAGCAGGATTATGGATTAAACAAGACTGGGGTTCATATACTTTTCTCTCTACTATGTATATGATTGAAATTTTCCATAATAAAAATTTCTTTACAAATTCACTCAATAATTAACCTCAGCCTTTCCTTCCTGAGACTCAGCGGCGCAAACAACTTTTGTTTACCTGTTTAAATTCAAATTTCTTACTAGAGACAAGAGGGGAATTGATTAAATATTTTCAAAGGAGACAAAACTGACTGGTAGGGGGAAAGCACGTGGGACTCGCAGGACTCAAGGCAGGATTTGAACTGCTTCAAGTGCAGTTATGGGACAACTGTGACCTCTAGCAACCTCTTCTCAACTTGAAAAAGATACCTGCCTAATACAACCTATAGTTTCCCAAGCAACTTTACCTGCATATTTAGTTGATTTGATCAACAGTTAATCAAGATGTGCAAGCTAATAATTGAGCATTTATTATGTTCTACTAAATCCAACAAACCTGAGGAACATTTCTTGCTCAGGTTGAGGTTAAGCAACTTGCCCAAAGTTACCAAGCAATTAAATGCCAAAATTTAAATGCAGGTCTTTCTAACTCAAACATATGCAGTCTTTATGCTGTGGTGCCTAGTCACTAACTAAATATATTTTTGTTAATGTTCTATTAGTCCTCGATTACCTAAACAGCTTTAAACATCATTTGTAAAAACTGAAGAAATTATTGTATTTATATTACTTCTACCTTCTCTTTCCTTAACAATTTGTGTTAGTATTCACAACACTTAAATTCTGTCTCATAACCTTTGTTTCAGTCTGTCTCACAGTTAATAGATTCAATGTTCACTGTCAGTTCTTTTGCTATTAATAATATTCCTTTAGTTCTTGCATATTTAAATGGGTCTTTTGCTTCTATACTATGAAAATTGTCAAAATCAAAATGGAGTCACTAATGTTAAGAAAACTCTGACAGCTGGGTGGGGTGGCTCACTCCTTTAGTCCCAGCTACTCAGGAGGCTGAGGTGGATCACTTGAACCCAGGGGCTGAGGTGGCAGTGAGCTATGATCAAGATACTGCACTCCATTCTGGTGACAGAACAAGACCCTGTCTCTTAAAAAAATCTAGTTTTCACCTGGAACCATGTGTTGATTGGGGGTGAGAGACTGGGAGACTGGATAACTGTCATGGTAGAATAATGTAAAAAGTATGGAATGAGAGAGAAATATGGAATGAGAGAGAAAAATAGTTAAAGCAAGAAAATAAAAAGCTCAGATGCCAGAATGCTGGAGTCAAGGCATAAAAATACAGGGCCACCATTTTTAATAAATCCCATTCTGTCTGTAGCCCTCAAATTCATAAACTGGTCTTTTTTTGATGGTTTTTTTTTTTTTTTTTTGAGGACAGGGTCTTGCTCTGCTGCCCAGGCTAGAGTGCAGTGGGCCAATCATAGCTCACTGCAGCCTCAAACTCCTGGGTTCAAGCAATCCTCCTGCCTCAGCCTCCCCAGCAGCTAGAACTACAGGTGCATGCCACCACACCTGGCTAATTTTTCTTGTTTTTTATTTATAGAGCGATGATCTCACTATGTTGCTTAGGCTGGTCTTAAACTCCTCGCCTCATGTCATCCTCTGCCTTGGCCTCCCAAAGTACTGGAATTACAGGTGTGACCCAGGGCACCCGGCCCATAAATTGATCTTGTAAGTCACTGAATTGAAAGTCCAGTTGGATTAACAATGCTGCCAGTCTTTTATATGGAAGCTAGAGCATTGACTAGGAAAGAGGGGGCTCTTGGCAATTATATATGTGCAGGGAACAGACAGAACTAAAGAACTCAGACTCCACCAACTCCTTTAAAAAGGTTCTGGTGTCCCCTTTGCTTAAGGAAAACAGAATTCTGCTCTCCTGTGCTCTATGTCCACTATGTCTTCCTGTGACCAGGACTCAAACTCAACATGTTTAGAATCAGAATCAGCAAGTGAGTAATCTATAACTAAACTGAGTTTTTAAATTTTCTAAAGAATTTGAAAGTTTGAAGAATCAGGGGAAGATATGTAGGTATGGATCTTAAGGGTGCATGATCAAAGGGTGCATATATTAATTTAGGAACAAACCAAATGAATTGAGATGGGCACTCAGTAAGGTAGCTATAATTATTTTTATTGCATCTATTAGGAATATTTTGTAACTTTTGGGGAAAATACTTTTGCAGTAACTGTCAATACATAGTATTGTCATTGCTTAATGATCACAGACATTGAATTTAAAAATCAAATAAAGTTTGTTGCAGATGCTTTTCTTAGAGACAGAACGATTCTTAAGAGCCTTCTTTGTTCTTCACCATGAATGATTCCTGCTAGCAGATGTCTTTCTCCGAAGTAGCCTTGTTCTATGTACCCTTTCTCCAGTCAAGGATCAGGATGTGTGCTTCTTGGTTGCTAAAACCTTTTGAAGGTAACAAAAGAGAAGAGTTGAGTGTGATACAGGGATGAGGGCATCGCAAGAGTAGGAGTTCCCCAGCTAAGTTGAGCTGATCCCCCTGAAGCCTGGTCCTGCCAGAGCTGAGTGACTCATCTTGCAGGGAGGGTCTCCACCTAACACTCTTACTTCAACCTTTCCTCTCCCTGTCTGGAGTCAGAAACATGTGGAGATTCAGGGACACAGACACCCTTTTATAGATGGGGTAGGTCACTGATGTGTGATACGACTTGAGGAATCCTATATGGTCTGGGCTTTCAGATGTCAATGTGCTTGGAGTACTCATTTACACTAGCGTTGTTGTGATTTAGAAAATACTAGATTCCTTTTTCCTTTCTTCCTTTCTCTCTAAATCTCCATCCTCCACCTCACTATCAGCTAATGACCTGTTCACTTCATTGAGAAAATGAAAGTAAACTGAGATAAACAATCTTCTTTCACAAAATCCACCATGCTAGCTTCTGCGTCCATGTACTCTGCCTCCCCTCCTCGCACAGTGGATGGGTCGTCCTGCCCTACACTTGAGTCCTGGACCCCACCTCTTCCCCTCCTGAAGGATGCTCCCTTGCTACGATGGCCCCTACCTCTGCAGCATCATCAAATGTCCCTCTCTCCTAGAGCGCTCCCATGGAAACATACATGTTAAATATTCAGCACCTGATAAAAACATCCCCCTGTCCCTACCCTTTCCAGCCCCCATCCCATATCTCTCTGCTCCCTTCATAGCAAAACTCCACAAGAGGATTGCTTATTCCGTCTCCACATCCTCCCTATTCTCTCTTGAACCTACTCTAATCAAGCTTTCATTCCAGCTACTCCACAGTAACCTCAATGATGAAAATCGCCGATTACTTCTAAATCTCACTAAATACAAAGGATAATCCCCTGTCCTCATTTTACTTGTCCTCTTAGCAACACTGCAACATGGTTGATCCTGCCCTCTTTTCTGAAACCCTTTCCTTACTGGGCTTCTGCAATACCACACTCTCCTGCTTCTCTCCCTGCCTCACTAACTACTTGCCTCTCTCATATTCATTCACCGGCTCTGCCTCCATTTCCCAGCCCCTAAATCTGGGAGCTCCGCAGGACTAGCCCTCAGCCCTCTGCTCTGCTAACACTCACTCCCAGGTGATCTCATGGTTTCAAACAGCATCTATACGCAGATGGCTCTGAAATACCTGTCTGCACTCCAGTCTCCCTGAACTCCAGAGTGCTACATCCACCCACCCACTTTATATTTCCTCTTGAGTGTTGAGTAGACTTATAACAAGATACCAAAATGGATCTAATTTTAGTCTCGGTATCTCTTAAGCCCATAGATGCTATGTTCCAAAGTGATGAAGAATGGAGTAGTAGGGTATCTATCAGATGCTGGGAGCCAAGGGTGATCATAAGCAACCGCAGGAAAAGAAATCAGCAGGAGAGAAAGTCCCAGCAACAGGAAATTTCTCTGAAGATGACTTGAAAGTGCCCCATGAGAGAAAACATTAGCTTTAGACCCCTGCCAAGCCTAGAGGATGCTTTACACTAAAATAGATCATCATAAAATTAGTACGTAAGAACTTTCCTGCCCCTCATTACCTCTTTCCTCTCTCCCACTGTTACTCTGAAAAGATCAGAAATCACAGTGGCAAGAAACAAGGATAAGGAATAAAAGAGTGAGATGGGGAGAGAGAAGACTTCTACCTGCTCTTCATTCGGTAGCACCAGCCTTAGCAGCCCCAAACAGAGCAGAGGGACCTCACATGAAGACTGAAATGCTGGTCATTATACCAGGTTGGATGTGTTAATTACTGAACTGTGACTGTCTATAACCAGAAGACTTTTTATTAACAACCCCCAACAGAACAGGTTTAAATGGGCATTTTAATTCAATTGCTTTAAATCATGGCCTACAAACTCTCCTGTATTGTAATGGTGATAGGTGTCTCCAATTTAACCAGCCTGAAATTGGATTATTCCTCACTTTTGCACTTCCTGCCCTCTCAGACTACCCTAGTTCAGTGAATCAGACCCTAATCCACCAGGCCGCTCAGCACTGATTTCCTGCTTTCACTGGTTCCCATGTGGCCTCTGAACAAGCTGTCGGCTCCTTCACTGTCTCCTCCTCTCAATGGCTCCAGCCGCTTAGCTCTCGCCTGGCCTCCCTGCTTCTGCTCTTGCCCCTGTGTCTTCAGTTCTCCGAGCAGCAGCCTTCTTTCTCTTTTTAAAATGTTAATTAGATCATAGTCCTCCCAATTCTTCATCATGGCCTCTAAGCCCCACACCTGCCTCTCCTCAGCCTCCCCTCCTGCCTTTGTCTCCACACTCACCTCACCGGCTCTTTCCTGCTGTTTCCTGAACATGCCAGCCTTTGCCTGTGCCAGCTCACCTGCCCGGACACTTCCTCAGGGCTCTCTGTGTCTCACTCCCTCAGTCCCTCAGGCTGCTGCACAAATGTCGTCGCTTCAGAGAAGTTTTCTCTGACTTCCCTCATCCATCCCCCACCCTCCCGCCCTATTTACCTGTTTTACTTTCCTCACTGCACTGATTACAAACTCACCTGGTGTTAAAGGTTTATTTGGCTGGTTACTGTCTGTCTCCCTCATCAAAATGTAAGCTCCACAAAACGAGAGATTTATGTTTTGTTTCCCACTGTGTCTCCCGCCCTCCCACACTGCCTGCTCAGAGTTGGTGCTTGTTAACAGTTTGAGGAAGAAAGCAAGCAAGCACATGGGAGGATGCCAAAACTTGACAGTAAAAGGTGTTAAAACACAAAATAACGTTTTAATAAATTTTCATGAGTAAATGAAACAAGTAGCTCCCTTATCCTTTAGGGGTAGGAGTGGGGAAATGGAGAGACAAGAGGGAAGAAGGGAAGATTTGATACACTCAGAAGACAGGCTGCTCACATTTCTAACTTTGGGTGTGGGGACTGTGACTTCTCTCATCCACTCCTAAGAGAGGATGACTCCGGAGTGTTGGGACTTAGGGGGTGGAGTAGAGAACGGAAGGGAACCCCCAACTAGACCTGGAAGCAGTGGGCTGGGCTGGATCAGTCAAATGGCCACCAAGTTTAACTGTAGTTACCTTAGGGCGAGAAATCTATGCTCTGTAAACACCTATATTTCTATAAATCTTACATTTTAAATTTAGGGGCTTTATTTCTTCATTTTATTGCACATTTTATTTTCATTACACTGGGCTAGGAGATAAAAGAGTTATGCACCAGTGTATAACAACTGTGCTATTCTGTTGTCTTTCAGCCTGAATCAGAATCCAGATTCTAATTGTCTTTAAGTTCAGGATCTGGATCAGAGTCAGAAGAGGTCAATGCTGCTGCTAGGGGTAGGGGGTGGGGCTGCTGGGACAATGTCAGGAAACAGGCATGGAGCTGACCCTGGAGGGGTCATGTTCCAGGACTCCCGTCTGGGTACCTGAGGACCCTTCATGTGGGTCAGGGTGGGAGGCCGACAGCAGAGCGTCAGAGCAGATGGGGATGGCATGGACCTGGGGCTGCTACTCAGGAGCTGGAAGGACAACCTCATCTGTACAGAGAAGACCTGAAAAGATACTGTCCTTTTAACTGTATCCCAGAACCTTGTGTAGGGCCTCTCCATGAGGACAGGGCCACAGCCGGCTCCTTGGCCTCTGGCTGGCCCTGTGAGTCCTGCATGAGTTCAGCCAACACACCATCTGGAGACAATGGGCTGGCTCTTCTTTCTGCCCCTCTGCTTGGGACATTTGGCAATTGCTTTAAACCGTTCATGGTTATTCTTCTTCAACTCTTCAGATTCAAGCAATTCCCATTCTTTTAGGAAAATCTGGTTCTCCTGGTTACTCCAAGTTTTAATTAACTGGTCTGAAGGTTTTTCTATTTCCTTGGTTTCATTTTCCTACTTAATTTCCTGGGGGTTCTAGTACTTTCAGTCTGAAGTCTCACTTTCTCCATTTTTATTTCTGAGTTTTCTCCTGGGATACTTTTCACTTCAGCCACAGGGCCTAATCCAGGGTTGCAGAAAACAGGCACTTGCTCTGCCCTCAGGGGATCTGGGAGGGTCAGAAGGTGCTGAGTGTGGAAATGTGTTTGCCCCTCTCTGCTTCTTGTAGTCTCTCGATTTTAGAACTTCTTAAATTTTACTACTTTAATTAGGTATTGGTCCTTTTGAAAATTTTCTAACTATCTTGACTGCATTGAGAGGAACAAAACTTTGGGCCTGGCCTTGGTATGCTAAGTGGTAAATGTTAGAGAGATTGGAGAGACAGCAGAAAGAAGGGTGAAAACTCAGGAGCCAGGGAAGTCCTGGACAGTACGGTTCACCCCCCCGAGGGCACCTCCGCTGCACAGCTCCACCAGGTGGCCAGGGGTCAGTCTCCATTCCCTTGGAATAAAGGACACCTACCTCTCAGTTTCTTCTACTCTATCCTCCACCTTTTACTGGGGGGTGACGTGGCGGGTCCACTGCCTCCTTTCCTTTTGGAAGCCTGCCTTACAGAGAAGTTCCCCATTGCTCAGATTTTGCTATCATCAAGTGCTGCCTCTGTGTTACAAAATGGCACTGCCCAGCTCTTACCACGTCCTTGTCTTCATCCCATCCTGCCCTCTGGCTGAGGTTCAAGGAATAAAAGTGCCCTCTGCAGTTGGCCTTTTTGGGACTTGGATTCTTTCCCTCCTGATAACATGGAGGTTCTTTTTCCAGAAAGGATGGCCCTTTGTTTCTGTAGGGAGGAATCAGAAAAGAAGGAATTCTCTTAACTTTCAACTCAGTTGTAGCATTTAATGTTTTTATTTAAGTTTGAAGTCAATAAGTTCTATAAAAATTTACAAATTTTTATGAAAAAGAAACCCAAATAAATAGTATTACCTTGTTGTAGTAATAGTTTCATCTGTAATCTCTTTGCTGCTTAATGAAACAGCTGAGTGAGGGTCTTTTGGAGTGAATGACCCCTTCCCAGATTTGTCCATTTTGCCTTCCTTGGGGAGGTCTAACTGCCAAAGACAAATGTGCCTTCTCCACCCCTGCTGCTATAATGGGATGCTTCCCTAATTTACGCAAGAGAATACAATCTTCCTCTTCCCTCTTCCAGAAGGAGCTCATAGACTTAAGCCTCTAGAATAAAATATAAACCCCTAGCTACTCCAGCAATGCAATATTCTCCTTCATATCTGGGTCACACTCTGCTAGTAGAAGTATTTGAAACAAAATCCCTCTTTTATAGCATTTATAGAAATTAGATAGGATTAAGATGGTGATTATCCTAAAACCTTATCCAAGCAGGTCTGTTTGAGACCGTGGCAGTTAGGAATTGTAGAGGAGCTTACTCCTTTGAATTCTAACATACAAGAGTGATTCTGAATCATTCTATCTTTTGAGGCCTTGGGCTGCAAAGTGAATAGGGCTTAGTTTCAATACTTCCTTCTCTCTCTCAATTTCAGCTCCTAATCAAGAGACAAGCAGCAAACTATTAAACCACGCCTCACCTCAAGGACACTGAGAAGTCCACAATGGCCAGTTCCATCTCTAACAGTCCTAGTTTCTACTTTAAATCACCAAGATCCTCAGGAGGCAATTAGTCATTCTCTCTGCTGGACATGCCAGCGTCAAGGATCTCTAAAAGCCCCCCAGCTTCTGCCACACTGTATTTATTCATCAAATTCTAACCCTGTTCAGGAAACTACTGCAACTTACTTGGGGCACTTATTTTTTTATAGAAAAATTTTTTTATAGAATTTTTAAAATTTTTTTATAGAGATGGGGCCTCACTATGTTGGCCAGGCTGATCTCAAACTTCTGGCCTCAAGCGATCCTTCCACCTCTGCTTCCCAAAGTGCTGAGATTACAGGTGTGAGCTACCATGTCTGACCCCAGCAGTTATTAGAAACAGAAAACTGTGAGATGTGCATCATCTGGGGGATGATCATGCTGGAGACTCAGACTTGTGGGAGGAGGGGGGGAAAGGCCATTTATTGAAACCTTAAAATCTGTACTCCCATAATATGCTGAAATAAAAAAAAAAAAAGAGAAAAAATAAATAAATAAAAAACATTTCCTTTGTTTCAAAAAAAAAAAGAAACAGAAAAATGGCGGTCAACCCCCCCAAAAATGTCATAAAAGTTCATTTTTCTTCCACTTTGCTACATTCTTTTTTTATTATTATCAACAGCCTTACCAAGATATTATTTACATGCCATAAAATTCACCCATTTTAAGCGTATAAGTCAATGGTTTTTAATATACTTACAGAGTTGTATAGCTACATCACTACAATCTAATTTAGGATGTTTCCATCAACCCCAAAACCTCATGCTCATTAACAGTCACTTCCCATTTCCATTCCCACCCCTACCAACCACTATCTACCTTCTGTCTCTAGATACTGGCCTTTTCTGGACATCTCATATAAAAAGAATCATATAACATATACTCTTTTGTGACTGGCTTCCTTCACTGGATAAAAGTTTTGAAGTTCATCCATATTGTGGCATCTATTAGTACTTCTTTCCTTTCAATTGCCAAGTAATATTTTTGGATATAGCACATTTTGTTTATCCTTAAGTCAGCTGATAAACATTTGGATTGCTTCTACATTTTGGCTATTGTGAATGCTGCTGCTATGAACGTTCGTGTACTAGCCTTTGTATGGATATGTATTTTCATTACTCTTGAGTAGAAACCTAGGAGTTCAGTTTCTGGATCACTTGGTAACTTAATGTTTAATTAACAGTTTGAGAAACTGCCAATTGTTTTCCAAAGTTACTGTACCATTTTACGTTTTCTCCAGCGATGTCTGAGGGATCATGTTACTTTTAATCAGATAGTTACAAAAAGGTATGTAGATATGTAGAGAAATCTCTTACTTTTAATTCCATAACTAGTTAATTGAGGTGACTCCCCATGTTACATGCACAGCAGTACGTACCACTTCTCTGCTTGTAACATCTGGGTATAGTAGTGTAACAGCCACTGCACACCACAGCTAGTCCCAAACTCCATTTATACTGCTCCGATTCAATTAAAACTCTCCTAACCTTTAATTTTAGTGCAAGTTCACAATTACTTTCCCTTTCTGTGCATGTTATTTCTGAGTGTGTTAGCTATTTGTTCTTTAAAACCAGAAAAGCCTGAGAGTTGCTGCCTCACCCCGACCCAGCGGTGGGTGACACCAGATCTAGTGCCACAGTGGAGCCCGGTGCCAGCCCCAGTGCTGACGCCACAGGCTGAAAAGAGGGCAGGGGATGGCAACACAGCCACGCACCTTAAAGGAAAGAAGAGCAAAGCTGTGGAGTAACAGGCTTACTTGTGAATAACGGCTGATTCTTCTTCCTGGGATATCAGAAGATGAGGAGGAGTTCTTGCCAAGCATTTCAAATCAAAACTAGTACTGTTAAAATTCACTTTCACTTTTAACCTTTAACAGGATAACATGTGTGAGGATGTTTTGAAAACAATACTAACTTACATTTAATACAGAAATTGTTATATACTGACTGCTATATAGAGAGTCCAAAATAACATCATCACTTCAAACTGGCATACATTCCTAGATGAGATTAGGTTTTGTTTTGTTTCATTTTGTTTGTTTTTGAGACAGGGTCTCACCCTGTCACCCAGATTGGAGTGCATTGGCAGTGGCCTGCCAGATCATAGCTCACTGCAACCTCCAACTCCTGGGCTCAAGCAATCCTCTTGCCTTGGCCTCGCCAAGTGCTGGGATTACCGACATGAGCCACCATACCTGGCTAAAATATATTTGTCTGTCTTTTCAGTTAGCTTTTGTCTTATCCTATATCCAAACTAAATTAGATATCACTTGTCAGATTAAAGTTTCTAAAAACACCATTTCCCGTATCTCACTCTCTCCTCAACTCTATTCCCAGACTCCCCATTCCCTGCATGATAAACTCCCAGGTCTTTATCAGGCATTGAAGGACCCTCACAAAAAGGCTCCAACCTAGATTCACAGACTGAATCAATAACTGACCGTCCATCCATTCATTACACAGACAAGCAAATAGTTGCAAACTGTGTGACAAGTGAAGAAGTACATGTATGTTCAGTGGTGGGACAGAGGAGGGACTCATCCATACTACCTTGTAGAAGGAGATGGTTTGGAAAGACTTCAGAGAGGAAGTCCTAAAGTGGAATTTAATAGAGTCTTGGAAACAGAGTTTAGCTCAATAAAAATATAGGAGGTGGACAGTCCAGACGGAGAACCCAGCATGTGCAAAGGCACAGACATGGTATGAAGAATACCATTTATTCAGGTAATTGTGCGAGATCTAGCATCGTTGGAGTACAAAGTATTAGGGAAGGAAAAGTCAATCCAACCTTGTATGTCATACCAAAGAAAATAGTTTTTAACTGAGGGACATGGGAACCACTGAAGAGAATTAAGTTGGGAAATAGCATGACACACCACATCAGTTCACCCTGCTAGCACCATACCACATGAGAGAAAGTATGGTGCTATGCTTTAGCATGTGGGCTGTAGAGTCAGAGATCTGAGTTCAATTTCTGACTCTCTCACTTTATGGCTATAAATAAGTGGCTTTCAACCTGTTGTGCACTGGAATCATCTGAGGCTTTTTTTTTCTTTTTGAGACAGAGTCTCACTCTGTCATACTGGCTGGAGTGCAGTGGTGCAATCATAGCTCACTCCAGGCTCAAGCTGAACTCCTAGGCTCAAGCTCTCCTCCCACCTCAGCCTCCCGAGTAGCTAAGGGAGTGGTGCCTAGCCACATCCGGCTAATTTCATCTGAGCATTTTTTAAAAATACTGATGTCGGCTGGGTGCGGTGGCTCATACCTGTAATCCTAGCACTCTGGGAGGCCGAGGCAGGCGGATAGTTTGAGCTCAGGAGTTCAAGACCAGCCTGAGCAAGAGCAAGACCCATTTCTACCAAAAATAGTAAGAAGTTAATTGGACAGCTAAAAAAAATATATAGGAAAAAAATTAGCTGGGCATGGTGGTGCATGCCTATAGTCCCAGCTACTCAGGAGGCTGAGGCAAGAGGATTGCTGGAGCCCAGGAGTTTGAGGTTGCTATGAGCTGGGCTGACGCCACGGCACTCTACCCGAGCAACAGAGTGAGACTCTGTCTCAACAACAACAACAAAAAAATCAAATGGGAACACTAGAAATAAAAAAACCATGATATAGAAGAATTGTTTGAGCACAGAAGTCTGAGGTTGCTGTGAGCTAGGCTGATGCCACGGCACTCTAGCCCGGGCAACACAGTGAGACTCTGACTCAAAAAAAAAAAAAAAAAAAAAATCATGATAACAGTGATGAAGATTTCCTTTGATGGGCTATTTAATAGATGGGGACACAGCTAAGGAAAGATTCAGTGAATTTAAAGACAGGTCAGTAGATCCAACTGAAATACAAATAGGAACAAATGAATGAAAAAAACACAAAAGAATATTCAAAGCACTATGGTATTGCGTGTGAGACATCATCAAGTAGTCTAACAGGGGTCCTCAAACTTTTTAAACAGGGGGCCAGTTCACTGTCCCTCAGACCATTGGAGGACAATAGTTTAAAAAAAAACTATGAACAAATTCCTATGCTCACTGCACATATCTTATTTCTAAGTAAAAAACAAATGGGCAAAAACACCCACATGTGGCCCACGGGCCATAGTTTGAGGACACCTATAATTGGAGACTCAGAAAGGAAAAAACAGGGAATGGGGCATAAAAGATATTTGAAGTGATATGGTCTAGAATTTCCCCAAAATAATGAAATACATAAAACCACAGGTACAAGAATCTCAGAGAACCCTAGGATAGAAAGAAAAAGTAAACCTATATACATCATACTGTAGCTAATGAAAACCAAAGATAAAGAGAAAAATCTTGAAAGTACCTGAGAAAAAAGAAGCATCATACACAGAGGAACAAAGATAAGAATTACAGATTTCTCATTGAAAAATAAATTTTTAAAAAAATCATTAAGTATGAAAAAATTTATATCCTTGTCTCCAGACAGAATTTTCAAAATCTAAGAGGTGCTATAATTTCTAGTATATTAACCATTACCTGCTCCTTTTACAAAATTCACTTTCTATGTATCTTTGAGGCACTTTAAGCCACTCATTTGGAGTAATAAAGTGCCTTGATTTAGAAATTCTTGGGAATCTTGAATGCAGTTGGGCCTTCTCAACCTCTTTAAATTCTTTCATTGTATATATTTTGCCTGCAGAAAGATTAGTAATCTAAATTAGCACCCTTAAATGCAATTGCCACTGCTCTTGGGCCATGAAATCACATAGCAATTAGGAACTAAGTACCAGTCTCACACTGAAGAAGAGTTCTTTTTTCATCATCCCTGTCATATTGTGCTTTTTTCAAAGGGTCACGAAATGGTGGGATGATAACCTACAAGAGAGGAACTTCTTTGAGTACTGGGATGTAGTTCTGAATATTAAACATTTTCAGTCTATCCTATCCATATGGACAGGACAGCCTATCCACATATGGCTCTTATGCCAGAAGAGTAAAGAATACAATACTTGTGCCACGGGCGGTGGCTCATACCTGTAATCCTAGCACTCTGGGAGGCTGAGTCAGGAGGATCGCTTGAGGTCAGGAGTTCAAGACCAGCCTGAGCAAGAGCGAGACCCTGTCTCTACTAAAAATAGAAAGAAATTAGCTGGACAACTAAAAATATATAGAAAAAATTAGCCAGGCATGGTGGTGCATGCCTGTAGTTCCAGCTACTCAGGAGGCTGAGGCAGAAGGATTGCTTGAGCCCAGGAGTATGCGGTTGCTGTGAGCTAGGCTGATGCCATAGCACTCTAGCCTGGGCAACAGAGTGAGACTATGTCTCAAAAAAAAAAAAAAAAGAATACAATACTTACAAACGTATAGCAGGCTTTCTATTACCGTGTATCCTCAAAAATAAGACAGGATCTTATATTTATTTTTCCTCAAGAAGCCACCCTAGGGCATATTTTCTGGGGATGTGTTGTTCTTTTTTTGTTTTACCGCTCCTTGACGAAATGTGTGGGTTGTGCAGATATGCTGCGTAGCCACGCCCATCACTATGTCTTATTTTCCAGGTAGGGCTTATATTGTGCAAATGCTTAGAAATCCTGCTAGGGCTTATTCTATGGGCAGGTCTTATTTTCGGGGAAACACGGTATGTATATTTAGCACATACAAACAGTTGGGAGGCTCTCCAATACTTCTCTTAACAAGGTGCTCCAGTCAAAGAGGCAAGGTTAGCTCTTGTTTCAAAGTGTAGGTTTAGTCTTCACAAATTCTTTTGTTGTTATCATATATTCCCAAATTTAAAAATTCCTTTCCCGTGCACAAAAGAAAAAATATATCCATATATTCATCTTATCCCTAACATCCATAATCAACAACACAATTAATGGTTATGCAAAACTTAACCAACATGATATTGAAAATGTAGATCACTTATGAGCCAAGGGATTGAAGCACCAAATCTATTGTAATGACCAATGTCATCAACATCCAAATGACAGTTCTACAAAAGAAAATGGCATTCAGCAACAATAACATTCATGATCTAGGCCTAGTCAGTGAAATTCTACCACAACCTACAAAGGCCACCCATGTATCTTTCTAATGATAATCAGGCTTGTTCTCTGGGAGGCTGAGGTGGGGATCGGCCAAGGTCAGGAGTTTGAAACCAGCCTGAGCAAAAGTGAGACACCACCACCCCCCCACCCCCTGTCTGTACTAAAAATAGAAAGAAATTAATTGGCCAACTAAAAATATATAGAGAAAAAATTAGCCGGGCATGGTGGTACATGCCTATAGTTCTACCCGGGAGACTGAGGCAGGAGGATCACTTGAGCCCAGGATTCTGAGGTTGCTGTGAGCTAGGCTGATGCCACAGCACTCTAGCCAGGGCAATGGAGTGAGGCTCTGTCTCAAAAAAAAAAAAAAAAAATCAGGCTTGTTTTTCTGAGATAATTATAATATACATCATGGCTATTACAGTCAAAATAAACAGTGATCAGTCTGCCCTCTAGAATTTTGCTTTTACAGAAGTTATGAAGAGTTTACTCATTTCATGAGTAATGAATTCAATATAAAAAGAGACAAAACCAGTACTATCATTTTCAGGTTTTTGTACGTGACTTATTGACATATGAATAACAAATTTTAAATTTTAAATTGAAGAGAGCAATAGAGAACATTCTAGTTTTATCAGCAATTATAAGTCCTAAGACTCTACCATTTCTACTAATAAGTACTTGTAGACCATAAGAACCTAAATGGAGATGTTATAATCCAGTGGTTCTCAAAAACTGTTTTATTTCAAGATGTTGTTATGTCCAAAGAACTCCTGGATATATAAGTCATCTATTCATATTTACTATATTGGAAATTAATACTGAGAAAATTTTAAATTATTTATTATATTTAATATTAAGGCTACTATATTTAACATATATTTTTATTAAAAAATACTGTATTTTCCAAAGCAAAAAAAATAGGGAGAAGTGTAACATTGTTTTACTTTTTTGTAAATTTCTTTTAAGTCTTGCTTAACAGAAGACAACTGGATTCTCACATCTGTTTCTGCATGCAATCTGTTAAGACACATTTTAGCTGAAGTAAATGAAGAAAATCCATACAGAGATATGTAGTTGAAAAAGGAAGGAGTATTTTAACAACCTTTTCAGATCACTGTGGATATTCTTCTTTGATACTATACTCAAACTCAACAGGTGGTAGTTTCTTAAAGGTTAGTTATGATGTAGAATCTGAAACCACATCAATGAATTTTTATACTCTTCTACATTAAAATCCATGGTCTATCTTGCACTTTAACTGAATCTTTTTCCCATGCATGATTTTGTAACATCATGAATTGATCATCTGGGAAAAAAATATGGATCACTGAGTTACATATGCAAAATCTTCCAAATGTTTATATATTTCCTTATACAATATCAAAGAATCACATTCATTAATATCATTATTAATCCCACTGGTAAAGTCATTGAGTACAGGAACGTTGTCAGACTCATGATGGTGAATATGAGTTTTCCAAAATTCAAATGTTTTGCTTGAAAGCTCACATTTTTTCATTGGCAACAAATATTGTCAGTAGTGTTCCTTGAAGTGACAGGCTAACTTCATTAATTTTGTTATTTAATAACAGTATATTATATTCTTCAAAATTGCTAAGAGGGTAGATTTTGTGTGTTCTCATGTACAAAAAATAAGTAGCATCTCAGATAATGTATATGTTAATTAGCTAAATTTAGCCATTCCAAGCCAGTCACCCTGGCTCACGCCTGTAATCCTAGCACTCTGGGAGGCTGGGGCAGGTGGATCATTTGAGGTCAGGAGACCAGCCTGAGCAAGAGCGAGACTCCGTCTCTACGATAAATAGAAAGAAATTAATTGGCCAACTAATATATATAGAAAAAATTAGCTGGGCATGGTGGCACATGCCTGTAGTCCCAGCTACTCTGGAGGCTGAGGCAGGAGGATTGCTTGAGCCCAGGAGTCTGAGGTTGCTGTGAGCTAGGCTGACACCACGGCACTCTAGCCCAGGCACTCTGTCTCAAAAAAAAAAAAAAAAAAATTAGCTATTCCACAATGTATACTTATTTCAAAACAACATGTTTTATAAGATAAATATATACAGTTTTCATCTTTAAATTTAAAGAAAAAAGAAACAGAAAAACAGTTCCCGTAACAATATATTAAATTAGTTTCAAGAATGGGGGAAAAAGCAGTACTCACATGTCAAAAATGTTTTTTACTGCTTGTTCAAAGACATTATTAAGTGAAATTGCATTTATTTTTACTTGTGAGTGCATGGCAATGAAGAACAATGGCACAGTTTGGTGACATGACAAATTGTTCCAAGGTGCCAGCAATTGTACCCACCATTGCTTTTGCACCATCAGTACAAATGTCAACACAATGAAAAAGGTAAATAATATTTAGCAACTATTATGAAAATAGTCTCAGCCTAATGGACCTCCCAAAAGGGCCTCAGGATCTCAAATGTCCATGTACCTCACTTTGAGAACTGCTGCTATAGGTGCAAGGTGCTCAGATTACTTTAAGAGGTCACCTATAAACGTCACTTAGAAAGGCAGTATGGTAAAAGGACAAAAAAATGGAATTTTGATAACTGCTATAATTTGAATGCTTGTGTCATCCCCAGATTCATATGTTGAAACTAATCACCAATGCAATAGAATTAAGAGCAGGAATCTTTAGGAAGTGATTAGGTCATGAGGGTGGAGCCCTCATGAATGGTGCTGTTATAAAATAGGCTCAAGGGAGCTTGTTTGCCCATTCTACCATGTGAGGACACAGCTAGAAGGTGCCATCTATGAGAAATGGGCCATTACCAGACATCAAATCTGCTAAGCCCGTGAACTTGCACTTCCCAGTCTCCAGAACTAAGAGAAACAGATTTTGGTTGTTTATAAATTATGCAATCTAAGCTTTTTTGTTATAGCAGCAAGAATGGACTAAGACAGTATCAAAAAGATCTGGTTTCAAATCTCAATTTTGTTCCTTACTCTCTGTGTTACTAGTTAGTGTGTTTAAGATTCTAAACTCTCAGTTTAACTCTCACCTATAAAAATAGGGACAACAGTACACACACCAGTTTTTTTTGAAAAACGACCTAGAATTCCTGTGCAAATGCCAACAGTTTAAAATGTCTATACCCAAGGCAGTGTTTTCAGGGATTTTATTTCCTTTAATATTATACACAAATATAAATATTTGTTTAATATTAGCAAAAAGTGTGGAAAAATTGACTTTATAGTGAAAGTTTAAGTTTAAAAATCTATCTGGAGGATAATTTGGCAACATGAATCAAAATCATTCATACCCTTTAATCAGCAATTCTAATTCTAGCAACTTACCCTAAGGAAAAAAATAAGAAATAAGTAGCTGGGACTACAGGCATGTGCCACCATGACCGGCTAATTATATATATATATATATTTTTTTTTTTTTTTTATTAGTTGTCCAGCTAATTTCTTTCTATTTTTTAGTAGAGACGGGATGTTATTCTTGCTCAGGCTGGTCTCAAACTCCTGAGCTCAGGCAATCATTCCACTTCAGCCTCCCAGAGTGCTAGGATTACAGGTGTGAGCCACCATGCCCAGCCCATGGAAATGGGAAACTATTCTTAAAATATTTTTGCATGTTTCGGAATCACTAAAGGACTACTCATATATTAGGCCTCTCAAACCAACCCAAAACATAATACCAAAGTTAAAATAAGAAATCTACCCTACCTTCAGAAAATTAGGATCCTTTTTGCACATATAAAAAGGATCATACTCGTTTGGATCATAATGTTCTATAAATGCATTTCCCTATAAGAAGGAAATAAAACCACAAATAAGAACAAAAGGAGCACAATTAATTTTGAGTATATCAAGACTTGAGAGTCAAACACACAGTTCCTTACTTATACTTCAAAGTGGCATCAATGACAAATGCAAAAGGAAAGAAAATAACAAATTTGAAATTATTAAAGTAATATTATAGGGATGGAAGGAATCTACTTAAAATTTGTAAGATTTTAATAAAAAATGTTGGAACACTAAAAGATTTAGGAATTTGTTTATAAATATTTATTAGTCAATCATCTCAGGTCTTTTATAATGCTGGAAGAACAGAAATACTTTGTAGTTTTGCAATAATAGAGTTCCATAACAAAAGAAAAATGTGTCCTGAAATTAGAGTCCAAATTTTTTCAAATAGTAAATAATTACATGGGAAAAACAAAGAAAAATGGTTCTAATGTACACAGTTAAATCCAGACCTACTCCTTCTCTCTATCCTTTCCACATGCCCTATATTTAAGAATACTTTATAATAGGGTATAGGTTGTATGTGTGTACATATATATCCAAATAGCCTGCCTCTGTGTGTGTGTGTAAATGTACAGACACACACACAAGGGCAGGCTATTTGGATGATTATAAATAAACAAAGATAACTATAGGTTTTAAACCAGTTGAAAAAAGTATCAAATGATCTTAGTACCTTTTTATTTACATGTTTTAAAAAATCATCCGATTCCTCTTGTCTCCTTTTCTTAATGTTCTTATGTGAACAAACTTTTTCTATAATTTTCTTCTGGAGAGGATCTGCCACATGGTCAACCCATCTTTTATGTAATATCTCTTTTCTTCTTGCATTTAAGAACTCATGATGTTGTACATGCTTATCTAGTTCCTAGTAAACAGTATAGAAAAGACAAATATATTATCCTAAAGCATTCTTCTTCTAAAATTTTCTAAAACTTAGCACTCTGGGAAGCCAAGGCGGGTGGATCACTCAAGGTGAAGAGTTCAAGACCAGCCTGAACAACAATGAGACCCATCTCTACTAAAAATAGAAAGAAATTAATTGGCCAACTAAAAATATATAGAAAAAATTAGCTGGGCACGGTGGCGCATGCCTGTAGTCCCAGCTACTCAGGAGGCTGAGGCAGAAGGATCGCTTGAGCCCAGAAGTTTGAGGTTGCTGTGAGCTAGGCTGATGCCATAGCACTCTAGCCTGGGCAACAGAGTGAGACTATGTCTCAAAAAAAAAAAAGAAAAAAAAGTTAAAATTTTCTAAAACTTAAACTTCATAAGTTTAAATTATTCCTAAGAAGAATCCACAAAGGCATTTATTAATTTAATAATTTATTCGTCTTCTTCTATGTGACATATGCTATGCTGGAAACAAGGAATACACAAAAAATTGAGACAACATGCCTGCTCTCCCTGAGGAAACAGATAAAAAGCAAATCAAAAGCCTGGCGCCTGTAGTCCCAGCTACTCAGGAAGCTGAGGCAGGAGGATTGCTTGAGTCCAGGTGTTGGAGGCTGCAATGAGCTATGATGACACCACTGCACTCCAGCCTGGGCAACAGAGCAAGACCCTGTCTCAAAAAGAAACAAACAAATAAAACAAAACAACAACAAAAATCAGGGACTCAAATACATATACACAAATGCTCATTTCAGCATTATTCAATTCATTTTAGCATTATTCAATTCATTTCAGCATTATTCACAATAGTCAAAAGGTGGGAACAACACAAGTGTCCATCAACAAATGGATGAACAAAATGTGGTATATACATACAATGGAATATTTGGTCTAAAAAAGAAATGAAGTTCTGATATATGCTACGATGTGGACGAACCCTGGAAACAAATAAGCCAGACACAGATAAATAAATGTAGGATTCTACATATATGAAACATCAGAATAGGCAATATTCATAGAGGCAGAAAGTAAAGGTTACCAGGTACTTGGGGGATGAGGAAATGAGAAGTCATTGCTTATTGGATACAAAGTATCAGTTTGGGGTGATGAAAAAGTTTTGGAAATAATGGTGATAGTTATACAATATTGTGAATGTAATTAATGTCATTGAATGGTACACTTAAAATGGCAAATTTTACATTGTATATATTTTACAACAATTTTTAAAGATGATTAAATTAAAACAAAAAAAGTTTCCCCAATGGGCAACATTTGGGCTGGGCCTTAAAGAAGGAGGAGTTATCCTGGAAGAGAAGAGATAGCAGAGAATGAGGAAGACAAACATTCCATGGGGTGGGGGAATACAGGAGTAGAGAAGCAGAAGAGAAACACAACATGATCCAAATGGCAAGTAGCCTGCAAAGAAGCCTGATTAGGCTACAAGCGAGTTCATTCTCACCCAAACTGCTCACTCACCTTTCATATAGCAAATGAAATCATATGATTCTAGGATCTACATGAAATTCAAAATGAAAAAAATAAAATGTTATGAATGCTGAGGGGTTCTCTAGGCCACACCCCTTACTTAACTTCGGGTTATATCAACTTCAACCATTCAACCATTCCCAATAATAGTTCCTTTCCTTTTTAAAGAACTCTAATGAAAATTCCTAAAAGAAAAACAGATCACCCACTCTGGTGTTTAGTATACTTCACGTGGCTGTTCTTGTCTAATTAAGCCCATCCTGCTTAAACCCTTGTTCTTACCTTGTATACCTGAGTAATAGGTAGTCAGAGCTGTGTTCTGAAAACAGCTCTTCAGGATTAGCTCATTGATAGTGACTGTGTGGAAACCGCCAAGTCAAAGGAACAAGTGAGTTGAGGGAAATTGTTATGCCTGTCTGTGAAGGAATTCCCACAAAGTATAGGAAGAGAGGAATTCCATTAAAGCAATCTCAGAGATTCCTTAAGATTAATCCCAGGCACAAATGAGTATTTTTAATCCTATTTTCTGTATTTTCTACATTTGTTTATAGAATATACTTCATCTAAAAAGGAAAAACAAAATTTAGTTTCTTTTTTTTTTTTAGATGGGGTCTCTATTGCCCAGGGTTGGAGTGCAGTGGCTATTCACAGATGCAATCACAGCTCATTACAGCCTCAGACTCAGCGGCCTCAGGCAATCCTCCCACCCCAGCCTCCCCAGTAGCTGAGATGACACCACCATAACTGGCTCACAAAATTTAATTTGTAATTGAGATGCATTTTGTAGCCAATTCTTACCTTAATGACATACTTTTCTCTGTATAATATTGATTGAATAGCTGCATCAGTATCTTCTTTGGCTAAGTTCTAAAAGAACAGAATTAAACTATGAAAGTCAAATCTTGAAAAAATTAAATAATTAGTACTATCTGGCCTCATTATATTTTGTGTGAAAAACATATCTCTGAAAAATTCTCTGTAAATCCAATTTTTCTACTTCAAATAACATCATCAAGTGCTTTTTAAAGAGTATTTGACTCTCTGCTCTGGGCTACAGCAAAACATTACTCAGCTCACAGATATTCTGAGTCTTAGAATGGTCAAATGACTTGCCCAGAATCACAAGGTAGTTAGAACCCACCTTTTGTCAAATCTTATAAAATGTTTTTACCTTTATGGGTAAAAATAGATACAATTAGGCCTCTATTTGAGACTTTTTGACTACATAAGAAAGACTGATCTTCCCAGCCTTTATTCTCACAGAACTAGCTAAGACTATGTCAACAGTCTCACTAAAAGTTTAGTGCCACCTAAGGTAAACTGTGTACCTAGAAGAAATGTCACTAGTGTAAAACATTACAAGGTTTTAGAATGAGTTTCTATTCAATTGCCTTCTGTTCTTCCATAATGAAATCACCTACCAATTTTGTTTTTGACAATTACTTAAAACATAAGCTAAAATATAAAGACTATGGATATAAAAATCAAGGAAATTAGTTATATTTTTATCCATAAACTTTATAATCAAACAGGTGACTGGAACTTCTCAAAATAAAAGCTCTTATTTTAATAAAAAGAAACTTGCTCATAAAGTCTTCTTACACTCATTTAATTAATTTTTCCATGACAATTGACAAATTACCTGAAAGACCGAAACAACTTTTCTCATTAGCTAAATGTTAAACACTATATACCTATGGGAAAACTACCCAGAGAAACAATGAGCAAGCAAATACATAAAAGAATTAGGGAATCCATCCCTAGAGGTCACACAGCCCCAGGAGTGTTCCCTTTCACATGAACCAAAGTAAAACATCCCATAGATCACAGAGCATAGAGTTGAGTACTTGGAGGGGTTTTGTATCAGAACTAGAACAAAACTGGCCCCATGGTATATGCTGTCATGGTCCTGCCCAACAAAATTCAGAGTCAAGACCTGAAAGGATCCAGCTGTGTCCAAGTAACTTAACTGCATTCCAGAACAAAAACTGAGAATATTTGTGGGAAATAAAAAATATCTAGCACTCTACAAGGTTAAAATTCACAATGTCTTGCATCCAGTCAAAAAATCACCAGACATGCAAAGAATCAGGAAAATTTAACCAAAAATGAGAAGGAAAATCAATCAAAACTGCACCAGAAATGACATTGAATAATTATTAAACCAAGACATTAAAATAGTTATTATACCTGTAGTTCATAAGTTCAGGAAGCTAGATGAAAAAGTGAACCTGTTGAGACAGAGGAAGATATAACTTCTAGGACCCAGATATAACTTCTAGGGATGAAAATTACAATGCCTGAGACGAAAGATACACCAGATAGGCTTATCAGCAGATTAGACATTACAGAAGAAAAGGTTAGTGAACTTAAAAGTACCGCAGTAGACATTTTCAAAACTAAAATGCAGAGGGAAAGAAAAAATGAAAAAAATTAAGAGTATCAGTGAGCTATGGGACAATGAATATATATATATGTAATTATACTTTCCCAAAGGAAGGATGGGATAGAAAAGTATTTTAAGAAATAATGGCTGAGGCCGGGCATGGTGGCTCACACCTGTAATTCTATCACTCTGGGATGCCGAGACAGGCAGATTGCTCAAGGTCAGGAGTTCGAAACCAGCCTGATCAAGACCCCGTCTCTACTAAAAATACAAAGAAATTAATTGACCGTCTAAAATGTATGTATACAAAAAATTAGCCAGGCATGGTGGTACATGCCTATAGTCCCAGCTACTCAGGAGGCTGAGGTAGTAGGATCGCTTGAGCCCAGGAGATTGAGGTTGCTGTGAGCTAGACTGATGCCACGGCACTCACTCTAGCCTGGGCAACAAAGTGAGACTCTGTCTCAAAAAAAAAAGAAATAATAATGGCTGAAACTTTTCCAAATTTGTTAGAAACTATAAGCCCAACAGATAAAATAAGTTCAAAGAACTCTAAGCACTGGAGAAATTAGGACCCTCATGAGAGAGCCAATGAGAATTTATAATGGTACAGCTGCTGTGGGAAAGTTTTTCAGTTCCTCAAAAAATTAAACATAGAGTTACCCATATGACCCACAATTTCATTCCTAGGTTTTATACCTAAGAGAACTAAAAACATATGCTCACATTAAAAGTTATACACAAATGTTCAGAGCAGCATTATTCATATTAGCAAAAATCTAGAAACAACCTAAATGTCCATCCACTGATGAATGGATAAACAAAATGTGGTGGCCGGGCGCGGTGGCTCAAGCCTGTAATCCTAGCACTCTGGGAGGCCGAGGCGGGCGGATTGCTCCAGGTCAGGAGTTCGAAACCAGCCTGAGCAAGACCCCGTCTCTACTATAAATACAAAGAAATTAATTGGCCAACTAATATATATATATATAAAATTAGCCGGGCATGGTGGCGCATGCCTGTAGTCCCAGCTACTTGGGAGGCTGAGGCAAAAGGATCGCTTGAGCCCAGGAGTTTGAGGTTGCTGTGAGCCAGGCTGACGCCATGGCACTCACTCTAGCCTGGGCAACAAAGTGAGACTCTGTCTCAAAAAAAAAAAAAAAACACAATGAGGCCAGACCATGCCTGTAATCCTAGCACTCTGGGAGGTTGAAGCAGGAGGATCACTTGAGCTTAGGAGTTCGAGACCAGCCTAATCAAGAGCAAGACCGCATCTCTACTAAAAACAGAAAAATTAGCTGGGTGCCATGGTGCATGCCTGTAGTTCCTGCTAGTTGGGAAGCTGAGGCAAAAGAATCACTCAAGCCCAGGAGTTTGAGGTTTTAGTAAGCTATGATGACACCACTGCACTCTACCCAGGGTGACAGAGTAAGACTTTGTCTCAAATAAAATAAAAAAAGAACACACAAGGAGATGCCACTGTATATCTTTTACAATGTCTCAAATTTATAAAGACTATACCAAATGTTGGCTAGAATATTTAACAACTAGAAATCCCATATACTGCTAGTGGAAATGAAAAATGATTCAATGACTTTGGAACACAGTTTGGCAACTTCATAAAAAGTTAAATTCATTTACCATATGACCCAGCCATTCTACAGCTAGACATCTACCCAAGAGAAAGCATATGTCCATACAAAGACATGTACATCAATGTTCAGAACAGCTTTATTTGTAATAGCCAAAAACTGGAAACAACCCAAATGCCCATGAACAGGATAAACAAACTGGGATATGGCTATATAATGGAATAAAGTATTGATAAATACAACGACATGGATGAATTGCAAAATACTTATTCTGAATGAAAGATGCCAGACAAAAAGAAAAGAATACATACTGTTAGGTTCCATTTCTATAAATTTTTTTAAATGACAAAGCAAAGCTTAGTGGCTGCAGAGAACGGGGAGGACAAGAAGGGAGGGATTACAAAGCAACAGGATGATTAGAAAGGGGAGTGTTGAGTATGTTCACTATCTTGATTATGGTGATGGCTGTGTATATATATGTAAAAACTTAGCAAGTTTGTACACTTTAATACGTGCAGTTTATTGTACATCAATTATACATTAGTAAGACTTAGAAAAAAGAAATTATAATCTAAAACCAACACAACATATCAAATTTTGAGTGATGCAGCTAAGCAGTGTTTCAAGAGAAACTTATAGCTGTGTTATATTAGAAAAAGTATATAGTAAAAGATCTATGATTCCACTTTAAGAAGCTAGAAAAATGAACAGCAAAGTAAATACAAAGTTAGTAGAGCAAAGCAGATAATAGAATGAAATAGAAAACAAGCAACACACAAAAAAATATTCAGCACAAGCCACTTCTCACTGCAACTACCCAAGGAAAAACCTCAAAATGCCGTATTATTATTATACCTCCATAAAAGAAAGCCGCTGTGGTTCCAACCATTCTTTCGAGGTCTTGACCTTGAACAGATGGTCACCACCTGCATGTCTCATTGTGGTCACAAATAATGAAGCCCTTTAAAAAAAAACTAAAAATTAACTTACTTGGTAATCAAAATTCACAATCATCTAATTTTCTCTTCTGTTTAATAATCAATAGTTGTGACATTGCACGGACTTTGAGTGGGTTTGGAACATTAGCCATCCATGCTTTCCCTAACAAGAGGCCTTCGCAGTAGGCTTATGATGATGGTTTCAGAGCCAGCTTCCTTTAAGGAGGGGAGATTCTCTTTCAACTAATCCCCGTGGAGTGGCCGCCCACGTCCTCCTACGAGGTATCCCATTCAAGCCAGTGTGGCGATGGGCCTCTGGGAGTCCCATCGTCTGACTTCGGTGGCTGCGCAGCTCAGAGAAAGAAAGGAGAGGCTTTCGGTAAAAACGGGCGCAAGGCCCTCCCCAAGGCCTGTCCCTGAGGGGGAAGCCGTCGTTAGAGGCTGCGCTCCGCAGCACCCACTCCCGGAGTCGGCGGGAGGCGCACGGCCTCCACCCCCAACACTGTGCCCGGGCCTCGCGCGGCCGCGGCGTGCCTGGGAACCACCCCGGCCCGGCTGCGAGCGTGCAGGCCGCGACACACCTCTCTCCCCTCCCGAGGCCGCCAGGGCCTGCGGCTCTCCTGCCCCACAACCGGGTCGGCCAAACGGCCCAAAGCGCCGGAGTCGTCTGGCTGTGGCGGGAAGTGGCCCCTGCCCGGCCGCCCTCAGCTCGAGCCCGTCCCTTCGGAATGTGGCAGCGTTGGCGACCACTGTCTCCGGGACGCAGTCCCGCGCCGCCCCTCCCCCTTGGAGTTCGACGACGAGTCTGTGGGCGGCCCCGCGGGAGCGGCCTGGGCCCGGAGCCACGCGCTACCGCGCCCCTGTCGCCCCCTCGGGCTCAGGAGAAACCAGGACGCTGCTGTTGTCGTGGTTGCGAAGGGGGGTGACGGGCAGCTGTCACGGCCAATCCCGCCGCCTGATCCCGCGTCGGTTGACAGGCGGGTCCCTGGCTCGCCAGCCCCTCGCGGAGGCCGGGCTCCCCGACCGAGAGGGGGCAGCGTCCGCTCCCTGGAGTCCTCGGTGCCGTGCGTGCGTCTCCCCGGCGACAAGCCTGGAAATTAACCGCTCACTCACCCCGGGGCCCGGTCGCGGTCCTGCCCCGGGACACCCCTCCTCCCGTGGGCCGCACCCCGGGAAGGGAGTGGCGGGAAAGGGGCTACGGTGGCGGTTGTCCTGGTGAGGACGGACCAAGACTTGGGGACTTGTGGAGAAAATGTTGGTTTAAGTGCCTTAAAGGTGTTTTCAACCCATTGGGGTGATGATCAGTGTTCATAGTCGGCGCTGAAGCAGGTCAGCAGGAAGGGAATGTGAGGATTCATGACCCAGCACATCTCCTTAGTCTTGTTTACTTAGCCAGGCGGTTCTCCATCCTGGCTGGGTTTTGTTTTGTTTGTTTTTAAATCCCAGATCATTCTAACGCAAATCTTTGACATAGTGAGCAAATTAGAAGGCTGTGATTTTCCAAACCCAACTTCATAGACCTGTGTATGCACTGTGATTTTTCTAGGATTCTATTTCCCTCTTTGAGTATTGGTGAACGCTAGATGATGGGCCACTATTTTCCCTCTTCATCTTTTCAAAGTACACATGCTAATATTAAAACAGAAGCGTTTTAGAGACATTTGTATTTGCATGCCTTGCCTTTTAAAAGCTAGCCAGTGGATCTCTTCAACTAAAGTTTCCGTTTCAGAGCTGAGTGGGCATGAGCCATTTGCAGAACTTACTGTTAGATACACTCCTGGGAACCAAGCATGTGGACAGTGCAGCCCTCATCAAACTCCACGAGTGGAGCCTGTGTGTAGCATCACCAGGATTTAGTGTAAGAAAAGACAAGTTTGGATATCAGGCTCTTTTTTTCTTCTTAAGACAAAGTCTCCCTCTGTTGCCCAGGCTAGAGTGCTGTGGAGTCAGCCTAGCTCACAGCAACCTCAAACTCCTGGGCTCAAGCGATCCTACTGCCTCAGCCTCCAGAGTAGCTGGGACTCCAGCACGCCTGGCTAATTTTTTTGTTTGTTTGTTTTTTAGTAGAGACAGGGTCTCTCTTGCTCTTGCTCAAACTGGTCTCAAACTCCTGAGCTCAAGCAATCCTCCTTTCTTGGCCTCCTAGAGTATTAGGATTATAGGTGTGGGCCACTGCACCTGGCCTGGGTATCAGCCTTTTAAATGAACTTTTTTCTATAAAGAGCCACAGCAAATATTTTAGATTTCTGGGCTGTATACTCCCTGTTACAACCACTGAACTTCAGTTGTAATGGAAAAGCAGTCATAAAAAATACACAAAAGAATGGGTATGCCTGTGTTCCAATAAAATTTTATTTATAGACACTGAAATTTGAATTCCATATAATTTTCAAGTGTTACAAAGTATTATTCTTTTTTTTATTTGAATTCCATATAATTTTCAAGTGTTACAAAGTGTTATTCTTTTTTTTTTTTGTCCAACCATTTAAAAATGTGAAAACCATTCATAGGTTGCAGGCTATAAAAAACAGCCCGCAGGGGAAATCTGGCTGGCCATCAGCCATCGTTTGCCAATTCCTGGTCTAACTATTTAACCTCTCCAGGTAATGCCCAGTGATGTCCGAAGACTTGTGAATGGATTTGCCAAGAACCCCTTGCAAGCCCGAAGAGAAGGACTGTATTTCAAGGAAAAGGATTACAAATGTGTCCGGGCAGATGAATATTCTCTTTATGCTAAGAATGTGAGTGCTCAAGATTTGAAGACAGCTAAGTGAAACTATAAAAGAATTTGACTCCAATTTTCTTTGTCACACACGATCCTCTCTATAAAACAAATGAAAACCATTACTGTCTTGAGACACTGGGACAGCAGTCTGGTGCCAGGAAGGCATGTGTGAAAAAAAGCACTATCAGAGAGCCTGGCTTTGAGAAACATTCATTTTAATTTTATTTATTTATTTTTTGAGACATAGTCTCACTCTGTTGCCCAGGCTAGAGTGAGTGCTGTGGCATCAACCTAGCTCACAGCTGCCTCAAACTTCTGGGCTCAAGAAATCCTTCTGCCTCAGCTTCCCGAGTAGCTAGGACTACAGGCATGCACCACCATGCCCGGCTAATTTTTTCTATATATTTTTAGGTGGCCAGTTAATTTGTTTCTATTTTTAGTAGAGACGGGGTCTCACTTTTGCTCAGGCTGGTTTCGAACTCCTGACCTTGAGTGATCCACCCGCCTCGGCCTCCAGAGTGCTAGGATTACAGACATGAGCCAAAGAAACATTCATTTTAGAATCTACCAGCTAAACCTTACCTGAACTGTCTCTTTGCAGTACACTACAGTCCATCCTTCGTACTCTACCCTCTTCCTTTAAGGAAAAAAACATATTGATACGACTCCTGTGCTTAAAACCTCTGTTGACTCTGTTGATTATAAGGAATGAAGGAGATGAAATTCACATTCATTGGATGCCCCATATTATGGGTTAGGCACACTTCACCCACATTATAAACTAAATAGCCTCATTTTACAAATGAGGAAACTGAGGTTTAACAAGGTTAAATAACTCTTCCATAGACATGTGGCAGAAAATGGAGGTGCTAGGAGTCAAGCCCAGAGCTATCCAATTCCAGATTGTCTTACCTTTCCATTTTATCTCCTGTTCTGATTGCGATAGGGGTGTCTTATAGTCGACTGGGGAACCTGTTGAAAATACATATGCTGTTATTACAATGGTCTGAAACTTTTTGAGGAAAGGCAACTAAATTAGTAGAAATGAGTGGACAGTTCAGAAACATATATATTTATGGAAATCATGAAATGGTGAAAAATATAGCTGGAGCATAACTGCTGGTCCTGTGATTAGAACCAAGAGCAGGATATTCTATTTTATTCTTTATCCAGGAAAACACTGGTGTGATTGTTGTGAAGACCCATCAGTATCTTCTGGTGACAACTTACACTGAGGGCATGTATCCTAGTGTCTGTGTGGAAGCCACAGAGAAGCTGGGTAAGTTTGCCTCCCAATGGCTGTCTCTATTTCCTGTGGTAGTCAGGCCTTCTGACTACAAGTGACAGAGATCCAGGTCAAACCAGCTAGGGCAGAAGAGAGGAATTTATTAGAAGAATACTGGGGTTACTTACGGAACCACTGGAAAGAGAGAGTGCAGTTGAACCACAGGGAAAGTAGATTTACTTATTATTATTATTATAATTTTCTCTCTAAAAAAAAAAATACATGACCACTGTGGAAAATTTGGGAAGTAAAGAATTATGACCATTTAAAAATTTTAACAATGGGCTGGGCATGGTGGTTCATACCTGTAACCTAGCACTCTGGGAGGCCAAGGTGGGTGGATCACTCAAGGTCAGGAGTTCGAAACCAGCCTGAGCAAGAGCGAGACCCATCTATATTAAAAATAGAAAGAAATTAACTGGCCAACTAAAAATATATAGAAAAATTAGCTTGGCATGGTGGCACATGCCTGTAGTCCCAGCTACTTGGGAGGCTGAGGCAGGAGGATCGCTTGAGCCCAGGAGTTTCAGGTTGCTGTGAGCTAGGCTGATGCCATGGCACTTTAGCTTTGGGCAACAGAGTGAGACTGTGACTCAAAAAAGGAAAAAAAAAATTAATGATGAAAGATTCTAGGAGGATGACTATTTATTAATTAAAGAAAACTTTTAGACACTAATTAGATAAAGGATACTATGCTGCTTCTCTAACATAAATTATTCAGGTTTGTTTTTAAAATAAATATATTAGTGAATCACAACATTTGTAAAGTGTTAACATCTTTAATTCTAGGTCCTTAGTTTAAAAAAAGAAACTTAAGTACATATTATGACTTATTTATAGCATTACTATTGAGTTATCAGAGAACTATAACTTTTTCTTAAATTTCTTATTACCTCTCTATAAACTACAGTTGAGAGATAGACTTAGCTCCTTAGAAACCAACCAAATTTCCTAGTTTCTTCATTTAAAAGTTGTCTCACTCTATAACTAAAACTATGTGCTAAAGAACTGGGCTCTGTGTTTTGATAGATATAGAGATAGATAGGGATATAGAAGTAGATATTTCATGGTTTTGATATTTTGTTTATTCTCATGAGAATTTCATCTGGGATCTTATTGCCAAATCTGTAACATAGATCAGTGGGAAAATATGATTCATTTTGCAGAATTTTCCTTATAGTTAACTTCTTTGGACTATATTTCTTTTGTGACTTCATACCTCCCTATTCTTCCACCATTTCCATCTCTCATGATTGCAATAGAGGAGGCAAGTTAAATAAAACCCAGCATTCAATTTAAGAAAAGTGAAGCATTAGTTTTCTAAATTTTTTAAGATTAATAATAGCTTGTTAAAAAATGAAGTACTGTAATCAGTTTTAAATCTAGGTCATAGAATTCACATAGGAGGGGAGGGAGGGCACCAGGTTCTTTTGTTCCCCTGAGCCCTCTCTTCTCACTCCCTTTGCCCAGCCATAGGCATCCTTTGTCCTCTCTTTGCTTGGATAACCAGTTCATACTCGAGGACATCTCAAATAATAAATCTTGTGGCATTTGTTACTATGAAATAGAATTGATGTGTATATATATATTACCTATTATCTCCCCTACTAGACAATAAACTCCAGGAGAGCAGGCACTATGTTTTAACTACCTAATCACCTATGTATCTGCAGGACCTAGCACAGTGGCTAGCACACGGTAGTCACTCAACAATGTTTATGGAATAGTAAATGAATTGTAGTGATAATTTACTACTCATAAATAATAACCATGCTCTGCTTATTTTCAGGAGACTATCTAAGAAAAAAAGGAAATTAAATCATCAGAGACCTATGAAAGACAACTTTATTATTTTAGAAGAACGCTTAAAGAACATCTTAAAGAGAAAAAAAAAACAAAACCTTAGTTTGTGGTTGAAAAACACTAGGTAGAAGATACTAAAGAAGAAGAATGAGTTAAGGAAGCAATTTTTCTTATTTCAAGAGATCCTCTTCTTCAGTTGGAATTACTTGACCAACTTGTTCTTTAAAAAAAAAAAAGTGTTTTTTAAGTCTTGGTCACTGGCGTGGAGTATGATAGTTGCATGGGGCACACCTATTGGGAGACTCCCTTCTGTGAGGCTTTTGTACTCCTATACCGCCTTGCTATGTATGCCAAGAATGCAAGGCCCTCAGCACTATTTATCCAGGCCATTTCTCAGGGTTATACTGTAGCATGCAACCTTGAAAAATGAAGTGGTATCTCCCTTCAAGAAAAAGAGCAAGGTTACATACTGCTTGCTATAAAAGTGGAGTCTCTGAGCTTAGCGTTCCTCTCTTGAAATGCAGCTCACTGCATGTGAACATCTGTCTGATCCACATCATCCCTGTGGGACTTGGGAGAAGAGGAAGCAACGCAAAGGCCCTCCAACAACGGGCCACTAGTCAAGGTATTCGATGGACATTCCACAGTCCCATTTGCAGGCATCCAGTACTCTTGAATATTGGAAAGGCCTTCTTAAAAATCAACTCAAAAAGATTTCTGACTTACTTGGGGGTGGTGGGGGGACAGAATCCCATGATAGGTGGGCTTGATAATTTGCTGGAATGATACCAGAACTCAGGGGAGTACTATACTGTACTTCTAGTCATAGTTTTGTTATAAAAGATGCAACTGAGGAACAGCTAAATGGAGGAGATTCATAGGGCAGGGTACTGGGTGGTGGGATTGGGGTGGGACACAGAGCTTCCATGCCCCTCCCACTACACTGATGTGATCATCAATCCTGACCTCTCCAAACCTTGTCATTCCATGGTTTTTAAATGGGCTTTCATTATGTAGGCAAAATTAATTAAATCATTGGCTACATGACTGAACTCAATCCACACTCCCTTTTCCCTCCCAGAATTTAGGAGGTGAGGCTGAAAGTTCCAACTCTCTAATCACAGGGTTGGTTCCTCTGGTGACCAGCCCATAGCCTGAAGCCATCTAGTACTCCTGCACCTCAAAATGAGTCATCTCATTAACATGAATAACAAAAGACACTCCTATTTCTCAAGAAATTCTAAGAGTTTTAGGAGCTCTGTGCCAAGAACCAAGAACAAGGACCAAATATATTTTTATTATACCACATCTGGTCTTAGTGGCAAGGTTGTAGTACTTGGTATGGAGGTGAATACATTGTGCTATCTTAGCCAGATTAACTATTAAGCATTTAATTTCAGGCTGGCATGGTGGCTCACACCTGCAATCCCAGCACTTTGGGCAGCTGAGGCTGGAGGATAGCTTGAGGCCAGGAGTTAGAGACCAGCCTAATAGGCAACATAGTGAGACCCCCTTCTCTAAAATAACTAAAATATTAGCAAGGCTGGGAGGCAGGAGGATTGATTGAGCCCAGGAGTTGGAGATTACAGTAAACTATGATGACACTACTGCACTCTAGCCTGGGCAACAGAGCAAGACGCTGTCTCCAAAAAGTAAAATAAAATAAAATAAACATTCAGTTCATCTCAATCATCCCATCTTGTCTTGAGTCCTGGCTTATCATTTGACCTTCCACATAGATCTACCTATAGGTTTGGGGGTTCAGTCTTCATGCCAATGATTCCTCCTGGTAAATTAGCACATTGACATCTGGATTTTATAACTCAATTATGTGAACTGTATACACAGGCTCCACATGTTAGAGGGTCTGGCCTTGGACTATGGTGATTCTCTAAAGTACTAAAGGCTGTCAGGAAGCCTCTTGGCAGCTCGCCCACTGGCCAGCCAGCCTCTCCTCAACACATGCCCACTTCACTGCTGGTTGCCTAGTGGGAGCCTTTTTCATAAACTTCCTCGAGGCAAATAACTGTCTAGAGCCTTCCTAAGACATTCCAGGTGCTTCCTATAATTCTCAGTACAAAATTCCAATTGGGTTCAGCTACTCAGAGAGACCCACAGAAGGAACCCTTTCATGGTAGCTCCGCAGTAACTGTGTGCCCAGGGAACAGGTGGTTTTCTGAGTCACAGGCCTCCAAACTAGGGACATTTGTGTCCTGGTGATTGACAAAGACTTTAGAAGAGGCACATAGGCATGAATGGATTTAAGGGGTTCATTTTTTCCAGATTCTCAACTTCCCGTGTACTTTCCTAAAAATGACCTGCTGATTTGAGGAGTCGTGCCAGTTCTACTCTCCACCTCTCCTCCCCAGCCTCCCTTCCCCCAGTTTACAAAAGGAGGGCACTCTCTCATACAGCCTTCTGATGCTTGGCTTGGAGCACAAGAGCTGCAAGGTGCCAAAGGAAAGGAAAATTCTGAATATTCTAAAATTTAAAGACCTCTTCCATTCTCTATTGCTCAAAAATGCATCATATGTGAAGAAGTGCCCTATGAGAGTAAAGCAAAAAAAAAAAAAAAACCATCAGTGAGGAACAGTGAAAACCTTTGTTATCATATTTCATCTAGGAAAGGAACGTTCCATGCCTTGTTCATCTACATTTTTTAAAATTTAGAAGCAAAATGACTGTCACAAGGCATATATTAACATGACGACTTGGATTGAAAAATGAGAAACCTTTTCTAATGGAAAGTAATTTGATGTGGCTGATTAGTTTAACAATGAGGACTGGCTTTGCCAATAAAAATGTCAAAGATGTTTTTCATAAATGAGTTAAGTCTGCAGCTCCAAGATGTTCATAAATATATATTTAAAGCATATGGTAGGATAAAAGAACTTGATCAAAAAAATATTGTCTTAGCAAAAATGTATTGGAATTAACATTTTCACTTTCCAAAACCTTCCTGAGTAACTCAGTTTAAACAAGGTTCCTCTAAGTGAAAAAATAGCAGAACTAATTAATAATCATTTGGTAAATCTTCAAAAAGCTTTGTTGGTATAATTCCAGAAAGTGAGAATTTGAATGACACTTGTGACTGGGTAACAATTCCTTTACAGATTGGTTGGTTTCCAAGTCTTTGCTTTCAACTAAATTGAAACAAGACTTAATTAAGTTGTCAGCTAATAGAGCATTTAAAATAACTTTTGGTGATCAATTATTATGTGGTTTTTATCAAATAATTCAGAGGTACTCAAAGAATGGCATTCCTATAATGAAATTTCTTTCTTTCCCCTCTAATATATGCAAACTAGGTTTCTCAGAGCTTGTCTATAAAAATAAAAAATAGGAAGAGAACTAATGTTGAACCCAGTTCTATTCTAGCAATAAAAAATATTCATCCACAGATATAACTATTTGGAAAAATTTCAGCCCTACCAACTGTCATTAAGAGATGTCTTTCTAGTAAAGTTTTATTTTTTATGTTTAATAATTATTAGCATTTAAAATAATACATGTTATTTTGATAAATTATGGACTACTCAGTCCAGAAGAAATTCAACATTTATAGCCCTATGGTCACAGAAAATAATTTTTTTAATTTTAATGTCAGTTTACATACATATTTTTGTTGCAGATAAGACTGATCAATAAAATATAACAGGATATAATTCAATGACTAAAGTGGAATGAAAATATGTTAAAGAAGAACTTTGTGTCTTTCTTAGTGGATGATTATAAATATCAAATTTCTCTGAAATCTGGATTTCACTGAATATGTTTAAAATCTTGATGTAAGAGTTTAAAATGTCAGTATTTAAACAAATAAGAAATCCTTATCTTTTGCAACTGTTACTGAAAGCTCGGGCACTGGTCCTCAAGACTGCATCAGAACGAGAACAAGTGGTTTGAGGAGGAAGGAAAGAGACATTTTATTACTTTGCCAGCAAAAGGAAGATAGAAATTCCTATCTGAAATGCCATGGTCCTCCTAATAAGCAATAATACAGAGCTTTTAGAGGCTGTGTTCTCAGTTTCAGGCAAGTACTGTTCAACTACAGTTGATGATTCTGATCCTCCATCTCCACTGAAGACAATCTTGTGACCTTTACCCACGACCTCCCTTTACCAGGTCCAGGCTGGGCCATCTCTTGTTGGGCAAATAACAAAATACTTACCCTGCGCCTCCCAACCACTGGCCTGAAGCAGGGGTGCTGGTTTTAGTTCTTAAAAAGGAGTGGAGGGGCCGGGTGCCGTGGCTCACACCTGTAATCCCATCACTCCAGAAGGCTGAGGCAGGAAGATTGCTCAAGGTCTGGAGTTCAAGACCAGCCTGAGCAAGAGCGAGACTCCATATCTACTAAAAATAAAAAGAAATTAGCCAGACAACTAAAATTAGAAAAAAGTAGCCAGGCGTGGTGGCATATACCTGTAGTTCCAGCTACTTGGGAGGGTGAGGCAGGAGGATGGCTTGAGCCCAGGAGTTTGAGGTTGCTGTGAGCTAGACTGATGCCACAGCCCTCTAGCTTGGGCAACAAAGCAAGATTGTGTCTAAAAAAGAAAGAAAGAAAGAAAGAAAGAAAGAAAGGAGAGAGAGAGAGAGAGAGAGGAGAGAAGACGATGGAGAGAGAGAGAGGAGAAGAAAGAGAGCGAGGGAGGCAGGGAGGAAGGAAGGAAGAGGAAGGAAGAAGAAGGAAGGAAGAAGAAAAGAAAGAAAGAGAAAGAAAGAAAGAAAGAAAGAAAGAAAGAAAGAAAGAAAGAAAGAAAGAAAAAGAAAGAAAGAAAGAAAACAGGATGTTTTAAAGAGATAAAATATTTTTGCTGGGGTTTTTTCAGGCCATTCCCTCTGTTACACAATTATTTAAATTTAAGGTATAAAATTTAAATTTTAGATATCAACTTAAAAATTTGAGAGGGGACACAACTTTTGAAAATGCGTTTTGTCAATTTGAGAATTAAAAAGTGTGAAGACCACGACCTGAAGTAAGGAGAAACGTCCTGGGCGCTGAGCCATGCTGATGGGTGCCCAGGAAGAGGGCGGAGGCAGGAGCCTGACAGACAGAAGACAAGGGTGGACAAAGGGCCTGATCCGGCTGACTCCCAAGTCCTCACCACTGGGATCTGCCTCACCGACCTCAGGGAGAGGTGTGTATGGAAGGAGGGAGGGGCAGCCTAGGGAAAATCCTGCAGACAGGGAAGGTGGCTGGTGCCCAGAGGGAAAGTGTCAACCTTTATGCTGTTCCAGACCATGAGTCACCCTTGAGCTGCTGGGCTGCCCAAGCTTGGGCTTGGAACTAGAGAAGCTGCTGCCTCAAGGTGACTCAGCAGAACTTAACAGAGCCCATTGGAGGAGCTGGGAGCCCCCTGGACATCTAGGAGAGATTATCCCCCCAAACCCATTTATCTATCAGGGTGAGCTGCAGCAACTGTACCCTTGGAGCACTCAGGTTTCTGGACTCATGCCTCCACCTCATGCCTAACACAGCAGATACTGTTTATTCTGCTAAAACATGAGTCTTTGGGGAGACTTCTTAGAGACTAGAAATGTGAGGGACCGTGGAATACAGACACTGCAATCAGTCATCTGAATATTACTACCCAACCCTAAAATTTGGATCTTAACAGAAAGGGGTCTAGAGCAGGGATGCTTGGTTTTAGGAAAAGCAACCTGTTTTCTGTGGTTTCCAGGAGGCCTACTGCTGACCCTTTTGGGGGAGTCAGTGCACTCAGAGAAGGAGACATCTGCATGGCACACAGGGAAGCCTCCTAAACTCCCCGCTACCTTGTGGCAGCCTCTCCTTTGCCCGCCCGCTGTGAGGCCAGCTACTTCCACGCCTCCTTCCCTCCCTCCCCTCTTGTTCTTTCCTCCTTCAACGAAGCCTTCGGGTGATGAGAAAGCCTCCCCCATGGACTCAGGAGTACAGGTTCCAGCAGCTGCTCTGCTGTGGACCGGCTCTGTGATCCTAGACAAGGCACTGACCTCTCTGAATCTATTTCCCCACCTGGAAATGGAGCTCACAACCTGCCCACCTCTTTGTGAGGTGTGGGTGGCGGGACTGGGAGGGGTGGTGGTGTACTCATCCATGCACCTGAGCAGCTCTCCCCTCTCAAACACCGTAGCCTTTGGGGCCGTCCCTGGGGTCCCTTGGACTCCCTGTCCCTTCACCTTCTCACCTTCCCCTAGACCGTGCTGCCCTGTCTCTGCCTCTCACAGGGCTGGCACAGAACAGGACACACGATGGTCACCCCTTCCTGGCAACATGAGTTATCTGCCCAGTGAAAGGGCGAATGACTCGAAGGACACATTTCACACACAGGCTATATGGGAGAGTCAGCACAGAAGGGGGTTTAGTGAGGGTTTTAATAAATGGGGATAGCCGATCCCTCCCACCTGTCCTGTTCAGTTCTTTGTTTCTAGGCCAAACTGGCAGGTGAAGAGTTGCTTCCTGCTACGTGCAGTTCGCGTATGGCAGAGGACGGTGGGCAGAACAGCTGTTTGCAGTAAATTCTTCTTCAAACAACCAACTCCTCGACCCTTTCTCCCCAGTCGCATCCATCCTTCTGCTCTGGCATCGTCCTAATCAGGAGAGCCAAGGAGAGATGGCCTTCGTCTGTACCAGGGAGGGAGGGGAAGGAATGCTGGCTGCAGCTGTCCATTAGATCTGCAAAGTCCAGGGACTCCCCAGACTCTTGCAGCTATTGTTTTACAAGCCTAAGTTTTGCATTAACCACATTCTGTCCTATACATACTTTTCGGGTTCCCACCTGGAACAAACCTAACACTCAGAAGGCACAGCTGCGGCCCTTCCACCTCCTGCCTTAGGACGGAGCAGCGTCCAGAGCTCCCTCTCTATGCAGGGAAGAGAACCAGCCTTCTCAGCCTTGGTTTGGGGGGGGTGGAGGGCAGGTTGTTTCCCTCAAGAACCAAACTTGTATAACGTTATTAGATTTTTTTTTTTTTTTTGAGACAGAGTCTCACTTTGTTGCCCAGGGTAGAGTGAGTGCCGTGACGTCAGCCTGGCTCACAGCAACCTCAATCTCTGGGGCTCAGCGATCCTACTGCCTCAGCCTCCCGAGTAGCTGGGACTACAGGCATGCGCCACCATGCCTAGCTAATTTTTTGTATATATATTTTTAGTTGGTCAATTGATTTATTTCTATTTTTGGTAGAGAGGGGGGTCTCGCTCAGGCTGGTTTCGAACTCCTGACCTTGAGCAATCCGCCCACCTCGGCCTCCCAAAGTGCTAGGATTACAGGCGTGAGTCACCACGCCCGGCCAATTAGATCATTTTGATAATTAGATTTCTCAAATGAACAAACAGGGCACACCCGCATCACAGGGAATGGGCCTTGGTCCCTCCCTGATTGGGCTGCAGTGGCAGGAGGCCCCTAAGGCAGGGAACAGGCCTGGTCACCCCAGCACTGCTGGCACAGAGGCTCCTGGCAGGATGGCTGCAGGTATGGCTCCCCTTCCTCCTGGCCTTGGTTTCCGAGAGCCACCAGCCCAGGAAAGTGGCTAAATCCCAGGAGAAAGGGGCAACCTGCAGGGCCCTGCCCTGTGCCAGGCCCTGGACGGTGCATTATGTAATGTTTTAGTCCCATGCTTGCCTAAGACTGACTCTCAATTTCTTTAATTCCAAAGCAGGCTGCACTAGTCCCTCTTCAGGGCCGGAGGACTCAGGAAGCAGCGATAGCTTGGACTAAACTGGGGAGGCCAGGCAGGCAGCGGGGACGGTGAGGCGGGCGGTGTCCCGTGACCCTGTTTTGGAGAAGAAGGTTCCTTTCAAATCTGTCCCAGTGTCCATGCCTTTCTCCCACCCCTCTACTCCTGTGTCCTCAGAAAAAATGTTGGCCGTGCACTTTGACAAGCCGGGAGGACCAGAAAGCCTCTACGTGAAGGAGGTGCCGAAGCCGAGCCCGGGGGAGGGGGAAGTCCTCCTGAAGGTGGCGGCCAGCGCGCTGAACCGGGCGGACTTACTCCAGGTACCCAGTCACCGCGGGGTGGGCGCGGGGGACCAGGGCCTGCCCCCTGCAGGGCTGCCTGGATCGGGAACTGAGCCCGGCCGGGTTTGCCGCGAGCTGGGTGAGCCGGGCCGGGGCGGCCGGACGCGCGGTTTGGGCCTCCGCGTCCGAGTGGGACGCCGGAGGGGGACCCCAGCACCCCGCGGGCCCGCCCCGCGCCGCCGTGCACACGCCCGCAGAGCCCCGCGCCGGCGTCCACCGCGGCCGGGAGAGGAGCTGCGGTCTGTTCGGCGCCCACCTGCCTGGCACTGAGCTCGGCGGGTTCTTCGTTTAGCCCTCACTGCACCCTCGGGGATGGGCGCTGTGTTCCTCGCAGCGCTGAGGACAGTGAGGTGAACGGCCAGCGAGCTGCTCGCGCCGGCAGCCGGGGCTGACCTGCTTTCTCCCCGGCTCCTGCATCCTTTCGGCAGCAGGCGCCTCCCGCTCCCAGCGGCGCAACAGATCCGGAATTACCGCTGCGCCCCGCGCGTCCGAGCCGTGCCGCCACCCCGGCGCTTGCAGCGCCCCCGCCAGCCCGCCCGCGGCGCCGCGGAGGATGGAGCGGGCCCGCCTGCCCTGCAGCCTGACACCTCCTCTCCCTCTCTCGCCACCTCTAGCCATGTTCCACACGCCTTCCTGCCTCACAACTGTCGCCTTTGCCTTTCTCTCTCCCTGGGATGCTCTTTAGCCATTCTTTTTATGTCCACCGCCTTCTCTCACAGTGCCTGTGGTTAGTATCCACAGACCTGGCTCGTGTGTGTGTTTGTGTGTGTGTGTATTAATACATAAGTGAGTCCTCTTCTTTAAAGCTTGTCTTCCCTCACTAGACTGTAAGTTCCGCCAGGACAGCGGTGATGCGCTTTTCCCTGCACAGGGCAGACACAGCATGCACTAAGTATTCGTTGAATAAATGGCAGAGACAGAATTTGAGCCCAGAGCCATTTGTCTCCAAAGTCCAGACAGCTGGCTCTTAGGAAGGAGGGGATTAGTCTGTGCATGGGAACAAATGCCCTTAAGCTAGTGTGACCACAGTGTCACAGTCCCTTTGATTGGGCCTCATCCTCATCCAGGCCCTGGCTTGCATCAAAGCACTCGTGAGTTCAGTCCCTCGCTGTTGTCTAAATTCTTGGCCCAGAGCCAGGCCAGCACCCTTCAGCCCAGCAGGAAGGAATCAGAGCCAGTTTGAATGACATTCCGTGCTGCAGCCCAGCTTCTAGCTAGAAAAGACCTCATGATAGCCCACCTTCTTGTGCAAACTAAGTTTGGAGCAGGAGAAACAAGGGCACAGATGGCAGGAAGTCCCCTTGCTAGCCCCACCTCTCAGGGTCTCAGACCTCAGCAGACTGCACTCCCAGCTCCCTGACCCCCCCCCCCATCCACAGCACTGTCCCTGGACTAAGAGAGTGACTGTGAAGACCTCTAGATGGTATATTTTACGTCACCATCTCTGAAAAGGTCCCATTGAGTAGCTGTTTCTGGAATGACTGTTATTTGGAAACTATCTGAATTTTTTTCCATCCTCGAAAATGAAAAGTAGAATCCAAGCAAACACCCACCTTTTCCCTTCAGCGAGAAGGAAGGCTAACATTGAACTCCTCTTACCAGACCAAACGACCTGTGCACCCTTCTCTATGCAGAGACAAGGCCAGTATGCCCCGCCCCCAGGAGCCAGCAGCATATTGGGACTCGAGGCATCTGGACACGTGGCAGAGCTGGGGCCTAGCTGCAAGGGGCACTGGAAGATTGGGGACCCAGCCATGGCTCTGCTGCCTGGTGGGGGCCAGGCTCAGTATGTCACTGTCCCCGAAGGGCTGCTCATGCCTATCCCAGAGGGACTGTCCCTGACCCAGGCTGCAGCCATCCCGGAGGCCTGGCTCACTGCCTTCCAGCTGCTGCACTGTGTGGGTAAGGAGGCCCTGCCCCGTCACCTGAGGCTAGCTGCTCACCCCACCCCAGGCATCTGCCCTAACCCTCACCTCTGAGTGCTCCCCCGACACCGACACACCCTGGCCTCTAACCTCAGTGCTGACCCAGACCTCTCCCCCGTGGAGACAACTATGGTCAGTTTTTATGACCAATGTGAGGCAGAACCAAGGTTCTCAGAGCTGCTTGTCCCTGTGCCCAGAGGGGAGGAAACTGTCCTTCAGCCCTTCTGCTAAGGTCCCTCACAGGCAGTGGAGGAGACACTCTTGGTCCAACTCTTACGTAAAAAGGGATCAGAGGCCGGGCGTGGTGGCTCACGCCTGTAATCCTTGCATTCTGGGAGGCTGAGGCAGTTAGATTGCTCAAGGTCAGGAGTTTGAAACCAGCCTGAGCAAGAGCGAGACCCCGTCTCTACTATAAATAGAAAGAAATTAATTGGCCAACTAATATATATAGAAAAAATCAGCCGGGCATGGTAGTGCATGCCTGTAGTCCCAGCTACTCGGGCGGCTGAGGCAGGAGGATTGCTTGAGCCCAGGAGTTTGAGGTTGCTGTGAGCTAGGCTGGCGCCACAGCACTCACTCTAGCCTGGGCAACAAAGTGAGACTCTGTCTCAAAAAGAAGGGGGGGGGATCAGAGCAGCCCAGACATCTGGCCTGGGAATTTTTCTGTCCCAGGAGCTCTCGTTGGCTCAGGAGGCCCCTTCAGGACAGCTCTGACACTCAACCCACTCCTCTGTCCACTGCATTAATCTTTCCCAAGCCCAGCTCTGATCAAGGCACCCCTGCTCTAAAACGTTTGTGCTCCCCACACTCAGAGGCCTTTGTGACCCAGGCCCTGTGTACCCCTCTGGCCCTGTCTCTCATCCCATCCTTGGTGCACAGCTGGTTTAGGTTTCCAAAGCCAACCTTGCACTTCCCACCCCCATGCCCGCACTGGCCCAGGGTATTCTAACTTGAGTCATTGCCGTAGGAGGAGTGTGTGAAGGGGAGACGGTGCTCATCCACGCCGGCACAGGTGGTGTGGGCACGGCGGCCATCCAGCTGACCAGGCTGTTCAAAGCCATCCCCCTGGTGACCACGAGCTCCAAGGAGAACATCCAGATGGCCCAGAGCTTGGGTGCTGCAGCTGGGTTTGATTACAAAAAAGAGGACTTCTCCGAGGAGGCTCTGAAGGCCACACAGGGTGTGTATGTGTGTGTGTGTGTGTGTGTGTGTGTGTGTGTGTGTGTGTGTGTGTGTGTGTGTTGGGGGAGCCCGTGTGTTTGAGGAGAGGCCAAACTGATCCCTGGCTTAACCCTTCCTCTCTTGTCTTACTTCCTCCTCTTCATAACCTTTTTCTCCTCCTTGCTCTCTCCTGTATTAGTTACCTATTGCTGCATAACAAATTACCCCAAAACTTAGTGGCTTAAAGCAACAAATTTTTACTATCTCACAGATTCTGTGGGTCAGGAATCTGGGAGAAATTTATCTGGGTCCTCCAGCTCAAGGTTTCTCCTAAGGCATCAGCCAGGGATACAGTCATCTGGAGGCTCACCTGGGGAACAATCTGCCTCCAAGCTCACTCTTGTGGCTGTTGGCAGGCTTCAGGTCCTTGTCAACCATTAGCCAGGGACATCAGTTCCTTGATATATGAGCCTTTCCATAGCACAGCTTGAAATGTGGCAGTTGGCATCCTTCAGAGAGAACAAGAAAGAGTGAAAGAAAGGGCCCAAGAAGGAAGCAATCATCTTTTAGTACCTAATCTTGAAAGCAATATCCCATCTCTTCTGCTGTGTTCTTTTTGTTAGAAATGATGTACACTCAAAGGGAGGGATCACCCAAAGTTGTAAATATCAGAAGATGTAGGTCATTAGCAGACCATCCTAGAGGACACCCACCACATCTCCCTTCTCCTTCTCTGTCATTCCCAACCCTCTCTTGGTTCTCCTTCCCTATCCCCTCTCTCTCTACTATACCTTTCACAAAGCCTGAAAATGGTCTAACCACTCCAGATGGAAGAAAAATTAATTAGAAATAAATAATATGGGCCAGGCGCGGTGGCTCACGCCTGTAATCCTAGCTCTCTGGGAGGCCGAGGTGGGCGGATTGCTCAAGGTCAGGAGTTCAAAACCAGCCTGAGCAAGAGCTACTATAAATAGAAATAAATTAATTGGCCAACTGATATGTATATAAAAAAAAAAAATTAGCCGGGCATGGTGGCGCATGCCTGTAGTCCCAGCTACTCGGGAGGCTGAGGCAGGAGGATCGCTCGAGCCCAGGAGTGTGAGGTTGCTGTGAGCTAGGCTGATGCCATGGCACTCACTCTAGCCTGGGCGACAAAGCGAGACTCTGTCTCAAAAAAAAAAAAAAAAAAGAAAAAAAAAAAAGAAATAAATAATATGAACCCAGGAAAAGTGGAAAAAAAATAAGCTAATCATAAGGGTTAATACAATAACTGTGATCCAGTATAATGTATGATTCTGAGCTTCCTGGCTGCCTCAGCAAAAAAAGCAGCAGCATGATCAAGATTGAGATTTCCATATTTTTAAAGATTTGGGGGTGGGGAGTCCTTTGAAGCTCCAGGGGCTCCAGTGCCCAAAGGGTTACATAGCTTTAATTATCAAAGCCTACTGACTTCTCAGAGGAGAACAATGCCATTCTTGCTCTCTGGAGCAAGTACTCAAGGCCTTATCAGTCTATGTTTACAACCACTGTGAGACATATCTCCTTAGCTGGAGGTCTTCTGAAAGCTGAACACCTTAGCACTTCTCCCCCAACTCTCTAAGAGAACTGAGTGCCTCCTGCCTTCCAGATAGTGCCTTTTTCCCACTTCATTTCCTGGCCCATGGGAGAATATGCAAAATTAGATCCAGAGGGGAGGAGTTTAGGTATCTGCCTTCCCACAATGACTAAGCCATTTCTACCTACTACTCAAGGTGTGGGTGTCAATGTGATCCTGGACTGCATTGGTGGCTCTTACTGGGAGAAGAACCTCCACTGTTTGGCCGCAGATGGCCGATGGGTTCTGTATGGCCTCATGGGGGGAGCCGAGGTCAATGGACCACTGCTCTCCAAGCTGTTGTGTAAGCGAGGAAGTCTGCGGGCCAGTCTGCTGAGGTCCAGGGACAAGAAGGTAGGTGACAGACACATCTGAACTGGTTCTAGGCACTTTGATTCCTGCCGATTAACCTTTCCTGACACTGTCAACTTTCCTTCCTCTGGATGGGAATCTAAGGGTTATCCTAACCTCTCTCCCATCAGAAGACTCAGTCTGTATGTCTACTTTCTCATTTGACTCTGACATAGTGCTCCCCTCTGCCAGGCCCTAGATTCACACTGGGATGACCATACTTTTAGGGGGGGGGCGGTTCCCTTGATGCTCCAGGGGTCCCAGGGCCAAAGGGTGTTTATATTGATTGCTGATCTGGTCTGACCTCCTTGGACCAAGGCTAGTACTAGGGCCAAGCAGGCATGGTGTGATTTTCTCCTCAAAGTTGTGTGATGCCAACAGAATCTCATCCACACCCTGTTAATGGGCTATTTCCTTGCCTCAGTATAAGGAAACATTGGTGAAGACTTTCACGGAACAAGTCCTGTCCCACTTCTCCCCTGGGAGTGCTGTGCAGCTGCAGCCTGTCGTGGATAAAGTCTTCACCATGGCCGAGGTCCAGAAGGCCCACTCTCGCATGGAAGCCAACCAGAATGTGGGCAAAATTATCCTGGAGATGCCCTGACTCAAACATGGTGTGGCTGATGGGAGACACTGGCCCTATGGGAATTGTGGGGGATAGGGCCAAGGATATGGGAGTATGGGCAGGCCTGGAATTGGGCTGAGTTGGGCCAGGGGATGGGAACTGGGACCAGGCTGTCTCACAACACTGTTGGGAGAATTAACTGAGACCACAGAAATATGAGTGCTTTGTTACCTGTAAAATACATTGTAATTGGGTAAAGTTCTTTGTGGACTATATATAAACTAGAAAGTATTTATATACTATAGAGCAAATATAACAGATTTTAGGAGAAGTGTTATTTTTTCCTAGGGCCATATCCTAGGCCTGTTAGGCTATGGATTTGGGGGAAGAAACTAAATCCATTCTTTCCCCAAATTCAGGCTAGTGCTTTGATCTTTGGAGCTGGCCTGTTTTCAGGCCAGTTCTGAAGACTAAAGGACTAGCCTAAGTTAATTCCTAAACACAAAGGCCTGGCCCTAACCCCTCCTCTGAGCTCCAGATACATATATCAAACTGACTACTGGACATTTTCACCTAGAGATCTCAAAGGTGCTTCTATTTTAACACATTAGAATTTAACACATAATCATCACCTACCATCGGCTCCTCTCCAGGATTTCCTGTTTCTATAAATAGCAATTACTATCCATCCAGGTACAGAATCCAGAAACCTAGAAGTCATCCCTAATACCCATTCTCTCTTGCATCTTCTTATCCAGCAGACCCTTCCCTTTCCCTCCATTTCACTACCATCTCTCCTAATCCAAGCCACTGTCACCTTTTACCTCTGCTATTGCAATGGCTTTCTAATTTATCTCCCTACACCCACTCTTTTCTAATCCATATTCTGTGCTGTAGTAAAAGTGATTTCTTCAAAATGCAAATTTAATCACACCATGGCTCTACTTAATCCACTTGGGTAGCCTTCCATTCCTGGTACAGCAATAACAAAAACCCAGCAGGGCCAACAAGTCTCTGCAGACTGACCCACACCTGCAGCCTCCTTTCCCACCATGCTCTCCTCCAGCCTCAAACATTTCTCCTGTCTCTGACCCCTCTGCCACAACCCAAATGTCCATCCAGAAGGACTTGTTGAATACATTTTGATACATTCACATGATGGAGGACTGTGTAGCTATATAAGGTAATACAAATTGCCATAATTTCCAGAATATGTCAAGTGAAAAAAAAAGATACACAACAATGTGTATGGTATGCTACCTTTTATCTTAGAAAAGGAGAATATATGAACTTATTTATGTATTTGCTTATTTTTTTAATAGAAGAATCAAAAACTAGGGTAAACCAAGGGAATCCAATGTTTACCTCAGTGAGGAGGATGAGACAGAGTGGAAGGAACACATACAGGAGAGCTTGACTTCTCTGAATTTTGAAGATTTTATGTTGGTACCATGTAAATGTTTTACAAAATCAAGGCATTTTTTTCATAATTAAATTTTTAAAATGTAGAAACAAAAAAGTTCCTAACATTAAAAAGGCATTTTTTATAATTAAATTTTTAAAATGTAAAAAAAAAGAATTCCTAAAATTAAAATTACAAAATACACTAAATTGTGTTTCTAATTCATGGATTGGCCATATAAATGGAATAATTTCAAGTGATGTTTAATTTAAAACACAATAATTTGATTGGATGTCCTTATTTGGGGATGAATCCTATGAACAAAAAGGATAGCAAGCAAATTTTAAACTGTTTTCAGTAATCATGTTACTGTTAATAATTATGAAAAATTATCTGGGCTCAGTAGCACACATCTATAGTCCCAGCTACTCAGGAGGCTGAGCACGGAGGATCACTTGAGCCCAGGAGTTTGAGGTTGGTGTGAGCTATGGAAGACACCACTGCACTGTATGTAGCCTGGGTAACAGAGTGAGACTCTGTCTCAATAAACAAACAACTAAATAAATAAAGTCAATATTTATTTCCTGATTTATTTTCTCCTTTTTCCTTCCTTCTTTTTTTTCTCCCAAGCTTTCCTGCTTTTAACTGAAATCGTTTTAAAGTTTTTCCATTTAGGATAGTATTTGCTGTGGATTTTCAGTACATAGTCTGCTATAAATAGTTTCCTTTTATGCTAATTTTGCTTGGAGTTGTTATAATGACTGGTTTCTGGCTTAATTGATGCTTTTTTAGCCTCCATTGATTGGCTCATATGGGTGGGTGCTTTCTCCTTTCATTTGTTGATGCTATGGGTTGTATTGATAGACTTCCTAATGCTGATTTTATGTAGTCATAGTGAATTATTCTTTTGATAAATTGCTAAATTCTATTTGCTAATTTTTTAAAGAAATTTTTGCCTTCATCAATCAGCTTTTGCTGCAAAGATGAACTACTTCCAAATCTTAATAGTTTACAACAACAAATGTTTATTTCTTGCTCAGTTATGGCTATGCTGGGCTCCCTGGGCCTGGCATGGACAATGGGTTGGATTCAGGTCCACTCTGTGTGTTTCTCACTCTGGGACAAGCTGCAGGAGAGACCACCTGTGGGCGGCAGGAAGGCAAGGGGACTGATGAAAATTGGCCATGGCTTCATCACTCAGGCCCCATTTCATCTCCTTTCTCATTGCTAATCTTTCAGACTTCAGCTCTCTCTTGTTCCCCAACTCTGACTCACAATAGATTTCACTTATGTTATTGGTTTTTATAAAGAACTAGCCCTTGCAACATGGATTGAATTAGAGGACATTGTTAAGCCAGGAACAGAAAGGAAAACACCATGTGTTCTTACTCATATGTGAAAGCTAAAAAAAGTTGATCTCATAAAAGCAAAAAGTAGAAGAGAAGAGCTAGGCACAGTGGTTCATGCCTGGTAGTCCCAGTGAACTCTGGAGGCTGAGGCGGGAGCGTCACTTGAGGCCAGGAGTTGGAGGCTGCAGTGAGCTATGATCTCACCATTGCACTCCAGCCTGGGCAACGAAACAAGACCCTGTCTCTCAAAACAAAAAAAGTAGAACAAAGGATACTAGAACCTGGAAAGAGTTAGGGGATGAGGGGTGAAGAGAGTTGTTAAAGGATACAAAACTACAGCTAGCTGGGAAAAATATAAGTCCTACTGTTCTATAGTACTATAGTATGACTATATTTAATGATATATTACATAGTTTCAAATAGCTAGAAGGAGAATATTGAATGTTCCCAACACAAGGAAATGATAAATGTTAAGATGATGGATATGCTAATTACCCTGATCTGATCACTATACATTATATGTATTGAAACATCACTATGTACCCCATAAATATGTATAATTATCAATTATTATATGTCAATTTATAAAAGAAAAAGAACTAGCCTATAGATTTATTTATCCTTTCTACTTTTTTGGTTTTGTTTTGTATTTTACAAATGTCAGCTTTTGTTTTTACTAATTCTTCTAGTTTGTTTCTCTAGTTTCTTAAAATGAATCTCTTAGTTCCTTCATTTTTTCATGTTTCTTCCTTAATAATGAATAGATTTAAGGTCATTTCCCTTTTTTTTATTTCTATACAGTTTTAATTCTTTTCATTTTCCTGTCAATATTCACTTTGATCCAAAGGTTATCTCAAATGTGTTTCTTCCAAATAGTTTCTGGGACGGGGAGGGGAAGATATCCTCTTTTTTATTATTCATTTCTAATTTTATTGATACAAGATTAAGAAAATATGGCCTGCTCTTTGAATTTATTAAGGTTTTTCTTTGGTGACAATTTGTTAAAGTTTTTCTTTGGTGACTTGATTAATTTTGTAAATGTCCCATGGACTTAAAACAAATATGTATGCTCTGTTTGCAGAATGTATTAAATCAAGTTTACTGATTGCATTATTCAATTCTTCTGTGTCCTTATTAATTTTTTCTCTATTATATCCCTCGAATTCTGAGAAAGACTTGTTGAAGTCTTTCACTGTGCCTATGTTCTTATCCATTTACTCTTGAATTTCTAAGGTAGCTGCTTTGTTGTTTTAGGCATTAAAGCTAATAATTATTATATCTTCCTCATGGATCTTACCTTTTAAAAGTCACCTAGGGCCGGGCACGGTGGCTCACGCCTGTAATCCTAGCACTCTGGGAGGCCGAGGTGGGAGGATCGCTCAAGGTCAGGAGTTCAAAACCAGCCTGAGCAACAGCGATACCCTGTGTCTACTAAAAATGGAAACAAATTAATTGGCCAACTAAAAATATTAGAAAAAATTAGCTGGGTATGGTGGCGCATGCCTGTAGTCCCAGCTACTCGGGAGGCTGAGGCAGTAAGATTGCTTGAGCCCAGGAGTTTGAGATTGCTGTGAGCTAAGCTGATGCCATGGCACTCTAGCCCAGGCAACAGAGCGAGACTCTGTCTCAAAAAAAAAAAAAAAAAAAGTCAAATTCATAGAGAGTAGAATGATGGTCACCAGGGGCTATGGTGGGGTCTAGAGGAAGGGAATGGAGAGCTGCTGATTATAGGGTACAAAGTTTCATGTTCACATGAGGAATAAGTTTTGAGGTCTATTGCTCAGCAGGGTGACTATAGTTACTAATATGTATTATTGTATATTTCCAAATAACTAAGAGGCTGGACACAGTGTCTCATGTCTGTAATCCTAGCACTTGGGGAGGCCAAAGTGGGAGGGTTGCTTGAGGTCAGAAGTACAAGATCACCCTGGGCAACATAGCAAGACCCCATCTCTAGAAAAAAAATTTAAATTAGCCAAGAATGGTGTCATGCACCTGTAGTCCCAGCTACTCAGAAGGCTGAGGCAGGTGGATTGCTTGAGCCCAGGAGTTCGAGGCTACAGTGAGCTGTGATTGCACCACTACACTACAGTTTGGGTGACAGAGGGAGACCCTGTCCCAAAAAGAAGAAAGGTAAGTGAGATTATAGACATATTAATTAGCTTGATTTAATCATTCTACATTGTATACATAGATCAAAATATCATATTATACCCCATAAATATATACAATTATGATTTGTCAGTTAAAAATGATATTAATTTTTAAAAACACTTTTATTTTCCCTTTTTCCTTTTATTTGCTCGCTTTATGAAGTGATTTTTTTCTATTTTTTTTCCCTTGTTAATTTGGACATTCTGTTCATTTCTCAACTTCTATAATCAGATATATCTCTACTATATATAGTCTACTTCCCTATATCTGGGAAAACCACGCTCTTCACTTCTGACACTAGATGTGCAGGTTTTATCCCACACTGAATAATTCTAAGACACAGGCTGAGTATTCCACAATTCAATTCTGGAGTTAGTGTCAGATCCCACAAGTTAGGGCTCAGTCCTACAAGACTGTCCCCACTGCAGATGCCAACTGTAGGTCCAGGCTTCCTGTACTTCTGATTGGCTGGGTATATCAGGGTAGGGATTATAGTGGAATATTAAGTGGGGAAGAGAGATTGGGCTCAATTCCAAATGCAGCATGAGCAAGTGAGAATATATAGCCAGGGAGCACGGTGGGGGTCAGTGAGTGAAAAATTAGTAAGAAGAAACATCAGGGGTAAAAGGGATTCTGTCTACACTGACCTAACAGGATTCTTACTGAAGACAGGCCAGCATGATCAGATATCACTTGGGGGATGGTAGATGATGAGGAATTTGATCACATGTTGAGGGTGATTCCATATCAAGGATGGGGGGTTCTTGCTAAATGGATTTAGCAGGGATTGCTAAAATGGGAATGTATAAGGCAGTACACAGATGGGCCTAGGGGAAAATTCAGAAGCCGAGCAAAGAATTTTTGTCAGTTGCCTGAGATAATTCTTGACCTTAAGTTTCTAGATAATTCTTGACCTTAATTTTTCTAATTCAAGTCTCAACAATGACCATCTCCTTCAAAGCATTTACTGAATTGAGATGGGAAATCCTTTTTTTTAATTCTAGAAATATTTTCATGGTATTCTTGAATCTTCTCAGGTAACTTTATTTTTTATTCAGGTTTTCATCTGTTTCCTAGTCACTTGAATTTCCTGGTCAATTTTCCATTTGTTATGACATAACTTTTGCTGCTGGCCCCCATTCAATAAGTTGTTTTGTGATTGTTGGCATACCCTAAATTACTATGGCAGGCCTACGAATGGTGAAAGGGGAATCGGTCTCTACCTGTGCAGGCTGGGGGTGTATAAGTTGGCAAGAAGGCTCCCTGTTCCTTTGACTCCCTGTTCTTGTCCATTCTCAGGAGCAGGGAGTGCCCAGCCCGCCCATTAAGCCCCATCTGAGCCTCTTGTAGGCCATGGAGACCTGCCCTGCTCTCCTGAGACAGACACCTTCTCATAAATTTCAATACGTCAAGCTTTTTTCCTGGGTCCACTGCTCTCCAGTCCTTGTCCCGAAATTCTGGTATTATTCTACAGATACTTATGAAGTACCTGAAGGTAGGGTTGGGGGAAGAGGCCCTCTAGAGGCCTGGAAGGATGAGTATGCTTTCTCTAGACAGAAGAGAGAAGGGGGAGGAGGGTAGAAGATGACCTTAAGTGTACTGAGTTTGGATCTCATTCTTTTTTGTTGTTTGTTTGTTTTTCTTGAGACAGAGTCTCACTCTGTGGCCTGGACTAGAGTGCTGTGGCATTACCCTAGCTCACAGCAACCTCAAACTCCTTGGATCAAGTGATTCTCCTGCCTCAGCCTCCTGAGTAGCTGGGACTACAGGCATGCACCACCATGCCCGGCTAATTTTTTTTTCTATTTTTCGTTGTTCAGCTAATTTATTTCTATTTTTAGTAGAGATGGGGGTCTAGCTCTTGCTCAGGCTGGTCTTGAACTCCTGACCTCAAGCAATCCTCCTGCCTCGGCCTCCCAGAGTGCTAGGATTACAGAAGTGAGCCACCACGCCCAGCCTGGATCTTATTCTTTAAGCACCAAGTTTCTTGCCCCCCTTGGAGCATGGTCTTCACTCATAGACACTGGTGTCTACCTACCAAAGTAGCAAGAAATACCCACCAATAAGTTCCAGAAAAAAAGTCCCACATGGATTGTCTCTTTGAATGTGCTGTTTGGCTTCTTTTGTCCCATTTCTTGCAAGGATGACTTTAATATAGGTGGCTGACAGGCATTTTCAGAAAACAGTAGGCCTTATGAAAACAAATGATTTGGGTTACCTTCTTGCAAGGGGTGTGTTCAGCAGAGGAATGTAAATAAAGAGAGAAAGGGGGCTTTAAAATTGATGGAGAGACTGTTTCTCAAGGCAGCTTGCTACAGCAGAAAGAGCTCAGGACAGGACCAGGAGACATGGGTTTGATTCCTGGCTCTGATGCTCACTAGCTATGTGCTCCTTGAAATCAAGCTAATCTTTCTACATCTCAGTTCATTTTTAGCAAAATCAAGAGAAAATATATGTGAAGAGGTGATATATTATATGCTACTGCAAAAATATGTTACCTAGCTTGTTTTTCACAGGTGTATGCATGTTTGTATTATTCTATCCCAGTGGTTCTCAACTAGGGCCCTTAAGGGCAATCTCCCAAAACAAAGAATTGTGAACTAAAATAAAATCTTAAGCCCTCCAACTGACTTCTTGGCCATGGGGAACCCAGGAAAACCTTAAAGCCGAGTTGCCAGCCGTGAGAAGGGAGGTCAAATCCACTTGGAAACAAAGGTTAAACCACACCTGCAAGTCATCAATTTACTTAAGTCTAGGTATATGTCCTGTGGCTTGTTGCTAATGAACAGACATCCTTATGTTAAAACATTCAAAGCCTTTACACAAAGCTTCATTTTCTTTAACCAATTACAAATCAAAGAATCTTTAAACCCACCTATATATAACCTGTAACCCCCCCCTTCGGGATGTCCTGCCTTTTGGGGCTAAACCAACATTCACTGTCCATGTATTGATTAATGGCTTTACCTGTCTCCCTAAAATGTATAAAACCAAACCATAACCCAACCACTTGCTCGAGTCTTCTTGTGCGTGGCTCTCTGGGCCATGGTTGCACATAATTGGCTCAGGATAAACCTCTTTAAATTATTTTACAGAGTTTGGGTTATTTTCTGTTGACAGAATTATCTAGTCCAAAATGTCAATAGTGCCGAGGTTGAGAAACCTTGATGTCTATTGAAACAGCTTTGAACCGGTCAGAATTGCCTCTTTGGGCAGCAGCGTCTGCTGGCGGACCGTCCCCACCAGCAGTCAGGAGGAGGGGAAGTGATGAGGCGCCCAGATGGACTGATCTTGGGGCTTAAAAAAATATACAGGAAAAAGAAAAGGATCCCAGGATTGCGCTTTACCTTCCGTTTCCCATCGCCCCCCTCTCCTCTCAGCAGCACCTGCTTGCCAGCCACGCGCAAGGTGCCCACAGCGAGGAAGACTGGGAGACGGACTTGCCCTGCGGGAGCTTGGGGCTAGTTCCCCACAGAGAGGGAAGTTTCCTCTCCTCGCAGCGAGAGCCGGAGCAGCGTTTTCTGCCACGCTGACAGAAAGCCTAGCTTCCAGAGGCTGGAAGGGCAGGCACATCCGATTTGCCTATCACCGCCTTCGCGTTTCACGGGGGAAGGAGGAAGGGCTGGTCCCGCTGGGCCCCTCCCTCCGCGGCGCGGCGTCCGACCCCGCCCCGGGCTCCGGGGTTCTGCCTCCGCACCCGCCACCCGCCGGGCCAGGACGGCGCAGCGCCGCCTGCGGCAGAGGCGGGAGCCCGGGCCGGGAGCGAGTGAGTACCTCACCGGGCTCCCGCGACCCGCGGCGGGCCCGGGCTGCGGCTCCCGCTCAGGCGGAGTGTAATTCGCCCAGTGCTCGCCAGTGTCTTCCTGCTCCGCCGCGCCTGGCCCTGCACAGCCATCCCACTTAACGCGGTTCCCAGCTGTGTTCCCTGTGGGACCTGACTGATGGCGACAGGGGACCGCGAGGCAGGAGGGCGGGGCGGGAGCCGGGCCGGCGGAGTACAGCGAGGCGGCGGCAGGGGGCGCGCCTGCGGCAGGGGGCGCGCCGGCGCGCGGGGTGACTGCGCTCAGCGAGGCCCTCGGCCCCCGCCCTGCCCCACTCTGTCCGTAGAGAACATGTTGGCCGTGCACTTTGACAAGCCGGGAGGACCAGAAAGCCTCTACGTGAAGGAGGTGCCAAAGCCGAGCCCGGGGGAGGGGGAAGTCCTCCTGAAGGTGGCGGCCAGCGCGCTGAACCGGGCGGACTTACTCCAGGTACCCAGGGGCCGGCCTCGACCGGCACAGGGCGGGACTCCAGCCTCCCTCACCGCAGCCTTCAGCAAACATTGACCCGACTAATGAAGGCGTGACCCAGGGCACTTCCAGTAATACATAGCAAGACAGGTGTGCTGGGGGCTCTGAGACCTAAACCCAGTTATCCCCCTTCCTTTACACAAAACAAAATAGGGGGTATTTGCCAAGCAGACTCTACCCTGCGTTAATCCATAGTCCGCTCAGGCCTCCAGACAAGGAGAAGGGAATTACCATTTGCAAAGGGTGTTGGGGGAGGGGTACAGGGTGAAAGCACTGCCTATCTCCTTTACTCCTCTGGCCACCCTGTTTCTCATTTCTATTCTACAGAAAAAGAGACTGAAGGTCAGAGAAGTTAAGCAATATGCCCAAGGCCACAACTCTAGCAATCAGAGAAGCTGTGATTCAAGCTGAGGGGTTTATGGCTCTAAAGTTTAACTCTTTCTACTCTGAGGGTCCCAGAGTTGGCAGGGGACAGTACTCTAAGAGTTTTCTTCTGATATTGACTCACTAAACTGGGCCAGCTGCATCGGTTAGGGCCATACAGAAATGTGCATCAGAATCACCTGGGACACGTTTTCAAAATAAATGTGGTGGGCCCAGGCAAGTGTATTTTGAAAAAGCTCTTCAGGTGGTTCTGGTGCATCCCTCTGGTCGAAAGCGTCTGCGAACTGAAATGACTACAGACCCTGACACTCAGTATGGAACCATCATTAAGAGTCCACAGTTTTGGCCAGGCGTGGTGGCTCACGCCTGTAATCCTAGCACTCTGGGAGGCCGAGGGCTGATTGCTCAAGGTCAGGAGTTGGAAACCAGCCTGAGCGAGACCCGTGTCTACTAAAAATAGAAAGAAATTAATTGACCAACTAAAAATATATACACAAAAAAAATTAGCTGGGCATGGTGGCACACGCCTGTAGTCTCAGCTACTCGGGAAGCTGAGGCAGGAGGATTGCTTGAGCCCAGGAGTTTGAGGTTGCTGTGAGCTATGCTGATGCCACGGCACTCACTCTAGCCTGGGCAACAAAAGTGAGACTCTGTCTCAAAAAAAAAGAGTCCACAGTTTTGAGGCCAGCCATGGTGGTTCACATCTGTAATCTTAGCACTCTGGGAGGCCAAAGCGGGAGGATCGCTCAAGATCAGGAGTTCAAAACCAGCCTGATCGGCCAGGAAGGACGTGTTGAGGTAGGCATACCGGTCAAGGACAGTCACTACCATGACTTCCGGCACTTTGGCGAAACCTCAGATGCGTGGCCTCCTGGCCAGGCGTCTACGGATTCATATTGTTGGGGCATTCATAGTATCCCTGGGAGTTGCAACCTCGTATAAGTTTGGTGTGGCTGAACCAAGGAAGAAGGCATATGCAGATTTCTACAGAAATTATGATTCTATGAAAGATTTTGAGGAGATGAGGAAGGCTGGCATCTTTCAGAGTGCAAAGTGATTTTGGAACATAAAAGAATTTCTTGACCTGTGTTCCTGAGCTATGAATATGTGGGCTGATGAATAGTTTCTCTTGATAAATAAACCATTAATAAATACTGTGGAAAAAAAAAAAAAACCAGCCTGAGCAAAAGCGAGAACCGTCTCTACTAAAAATAGAAAGAAATTAATTGGCCAACTAAAAATATATAGAAAAAATTAGCAGGGCATGGTGGTGCATGCCTGTAGTCCCAACTACTCAGGAGGCTGAGGCAAAAGGATTGCTTGAGCCCAGGAGTTTGAGGTTGCTGTGAGCTAGGCTGATGCACTCTAGCCAGGGCAACAGAGTGAGACTCTATCTCAAAAAAAAAAAAAAAAGAGTCCACAGTTTTGTTCCTAATCTCACTACTAATTTACTTTTCCACCTTGAGCAAGACAGTGCCCTGTCCTGGCATCAGTTTCTCTATTTGTAAGAAAGGGTTTAAACAAGGTAAATAGCAAAGGACCCTACCAGGTATGACATCCACTGATTATGCTACCTATAGTTTCTTATTTGAATAAAACAAACTACCTTTCCTGTCCTTTTTCTTGAGTTTAAAAACCTGACTTCATTCTAAAGTTTCAGAGAAAAAGAGGGGGATATTGGAAGAGGGGCCAGAGATGGTGACACACAGATTTCTGATGATGCTCACCACATAGTGCACCTTTTTCTCTGCAGAGACAAGGCCAGTATGCCCCGCCCCTGGGAGCCAGCAACATTTTGGGACTGGAGGCATCTGGACACGTGGCAGAGCTGGGGCCTGGCTGCCAGGGGCACTGGAAGATTGGGGACCCAGCCATGGCTCTACTGCCCGGTGGAGGCCAGGCTCAGTATGTCACCGTCCCCGAAGGGCTGCTCATGCCTATCCCAGAGGGACTGTCCCTGACCCAAGCTGCAGCCATCCCGGAGGCCTGGCTCACTGCCTTCCAGCTGTTATACCTCTTGGGTGAGGAGACGCCCGTGCTCACTCCAAACAGTATGACTCCAAACACCAGCAGTCAGCTTCAACCTGGCAACTTAGCCACCCCCACCCCCAGCACCTTACTGTATCACCAGTAGTGTCAGGTCCTCAAACCATGTTAGAATTGTTTGATGTTGAGGCTGGGAATCATGGTTAACAGAGAGAAGGCCTGGGAAACACTGGACAGGAGGCCTGTGTACATCTTAGCACTAGAGGCCCAGCAGCAGCCCCAGCTTCTTAAAATCATGCTGAGCTGCTCTCTGGGGGCCCCAGTGCAACAGAAGGAGCCAATCAACTCATTTACTCCTCCCCAGTCCCCTCCCCAATCCCACTGAGGCCAGTCAAGAACTCACATGAGGGAGCCTAAGAAGACTTGGTCCTTGCCTTTAAAGAGGTCAATGTAACAAGGAAGGCGACTCATAAGAAACAGGGACGGGTGTGGTGGTGGCTAGTGCCTGTAATCCTAGCACTCTGGGAGGCCTAGGCCAGAGGATCACTTGAGCTCAGGAGTTCAAGATCAGCCTGACCAAGAGTGAGACCCCATCTCTACTAAAAATATAAAGAAATTAGCTGGACAACTAAAAATTTAAAAAAAAAAATTAGCTGGGCATGGTGGCACACACCTGTAGTCCCAGCTATGCAGGAGGCTGAGGCAGGAGGACCACTTGAGCCTGGAAGTTTGAGGTTGTTGTGAGTTAGGCTGATGCCACAGTACTCTAGCCCAGGCAATAGAGTGAGACTCTGTCTCAAAAAAATAGTAATAATCAGACAACCATAGAGGTTGGAAAAGTAGCCCTGTCTCTAACTACAATAGAAGCTCAAGATGGGAAAAGTGGGTATGGGCAAGGGTGGTCAGAGAAGGCTTTTTGGAAAAGGAGGACTTGAAGGACGAGTAGAGCAGTCATGGATGGACAGAAGGCATGCCAAGGTGGCCTAAGCAAGAATATCAAAGTGAGGCTGGGTGTGGTGGCTCACGCCTGTAATCCTAGCACTCTGGGAGGCCCAGGTGGGAGGATCACTCAAGGTCAGGAGTTTGAAAACAGCCTGAGCAAGAGCAAGACCCATCTCTATTAAAAATAGAAAGAAATTAATTGGCCAACTAAAAATATATAGAAAAAAATTAGCCAAGCATCATGGCACATGCCTGTAGTCCCAGCTACTCAGGAGGCTGAGGCAGAAGGATTGCTTGAGCCCCGGATTTTGAGGTTGTTGTGAGCTAGGCTGACGCCATGGCACTCTAGCCTGGGCAACAGAGTAAGACTCTGTCTCAAAAAAAAAAGAATATCAAGGTGAGATCAGCTGTTCCACTCAGTAGTGAAGGATGACTATTGTCATTTGTGAAAGATGAGTCTGGTGCCAGAATGTGGTGGCCTTGAATGCCAGGGTGTCTATACTCAATGCAAAAGCCAATGGAGGCTGGACCTGTGGCTCATGTCTGTAATCCCAGCACTTTGGGAGGCCAAGGTAGGAAGAGCTTGAGGCTGGGAGTTTTGAAACCAGCCTAAGCAACACAGTGAGACCCCCATCTCTACAAAAATAAGTCACAGCACAAAATAAAAAGGAAAGAGATTTCGCATCTGGTCCAAGGGCCAGGTGATCATGGAAGAATATGCCTGTGTGGGGAATGTGTAGCAGTTACAAAGTTAAGCGGTTACTGTATTTCTGTCACAGGAAACGTGCAGGCTGGAGACTCTGTGCTAATCCATGCAGGATTGAGTGGCGTGGGCACAGCTGCCATCCAGCTCACCCAGATGGCTGGAGCTATTCCTCTGGTCACAGCTGGCTCCCAGCACAAGCTTCAGATGGCAGAAAAGCTTGGAGCAGCTGCTGGATTCAATTACAAAGAAGAGGATTTTTCTGAAGCAACACTGAAATTCACCAAAGGTAAACAACTGCTTCTGTAGCTCAGCTGGAATTTAAGAGATGATTAGATAAAATCCTCACCGGCCCCAAGGTTGCCAGTGTACTGAATCAGTCTTGCCTCTACTAAATGCACAAAGCTATCCTGGCCAATTCTGATACTCTGGTGTTTGACCACTGGAGACTGGCAGTCAGTAGATAGGTCTAAGATGGTTTCTGTGTGCATTCTTGCAAGTGATATGATTCCCACATGATTTAGAAACTGGATAATCACACAGAGTTGGCCTGGAATTATCCAAGCCCTCTTCTCCACCAGCCACTTCACAGTGAGTTAACAGGAGGCAGGGGCAGAGACTAGTTTGGAGCTGATCATAGTAGGATAGGGGTCGTAGCTCCCTACATGGGTGTATAAATGTGCACACCTCTGTATTCCAAAGACAAACCTGTATATTTTTTGACTCATCCTTTCCATTTTTTATATGAGTGGAAAAGGAGAGATGAAACCAAAGCTAGCAAGACTACAATTCACATAACCCAGTGCAAACACTTCGTAACTTAGATGTGAACAACTTGCCTGCCCTGTAGCCTAGGGTGGCCCTCCCCTGTTCTGTTCTCAGTCATGCCAGGGTGCTGGTGGGACTATACTTAGTTGGGGGTAAGAACAGATACCAGGTCATCGAGTTGCCCCATTTGCCTTTTGCTGTGGCTAGGGATCATAAAAGATGAACTGTAACACACATGGTATGATAGAGTTCTGCTACCTAAACTCCACTTAAAACAATGTTTCTATGATCAATGTGTCTAGTTTAGATTTACCAGTTGCACCTGTACTTATTTATACCCATATAGCCACAAATGTACCATGGAATCTTATTTTGCACGAAGCTTTTGTGTCTGACTAGCTAGCATCACAAATCTGTATCTCTTATGGAAGGTGCTGGAGTTAACCTTATTCTAGACTGCATAGGCGGATTTAACTGGGAGAAGAATGTCAACTGCCTGGCTCTTGATGGTCGCTGGATTCTCTATGGTCTGATGGGAGGAGCTGATATCAGTGGGCCCCTGTTTTCAAAGCTCCTTTTTAAACGAGGAAGTCTAATCACCACTCTGCTGAGATCTAGGGACAAAGAGGTGAGTAACGCAAGAAAAAAATACATGTGATTTAACCCAGAAAGTGTGTGGTTCATTTACATTTCCCGGGAAAAGTAAGCTCTTAGTTAAGGGAGCCTATGAAGAAACCCGCCCCCTTGTGGATAAATAGGTAATCTGCTATCAGAGAACTAATTCCTATTGGTCGATAGAAGCCTTAGCATCTTGGAAAGCTTGTAGCTAATACGTATGATGTTATCTAAACTTTCTAAGGGAACGAACAAAGCACTGGTCATATTAGGTATGGCTTCTAGTAGTTCCGAGACTTTGTTTTCAAAGGCAGAACTCTTCTCAGTGTGCTAAGAAGGACAAGAGAAAAGCAGGTAAATTTTGTTAGTCTTATATGCATATAGGGATCTTCACAAGAGAATGAAGTCCTAAAAGTGGTCAAGGTAAGATACTTTTATATTATTTAGACAAAGAATTATAAATTTGAGAAGAAATGACAGGACAAAGAAAATCAGGCTAGAGGTATATGGGGAGGTGTAAAACTAGTGGAAGATAAGGTTACTTCATGAAGCATATTTATTCAGGTCCATTGTAGCCCCCAATTTCCAGTCACTGGTGATAAGGACTATTTGCTCTGGTATGGGGAGGGTACCCCTCCCAGAGGAATTTTTATGACGCTACATTCAGAAAGAGAAGTCAGGTAGCACTTTCTGAAACTACAATTTCTCCAATGTTTTCAACTCCAAATAATCAATATACCAATCCAATGTATTTTGAGATGGCATGTCCTTCACTCCTTCAGGGGCATGCACATGCATGCTGGGAAGTGAAGGCGTTAATTAAGGATCCCTGTTTGCTTTTTCTGACGTGCAGTTTCAGAGAGAGCAGAAAGGCTAAGGAGCATGGGGAGTGGCAGGGTAAAGTCTTTGACCAAGGTGATCATGGTCTCCTTTTTCTTATCTTATAGTACAAGCAAATGCTGGTGAAAGCTTTCACGGAGCAAATTCTGCCCCACTTCTCCACGGAGGGCCCCCAACGTCTACTGCCGGTTGTAGACAGAGTCTACCCAGTGTCCGAAATCCAAGAAGCTCATAAGTTCATGGAGGCTAACAAGAATGTGGGCAAAATTGTCCTGGAGCTGCCCCAGTGAAGGAGGAGGGGGCAGTACAGGACACGGTCACCCCTGGCCTTTGCAGAGAGAGGAATAATTGGGGATAATTCACAGTAGGGAGGCAAGAGACTGGGTGCTACTCCCAGGTCCGTCTCGGTAGTTGGTCGGTGTAAAGCCGGCCTAAGGAAATAAAGAGTGGACTTGAAGGGCCGCACGCTCTCTGTGGGCGATCCCAACGCGCGGACCGGGCAGGGGTGAGGTGGGAGTCCAGACGGCCGTCACCGCAGGGTTTACAAGAGACGCGGGATCAGCTGATTCTCTACCTGAGGGCCACGCCAGGGTCGGAGGTTCTGGGCACAGTTACAGCGTCAGCCTCTACACAAGCCTGCTGAACCCTGTAGATTCCGCCTTGCTCACTGCTAGAGGGCCAGGCCCGCTCTCGCGTCCCCAGCTCCCCGCCGCGCGCCCCGAGGAGGTGGGGGACCCTCCCGCTCCTCCCCTGGGCCCCATCCCACCGCTCACCTCCCTCCTCTGGCCCCGCCTCCACCCGCCACTCACCAGGGCCCCGCCCCACTGCTCACCGCCCTCCTCTGGCCCCGCCTCCTCCCACCACTCACCTGGGCCCCGCCCCACCTCGCCTCACACCGCCCTCCTCGGGCCCTGCCCCCTCCACTCCGCTGCCTCTGCTCTGGGCCTCCCTGACAGGAACGCCTTTCCGCCTAGGGCCCCGCCCCTTCCGGTACAGAACCCGGAAGCGTCTTGGACGCTCGCCTTTCCACCTTCCGGCCTCCCTGTAGTTCAGGCTCATTTTACTCTGGGTGTGTATTCGAGAGGGGATGTTACGTCAGCGCGTCTTGGCGTGAGACGGTGCTATTCCGCCGATGCTATAGCAGCTTCCGGCTGTGTCTGGCTGTTGATGTCCATCTGACGCTGTGTTGCGTTCGAAGCCGAGCAAGCTCCGGAGGTGTCCAGAGGATTTCCAGTATTTGCCGCGGTGACCTTAACAGCCTGCCAAGATGGCGATGCAAGCGGCCAAGAGGGCGAACGTGAGTATACGGGCCTTCTGCGGAGGAGGAGGACATACATCGCCGGTTAACTTGGTCTGCGGCATGGGTCAGAGCATTATTGCCCCGCCTCAGTCTCCAGGGCGGGGAAGCCCAGAATCCAGAATTTCCCATTCCACCAGCGGGAATTCTATCCTGGCCCCATCCTCAGGGTTATGCTTCTTGAGCCACATTTTCGTTCCCACCCCTTTTGAAAGTTCGTTCATTCTCTGTCCTAGTGTCAGGGATAGTGTTAGCCCTACAGCCTCTGTTTGACCTACACCTAGGACCTGGCGTTAGGATCTTCTCCTTGGCCTTAAAGTCGATAGTACAGATGAGTCCTCAATAAATCACTTGATAGTTCAACAGCAGCTAGAGCTTGGGATTCTCCTCAGATCGTGGAGCTTTGGGGATCCTTCATTAATGTATCAATTCAAACAATGTGAGTACCTACCGTGTACGTGGCTTAAGAGGTGGGAAACAATTCATCAGTTATATTTATTGAACAGCTGAATGCCAGACACTATTCTTACGTGTTGGGGATACAGCAGTGAATAAAACAAAAAATCCTGCTTACATTTTAGTATTTGAGGGTGGGGTGTTATGGAAACCTAAACAAAAAAACTCAAGAAAGAGAGTTGTCAACTGTAAGGTGCTTAGAGGTATAATAATATGAAGACAGGTAATTAACCATTGGATGTGTTGAGATGGAGACTTGGTGAGCTTGATAATAGGATTCCTTTAAATGGATGAAAACTTGATTGCAGTAGGATGAAAAGATGGTGGAAATTGAGAAAATGGAGACAGCAAAGATAGCTATTTCCAGAAGTTTTCACGTAAATAGAGAGTAGAGAAATTGGGTGATAGTTGACCTTTTAAAGGATGGGTGAGAAAAGGTATATTTTTATGCCAGTGGGAATGATCCCGTAGAGTGGGAGAAACATGATATGGAAGAAGGATGGGTTAAGTTCAAGAGTGAAGGTTTTGAGTAGCTGAAGGGTTGACATAGTAATAGAAGGAAAGTGGGTGGATATAGATGAATATAATTTGGTGGATGTAGTGGTAGGGAGATAAAGTACTTACCATTTCATCATAACTCTTTTCTCCAAGAAGCAAGGACCAGGGTCCTCTCCTGGGATAGGCAGGGAAGAAGGTACATCCCAACTCAGAAAGTGTGAAGTCTTTTGCTGAGTAAGAAAGCACATTTACTAGGGAAGTATGTTATGATTGGCAGTATTGATCATTTATTTTAACTTAACCTTGAATCTTGAGATCTAAAACTCTATTGTAATTATTTGTTCACCATTTTTCACCACTACTAGTTTGAGGGCAGGGAATAAGTGCCTTATTCTTCCATTTATACAATACTTAGGTGAGAAGAAATAGCTAGAGAGTTAGGAAGAAATAGCGTCCAGAAGGGACTAGTCAGTAGTGTTAGAAGCCTCAGGAAATTTAAGTATGATGAGAATCAAGCACTGCAATTAAAAGATCTTAATGGGTGAAAGCACTTTCAGCAGAGTGAATGCTGGGATGGAAGCCAGATTGTGGTAGGTTTGAGTGTCAGTAAAGTAAAAAAACATGGGCAGTGAGTATGAACTTCCTTTTTCCAGATGCTTGACTGAAAAAAAAAAAAAAGAGCAAGATAGGATAATAAGTAGAGAGAGCTGTTAAGTTCAAGGAAAGCAGAAACCTTGTCTTTTTTTCTTCACTGTGTATTACTAACACCTAGCCTGGTATATACATAAAGAAGGCATTTAGTAAATATTTGTTGAATGAATGAAGAGGATGCAAATAAGTATTTCGTTTTGTGTAAGGTTTGGCAGAACATGAGCAACCCCTCACATGAGGACTAGAAGAAGCCAATAGTGAGGAAAAGCCTGTACATTCAAAAGCAAGAAGAGATCATTGCGTACAAGTTCCTGAGGAGACCAGAGAAGGGTCATAGGTGGAAGTTTTATTATCTAGCAAATAGTAACAGTTCCCTTCTTTCTTGCCTACACATGTCTGAGGCATCAAGGAGGCTTTAAAAGGAGGTGGGAAATACTTGTTTAACTGTAGTGACCAAAGCTTGGGTTTTGTAGTAGCCCCTTATTAGTTCCTAGAACCAGTGCTCTGTTGCTTTTCTAAAGGACATGCCATTTTCAGTAACTTCAGATTATATACCTCTTATTCTTGGTTTTTTTTATTATGTAACATTGAGAATTTTTTTAAATGGTAGCACTCCTGCCCCTCATCATAATGACAATACATATTTCTCATTTTAGATTCGACTTCCACCTGAAGTAAATCGGATTTTGTATATAAGAAATTTGCCATACAAAATCACAGCTGAAGAAATGTATGATATTTTTGGGAAGTATGGACCTATTCGTCAGATCAGAGTGTGAGTCTTACTGAGACTTTTGAAAGAAATGTTATTTAAAGAAAATGATTGCATAATCTGTAATCTCAGAATTATAGCTGACAGTGAGGCCATCCTGTGCAGTGTACGGTGCAGCAGCCCTAACCAAAAGCCTAGAGACCAACTGACTAAAATCAGGGAGATATTTTTGTAGGGGGAAAAACCTTACTGAGACCCTAATGATCCAGCTCAGTGAAAGCCAGGCATGGAATTTGGGAAATTATAGACAGCAAGAAGTAGTAATGGATTCTTTGAAGAGAATCATTGGGAAGGGAAGAAACTAACATTTATTACATACTTACTATTTGTAAAGCCAAGTGTTATGTTTTTTATATGCAGTAGCTCTATAATTTTCTCAGTAATCATCACTGTCTCTTTTACTAACCCCAGAATTTCTGAATAAACTGAGTAAAAGAATAAAAAACTGAAAAAATGATATTTTCAACTGCGGCTCTTTCTACTGAAGATTTAAAAGTATAGGGGAGGCCAGGCTCGGTGGCTCACACCTGTAATCCTAGCACTCTGGGAGGCTGAGGCGGGAGGATCACTCAAGGTCAGGAGTTCAAAGCCAGCCTGAACAAGAGCGAGACCCCCTCTCTACTAAAAATAGAAAGAAATTAATTGGTCAACTAATATATATAGAAAAAATTAGCCAGGCATGGTTGTAGTGCCTGGTGCATTAGCCAGGTGCATGCCTGTAGTCCCAGCTACTTGGGAGGCTGAAGCAGAAGGATTGCTTGCACCCAGGAGTTTGAGGTTGCTGTGAGCTAGGCTGACGCCAAGCACTCTAGCCCAAGCAACAGAGTGAGACTCTGTCTCAAAAAAAAAAGAAAAGTATGAGGGAAAACATATAAGAATTCATGTTTTAATATAAAGTTTGGGGGAGGGTGTGGTGGTTCACTCTGGGAATCCGAGGTGTGAGGATTATTTGAGCTCAGGAGTTTGAGACCAGCCTGAGCAAAAGCGAGACCCTGTCTCTACTAAAAAAAATAGAAATTAGCTGGACAACTAAAAATATATATATATAAAAATTAGCCGGGCATGGTGGCACATACCTGTAGTCTCAGCTACTTGGGAGGCTGAAGCAGAAGGATTGCTTGAGCCCAGGAGTTTGAGGTTGCTGTGAGCTAGACTGATGCCATGGCACGCTAGCCCAGGCAACAGAGTGTGACTCTGTCTCAAAAAAAAAAAAGAAAGAAAGAAAGAAAAGTATGGCACATACCTGTAGTCCCAGCTACTTGGGAGGCTGAGGCAGAAGGATCGCTTGAGCCCAGGAGTTTGAGATTGCTATGAGCTAGGCTGATGCCACAGCACTCTACCCCGGGCAACAGAGTGAGACAGTGTCTCAAAAAAAAAAAAAGCTTGGGGCTCATACTTTCATATGATATTTACTAGACCTTTATTAAATACCATTTACAATAATAGGTGTAAATTTATAATTTACATCAATAAATCTAGAGCCCTGGGAATAAAAGTACCTTTCTAGTTTCACATAGGATTTAATGATCAAGTCTTCTGACTCTTAACTGAACCTCTACCCTACACAGTTACCTTATCCTCTGCCATTCTAATTAGTATGAAAGGGCTGGTAAGAGTCCATCTGAAAGGATTTCTAAAGTTTTTATTTTTAGTCAGAATATTTCTTTCTTAATAAATTTTCTTTTTTTTTGAGACAGAGTCTCACTCTGTTGCCCAGGCTAGAGTGCTTGGCGTCAGCCTAGCTCACAGCAACCTCAAACTCCTGGTGCAAGCAATCCTCCTGCCTTAGCCTCCCGAGTAGCTGGGACTACAGGCATGGGCCACCATGCCCGGCTATTTTTTTCTATATATATTAGTTGGCCAATTAATTTCTTTCTATTTTTAGTAGAGACAGGGTCTCACTCTTGCTCAGGCTGGTTTTGAACTCCTGACCTTGGGCGATCCTCCTGCCTCGGCCTCCCAGAGTGCTAGGATTACAGGCGTGAACCACCATGCCTGGCCAATAAATTTTCTTTTATGACCGTAGAGCTCCTTCCTGGCTTTTAGGACTGTGAGATCTTAAGGACTCTCCTTTTGAATGATCACCATCCTCTCCAGAGAGTGAACCAAGAGCTGGAGATATATCATCACTGGTATTCAGATGTGGATGAAAATGAAAGTGTTATAAACCAGCTGTCCTTTTAAGGAGGTCTCAGTCCTTTGAGCACCTGATAAAAGCTTTGGACGCTCTCCACAGATGAACACACACAATGTTTTGCATATATTTCAGGGAATATATGGACTCTAGGTTAAGAAACCCTATTCTAGATACATAAAGAATGGTATATGGAAGATCCCTGACATGTGGATCAGGAGACAAGACTCTACTTCAGGCCCCATTACTGGCCATGTGTATGATAAGTTGCCTAGGTTTTTTGGTTTTCTCTTTCTTCGTGTGTGAGATAATCTAGATGGTGCCCTTTCAGCTTTTAACATGGAGGCAGCATGGATTAATTATATTACCTGGGCTTAAATACTAGCTGGGCGTTTGTTAGTCATGTAAAACTGGGCAAAATGTTTAACCTGTCTGGGCTAAATTCTATAACATGCAGTCTTCCTAACCTGCTGATCTTAAAAGAATTTTAATTTGGATCAAATTAGACAGTGTCTGTGAAGGTGCTTTATCATTGAGTATTTCCTTCCCAGTGAGTGTTAGCCACCCCTTCTCTGTGCTCCCATATGTACCTCTCTTATTAGTTAACATGTGGCTTTGTTATCTGTCTACTCGCCTGTCTCCTGGCAGCCTATGAGCCGCTCCAAGACACAGGTATCATATATTCTTTTTGCTTTGTGTTGATGGTACTTGTGCCTGATATACATGTTAAGTGCACCCAATTTATATAAATAAATGAATAATATAGAAAATGATAGTATGGTTGTGATTTAGGAAGACATTTTAAAGTTTATCGATAGTACTCAGTTAAGAAATGCTTAAATCAAGCCGGGCGCGGTGGCTCACGCCTGTAATCCTAGCACTCTGGGAGGCTGAGGCGGGCGGATTGCTCGAGGTCAGGAGTTCGAAACCAGCCTGAGCAAGAGCAAGACCCCGTCTCTACTATAAATAGAAAGAAATTAATTGGCCAACTAATACATATATATAAAATTAGCTGGGCATGGTGGCACATGCCTGTAGTCCCAGCTACTCGGGAGGCTGAGGCAGGAGGATCGTTTGAGCCCAGGATTTTGAGTTGCTGTGAGGTAGGCAGACACCACGGCACTCTACCCTAGGAAGTGAGACTCTGTCTAAAAAAAAAAAAAAAAAAAAGAAATGCTTAAATCAGTTAGAGAATGTTTCAGAAAGCCAGAATGAAGTCACAAGTAATAAAGCAGAGGCATCTTCAGATGAGTGCAGAGTAGCTCAGGGCCTTCCTGGTTCTCATCCCTCCCTCTGGAATGGTTTTTACCTGCTCATTTCATACCTGACTCCCTCTTATTCTAAGTCTCAGCTTTAGTGTCACCTTTTCAGAAAGATTTTCCCTGACCACCCTAGCTAAAGTAGCTTCCTCTCTTCCCCATTAATCCCTGTTACAGATCCATAATTATTTCATATTTATTTAATGTCTTTCTTTTGTTTTAATACAAGCTCATTGAAAGAAAGGATGATGCTTGTCTTTTCCACTGTTGTATATCTAGTTCTTGTCACATAGAAATAATGCAACATATATGTTGAATAAATTAATAAAAGTTGGGGGTGCAAACATAGAACTTGGGTCTAAATTATAGATTGAGAAACAGCTGTTTTTCTTTTTCTTTTCTTTTTTTTTTTTGAAACAGAGTCTTACTCTGTTGCCTGGGCTAGAGTGCTTGGCATCAGCCTAGCTCACAGCAACCTCAAAATCCTGGGCTCAAGCAATCCTACTGCCTCAGCCTCCCGAATAGCTGGGACTACACGCATATGCCACCATGCCTGGCTAAATTTTATATATATATTTTTAGTTGTTCAGCTAATTTCTTTCTATTTTTTCAGTAGAGAAGGGGTCTTGCTCTTGCTCAGGCTGGTCTCAAACTCCTGAGCTCAAACGATCCTCCCGCCTCGTCCTCCCAGAATGCTAGGATTACAGGTGTGAGCCACCGTGCTCGGGCACAGCTGTTTTTCTGTTCCATGATTGTGATCACATTTTATTGCATACTTGGCACCTAGCACTAGGGTGGCCAACCTTCCCAGTTTGCCCAGTACCCAGAGGCTTTCTGGGACTTTCATTGCTAAAACCTGGAAAGTCCTGGGCAAACTGGGATGACTGGTCACTCTACCTTAAAGTCCTTTTGTACTTGTTACCTTTTTTGATTGTTAAAACCACATGTAAGATCATGTCTGATGTCGTCACTATGTGACACAGGAAGCAACTGAAGCTCAGAGAGGCTAAGTTACATGAGTAGGTTTTCTTATTCCCACTCTAAGCTTTTACCACCAATCAAGAAAATAATGTTAGTTCTGTGGCTAGTACATAGTAGGTACCAAATGCATGCTTTTATAAATTCCAATTATAATATGGTTCTCAAGGTGTAAGTTTGACAATTAGAGCTGGAACACTTGAGATGAAGAATCTTTAAAATCGGGTTAGTCAGTGCCAATTCCTATTCTAGTTCCCAGGAAGATGTAAGAAGAAAGAGTTGCTTTTGTTTTGTTTTGAGCTTCCTGGAAAAAGTAGATCTCACCTTTTAAATGCCCATTAGCATTTGCTATATACATTGGCAGTATGCATAATATCACCTTTGCTTTTAAGGGACTTAAAATCTTAAGTTTTTTATGTTTTTATTCCAAAGGAAAAACTAAGAAGACTTTTTGGGGAAATCTTTGGGACAATGTTTTTGCCTTTTGGCAGTCCCCAACTTTCAAATGTACTGCATTCTTGAAAGGGATTAAAAGTTAAAAATCCAAAAGTTGTTAAGACTATTCCCAGAGACTAAAGAATATTATCAAACCTCTCATTAGGCCTGTGTAACCTGACAAAGTGAGTGCATTCATTAACACTGGCACCCTCCAGTCACTCCCAGCACCATATACCTATCCATCCCCTTTGACAAGAAGCACAAGTTCTGAATGGGCTCCAACTGTAGTCTTATCCTAGATCAAGTAGACCCCATGGGTCCACTGCCTTTCCTTGACCCTGTGTTGGGGATATGGCAAATGGAGACCCCTATGTAGAGATTATAGTAAATGGAGAGTCAGCCCACAGTCTTAAACCTCATTCCACAATTGTACTGGGTGGCTGGAACACAGATAGAGGCAGAGGGTCCATCTTTGTCACACTGGAGCATGAGCCGAGTGGGACCTCTGTCCACTGTCCCCACTAACAAGCATATGACCATCTTTTGCCTGCAGTTTAGTGTTCCTGTTGCTCCTTACACTTCTCTACCTCTCCCAGAGGAAACTGGTAAGAAGAGAGGAAGTGGCAAGGAACACCTACACTAGCAGCAGCCCATGTAAGATCCAGCTTCCACTTCCAGCCCTCTTCCCCAGCCAGCCAGCGCTGTGTAATGCATTAGAGTTTGGGTTGTATTCAAAATGAATGTATAAAATAGGTGGCTGACTTTATTGCATTTTACAAAGGCAAAGAATCTAAGAAAAGTGAAAAAAACTATATTAACTCTTTACGTTGGAGGTCATGCTTTTTTGGCCATTAAGGATGATGGTTGACTGTTTTCCCATATATCATCTATAATTTTGCCATCTTGGTAGGGGCTCCCCTGCTACCCACCTACTTACACACACACACACACACACACACACACACACACACACACACACAGAGACAAAGTTTTATTTTTATGAGTTTAATAAATCTTAGTAAAATATTGCCCAGAAACATTTGCTTCCTGCCTAGATGGAGATTGTTATGTCTTTAAGAATTGAAATTATAATTAGGGTGAGGGACAAAAATCAAATCTTAAGAAACAAGAGACTCTCCATTTTAGATAGACATTGCTGACTAACAAGAACCATCACTCCTGAGTACTGTACTTTCCAGCTTAAAACTGAAAATTTGTTCTTAGTATGAGAAATAGGAAAGACTAGAACAGTGAACACGAAGACTGTAACAAAATGTCAAACTAGTTCTTTGCCTGCTGCCTATAGTAACTGTGTTCTTAGTATTCCTGATATAAGTTTTACTCATAGACATTTAAGATAAAATTGGAAACAAAATCATCTAGTTCAAGAAATTACAGGCTTATCTAGCATATCTATCCACAATATGTATTTCCTAATGGTTTTCAGGTTGATCTCAAAATAGTTAAATATTTCAATTTACTGTCTTTAAAAGACAGTTATCAATTTAAAAGACAATTTTGTTATTCAACTATCAGTGCTTGGGGATATGTGTATTTTAATTAAGTTTGATTTAACGCTGCAGGGGGAACACACCTGAAACTAGAGGAACAGCCTATGTGGTCTATGAAGACATCTTTGATGCCAAGAATGCATGTGATCACCTATCAGGATTCAATGTTTGTAACAGATACCTTGTGGTTTTGTACTATAATGCCAACAGGGTAAGTATAGCAAAGTTCTCTTCCTGTGGTGAGCTCATTTGAGAATTAGTGTAGTACAGTGATGGGAAGTATGGACTGTGAGTTTTCTTTTTCAGCTAGTGCTATTGGTGAAATTCATTTGCCTATAGATTGGTAACTGTTAACTTTGGTGCTTACCATGTTTCCAGGCATTTCAGAAAATGGACACAAAGAAGAAGGAGGAACAGTTGAAGCTTCTCAAGGAGAAATATGGTATCAACACAGATCCACCAAAATAAATGTTTATTGCATTTTCATTTTGGACTAAAACCCATAGTGACCACCACCACCTTTTTTTTTTCTTTTTAATTAATACTGGATATTGTGATTTCTTTTTTTTTTTTTTATTTCGGCAGTGATTTCTTATTTGAGATTCAAAATTACCTATTTGAAACTTTGATACATATTAGAATATATTATGTTAATAAACTTGTAGCTTTTTATGAAACATGTGTTTTCTCTTGAACTTTCCCCTCTTATTTGATACCAGGAAAAACTAAAACAGCAGTTGAACCATTTCAAGAATTGTAGGTGGTGCTAGGGACTCTTGAGTATGTTTGTGTTGCCTCTGGTGTCAAGCCCAGTGCTTAGCCACCTAAGGAACTTGTTTATAGTGTTACTGTTTATTGAATGTCAATAATGACATATTCATAACTCAGTGCAGGTGGGTATTTGCATTTTGTGGGTGAGAAAACAAAAGCTCATCATGTTGATTGAATAAAATATTTACATAAAAAGCTGGTGTAATAGCAGCCGATTATTAACCCAGCATCTACATTTGAATAATATTATAGTTAATGAAATACCTTTGTCAATACAGATACCCTTATCCTTGCAACAGAGGTCTGTTCTAGAAAGGTCTATTCAGATGCCAGCACATTGTTAGAAATTTGAGAGCAAGCTGCTTGGGTAGGGGTGTGGTTACTACATGTCTATGATTATATTTACGTAGCCTTTCCCTTTAGTTATTCAGCATCTTCGTATATTTTGTACCTTAGCTCATAGTGTATCTTTGCCATAAATAAAGTACTTTCTGCTCATTCTTATCAGCATGAGTTCCCATGACATGGAAATAGTATGGTTATTATCACATTCATCATTGCTTGGCAGCTTGGAAGGAGATAGCCATAATTTTCTTTTTATAGTTTAGGCATGGACCAAATGGGAAAACGTGGACTAATTGTTTTGTGTATAACTGGAACCTAAAATCAATTTGAAGAGTATGTACACTAATTTAAATGGACAAAAAGCATCAATTCTACTTTTAATTATATCTGAGTGTTTTTTGAAAGCACATAAGAGAGTAGAAAGAGTCATTTCTAAGAAGGGTGGGTAGATAAGAAAGGAGCCACAGCTGTAATTTTCTTGTAAATGGTTTTTTTATGAATGCCTTATTAGTTTTTGCAATGCATGGTGTGCCCTTAGGTAATATAAAAAGAATTTTCTGAAAGACTTTCTTGTAAAGGAAAACCTGAAATTAGACATACTTTAGAGTGTGATTTGTCCAAATGGCAGGACCAGCTTGCCTCTAGTGTAGTTGTTTTAATAACAAGGGGAAATTCCTTCTGTTAGCACTTATGAATAGTCCATCATTTGGATTAATATATGTTAGCTGAATTTCATGACCTAACGTTAAGAGTTTTAAAACCTACAATTCCAGTTACTCAGGAGGCTGAGGCCGGAGTTTAAGTCCAGCCTGGCAATACAACGAGACACCCCATCTCAAAAAAAAAAGAAACTTGCTTGCCTCTAATTGTTTAGAAATTTTGTACCCTGTCCCAGTTATAAGAACTTTCACTCTGTGGACAAATACTGAGCCCCCACTCTGCTACACTAAAATGCTGAGGATATAGTATAATCGATCCTCTGCACCAGGCACCTAAAGCTCAGTCTTTCAAACTACTTTTAAGAATGTAACATGATGGTGTCCATGTATGTGTACATGTGCTAGAGCTCTTTACTTGCATCTATCTAGGTTAAGTTTCAAATTCCTAATAAAGAATTTGTATATAGCCAGGCATGGTGGCACATGCCTATAGTCCCAGCTACTCAAGAGGCTGAGGCAGAGGATTGCTTAAGCCCAAGAGTTTGAGGTTGCCGTGAGCTAGGCTGATGCCACAGCACTCAAGCCCAGACAACAAAGTGAGACTCTGTCTCATAAATAAATTAATAAATAAAAAATAAAATTAAAAAAAATTGTATAGAGAATTTCTTGACTGAAAGTTTGAAAATGACTGGTAAGACATAGATCTTTTTGCTCTCCTGCTTACAAACTTTTAGTGGCTCTCGGTAGGACAATGTCCAAACTCCTTCAGCATACTGCATTATAATTTTCTGCATCATCTTTTTTTTTTTTTTTTTTTTGAGACAGAGTCTCACTTTGTTGCACAGGCTAGAGTGAGTGCCGTGGCGTCAGCCTAGCTCACAGCAACCTCAAACTCCTGGGCTCAAGCAATCCTTCTGCCTCAGCCTCCCGAGTAGCTGGGACTACAGGCATGCGCCACCATGCCCGGCTAATTTTATATATATATATTAGTTGGCCAATTAATTTCTTTCTATTTATAGTAGAGACGGGGTCTTGCTCTTGCTCAGGCTGGTTTCGAACTCCTGACCTCGAGCAATCCGCCCACCTCGGCCTCCCAGAGTGCTAGGATTACAGGCTTGAGCCACCGCGCCCGGCCTGCATCATCTTTTAAGAACTCCAGTAAAAACAGGTCATTTCTCAATTCACCTGCAAAGACTAGCATATCCTCTCCAGGTGCTAGCTAGTAGGTATTTGCATTTTGAGGGCATTCTCTTAGTGGATGTCTCCTTTTACCACCTAGGCTATGAATACTCTAGACCGAGATCTTTTATGTGTCCCACAGTGGGCATCTGAGATAGTCCTTGGTACCATCTTTAGTTATCGGTGTCACAGCAGAACGTGTGTGTGTCTTTTATACAAGCTTTCTGAGAAATTATCACAGGCAATTGGGTCATCAAGGAAAGCGGGGAATCAAGACATTCCGAAGGAAACATCCTAGAGAGGAGTGAGTGCACCACCCTCTGGCTGGTCTGGTCCCACAGTAGAAGTGTGCATAGGGATGGTGGGTGATTAAAAAGGCAGCCCCTTTCTCGTTTCATTTTCTCCATCCTAAAGCACTGCCTCCTCAATAACTCCTCAGCCCTCAGCAGAAAAATACAGCCAGGGCTTCTTGGCAACAGAAGGGGTAGATGGACTAGCCAAGATGACATGGCCCCTTAGCATATATATAACATCATGTGACATGTATCAGTGGGTCTAAGAAGGAAACTAAAAGAACCTGTTACCAGTCCCTCCCTCCTCAATCTGGAAACAATTCCAAATCAACACTGACAGAATAATCCAGAATATGGCCAAAAGTTCTTGTCCTGTGCCACTTAAAAGCAAAATCTCTTAGTCATATTGCCCTCTGACCTACACACAACACACACCAATAAGTGGGCTCATCTTAAAACCTAACTGGGGATTCTGGTTAGGTATAGTAAATGTTGATGAAAATAAGCACTATCTGTGGAAACAAGTTCAGAATCATACATTCTTCTCAGGAGTAATTCCCCAATGTAAGTTAGTCCAAATCTAGATGAAATGAAGCAGCATGTGTGAAAACAAGCTCAGAATCACATTCTTTTCAAAAGTAACTTCCCAGTGTGAGTTAGTGTATGGTTCCCAGCCCTTAACACACCTTCATTCAGACACACAAGGTGTTCTGTTCCTATCTGGGTGAAGGAAGGTCATCCCTCTTACTCCAGTCCAAACACATAGAGATTGCAAGATCACATGGGTGCCTCCATCCCACATTTGACTGCTAGGCTGCAGGATTTGAACACTGTATTTCTTTAGCTAAGAAGAGGAAAGGTAGGATCGCTTAAGCCCAGGAGTTTGAGGTTGCTGTGAGCTAGGCTGATGCCACGGCACTCTAGCCCGGGCAACAGAGTGAGACTCTGTCTCAAAAAAAAAAAATTCTGAGCCTGTGAGATCAGTAGCAAATAATACCTACCTTGCAGAGTTGCTTGGACGATTGGTGGCGATTTGCTAAGTATATAGAACAAGGCCCAGCATGTACAATGCTCATATTGCAGCTGTTATATTTATTATCATTCTCCTGGCCACTTGGAACCCTTCTTTCCACTCTTCCCCATGAGCAACTGGCTTATGTGGTCCTTAAAGCATTTCCTACCTACAATAAGGATGGACAGGAATTTGTCAAGCACAGAACTTTTATTTTACATATTATTTCCAAAGAGGACATTGTTTAAGTGAGCAGCCAACAGAATTTATAAGAGAGAAAGTGACAGCAAGGTAACTGGCTCAAGTCCCTCTGTGTACACCATATACATTTCATATCTGAGCACCTTGTGTGTCTGGGTTAAGTGAAGGTAAGGCAGTATCAATTGTGCGAACAAGAAATCTGTGTTCTGTGATCAGGAATGGCTACTACATGCATCACACAAAATGCACAACCTGAAATGTTTCGATCTGCAACCAAAGTTTGCGTTTCCTCGAGCAAGGATGTGCATGAACAATGACCAACACATACAGAGCAACTTGGGCAGAGAGAATGGATAATGCTGTGGGGCGGTGAGGTCAGCACACTGATCAAGAGCCCCAATCAGGAGCCGTCCCAGTGGCGGGGCAGGCTAGGAGGGTGAGCCGCAGCCATCTCCAGCCACCTCGAGTTCCTTCCTGCCTTCACTCTAAGTTGAGCAGCTCCACGTCAAAGATGAGGGTGGCATTGGGAGGGATGACGCCAGGGTGGCCCGTGGCTCCATATGCCACATCAGGGGTGCAGGTCAGCTTCGCCCTCTGCCCCAAGCTCATCTAGCAGGGATAGGGGCAGATGGGGAGAGGAGAAAGAGGACCCAGCTTGATTTAAAAGAAAAAAGTTAGATGACTATGACATTTTCCCAAACCATCCTCAGGGTAACTCTGAAGATCTGAGATGAATTTTATATGTGGCACATTGAAACTGTGCCAAGAACTGTAACAAATGCAGGCTCCACCTCAGAACAGCAGAAACTTGGCTGTGGGACAATAACCTCCACAAATTCATTCATCTGACAAACATTACTGGTTATTCATTTTGTGTGTGGCCCAAACACTTCTACTTATTCATAATTTTTCCTTACCCTGTTCCAAAGAAGCCTAAAGAGGGTTTATAAATAGCACATGTACACACTCAAGTAAGTGGTAGGAGCAGTTCATTAAAGAGGTTCAGAGATTAGAGGCCACAGCAGGGTGGCGAGGGCCAGGAGACCTATTGCAGCGCAGTGCCACATGACCTCACAGACAGACCAAGGAAGCTGAGCTTGAACCAGGGCTCGTCACAACAGTCGTCAAGCACCCACTTGGCATTAATTGGTGAAATTTAAATAAATCAATTTTTGAATTTTGAATAATCAATTAAAATTTGAATGGGTATATTAATAGTATCGTATCCATGTGAGTATCCTGGTTTTGATAACCATACTATGATATGTAAGATATTAACATCTGGGTAGAGTATGTGGGAAATACTAAAGCACTAAATTTCTATAATATTTTTGTAAGTCTGAAATTGTTTCCAAAAAAGTTAAAAAACAAAAATGAAAAACCTTCTTGGCCTATCCCATCCCAACTCTTCTGCTGCCTCAGTCCCAACAGCCTAAGGGAAGTGCTTGGGGTGGGAGCCCCCACTGACACAAAAGAGGCATGCTAGCAAGGAGAGGGGTGGGGACACAAAGCCAGGAGTGAACACTAGATGGCGTTGCCATGCCCTGGCGGTAGTCAAAGCAGTAGTGGTGTGTGGTAGGTGAGGCTGGAAGCCAAGGGCTGAGTGCTGAGCCTGGATCCCTGACGCCCCAAATCCCCTTGAATGTGTATCCTCATCCTACCTGGGCTGTGCCCTCTTCAAAACCTTTGATGACTTCCTGTTTGCCGATTCGGAACTTGAAAGGTTTGTTTCTGTCTCTGGATGAATCGAATTTCTTCCCATTTTGGAGCATTCCTGGCAAAGCAAGAATAGGTGGCAAAAGAGCTGTACAGGGTCATGAGTTACCCCTAATTCAGACTGAACGGTCTGAAATGGAATTCCTACTCTGTAGACCCCTGCTCCTCTTTCAATCCTCCCATCTGTCCTATAGCCCGAGCAAGAAACCCGGACACTTCCCTCCTCCTCACTCCCACATACAGCCTGTTACCAAGTCCTGCATGTCTTTGGTATCCACCTGTTTTCTCCATTTCTATTATCACCACCCTGTGGACAGGAACAAGCTCCCAACTGGTCTTTTTGTTCCTCTTTTGCCCCTCCACTCCATTCTCCACTCTACACCCAGACTGATTTTTTTGTCTTTAAATATAAATCTGATCATATTACTCCCCTGCTTAAAATACTTCAATAGTTCCCCAGGGAAGAATCTATGCCTACCGTGCATAAAGGCCCTTCCAGATCTCGCTACTGCCTGCCTTACAACCCTCTCTCTGCTCTCCCCTTCCTCCCCTTCCCCTGTGTCCTATTGAGGTCATGCCTTCCTCAAATTCATCTGTACTTTACAACTTCTTTGTGCCACTTCCTCAGCCAAAAGGTCTGTTTTCCCAGGTATTCCAGCCTCAGGTTGAGTCCTAAGGTTCCCCAAAATGCAAACTCAAAGGTCACATCATCCCCTACTGCAGTGAACGGTTTAAGGTGTTGAAGGTGACTTAGCTGGTCAGTGGTGGCCTTTAGACTCCACAGACATAGGGCTGTTTGAAAGCAGAACACTCCAGGTGCTATCTCCAGCAGTTGGAGCATCCCTTAGTCTCTGCTGCAGATGCCTTGTCATCCCTGATGTCCACATGTCATTTCAGTCCAGCAGCCCAAGAGCTATTTCTAATTCTGGTTGGTAACCCTAACTCAAAGATCAGAACTTCTATAGGTGATGCTATTCCACGACAGCTTCCTGCAGCCTCTGAACCACCACAAAGGCAATTTGGGACTAAAGAAAGACCTAGCCAGCCTGGGTGCTGACCTCACTCTGGCACTCACTCACTACATGCAGTTCAGCAATCACTTCCTCTCCTAGAGCCTCAGATTTGCCATGCTTAACATGGGAGGCTAAGTCAACTTATTGTCTGAGCATCTGTGATTTCCTAATTCCCACAACTAAAATTTATACTAGGCCAGGCGCAGTGGCTCATGCCTGTAATCCTAGCACTCTGGGAAGCAGAGGCAGGAGGATCCCTTGAGCTCAGGAGTTTGCGACAAGCCTAAGCAAGAGCAAGACCCTGTCTCTACTAAAAATAGAAAAATTAGCTGGGCATGGCGGCACATGCCTGTAGTCCCAGCTACTCAGGAGGCTAAGGCAAAGAGGATTGCTTGAGCCTAGGAGTTTGAGGTTGCAGTGAGCTATGATGATGCCAATGCACTCTATACAGAGCAACAGGGTGAGACTCTTTCTCAAAAACAAAAATAAAATAATAAAATAAAATGTATACTACAGAAACACCCTTATTTGCCTACTTTCTGGGTAGGATAAATTGGGCTTTTGCCTTGGGTACTAAATGAGGCAAAGGAGAAAACCCTTCTGGTTACACAGAGATACACACAGATGGATGCTAAGAAGATCAAATACAAACTCATGCATACACACAGGTTGCTAAGATATTCAAATACACAGAGATACTTATGCATGCTCACATGCACTTACGCATACACACTCAGGAGAAAAACCCTGATGGCCAAACAGATGCTAAGAAAATATTTAGATACACAGCTCTACATACATTCACACAGACATATACTTGGGCAAATATGCACACAGATATGCACACATATACACTCACATTCACACACTCCATTGATGGACTGACTCTCTCATCCCCCTAATTTCTTCAGGTTTCATATGACTTAATCTACTTAAGACCATCTACTGCTACAGGTTCAGCCAAAACCATGCAGTCCAGAAACAGACCTACATATATATGGATATTTGATTTGACAAAGATGCCACTGCAATGCAACAAATAAAGGATAATTTTTTGGATTAAGGTGGCTGGATCAATTGTCTATCCATATGGAAAAAAATGAACCTTGAACCTACACACAAATCAATTCCAGATGAATCATAGACCTAAATATGAAAGGCAAAATAATAAAGGTTCTACAAGATAATAAATAGAAAATATCTTCATGACCTAGAGATAGACAAAGATTTCTTGAACTAAGCACAGAACGTACTAACCATGGAGGAAAAGATTAATAAGTGATGGCCGGGCGCGGTGGCTCACGCCTGTAATCCTAGCACTTTGGGAGGCCGAGCCGGGCGGATCGCTCAAGGTCAGGAGTTCGAAGCCAGCCTGAGCGAGACCCCGTCTCTACCAAACATAAAAAAAAAAAGAAATTAATTGACCAACTAAAAATATATATACAAAAAATTAGCCGGGCATGGTGGTGCATGCCTGTAGTCCCAGCTACTCGGGAGGCTGAGGCAGAAGGATTGCTTGAGCCCAGGAGTTTGAGGTTGCTGTGAGCTAGGCTGACGCCACGGCACTCACTCTAGCCTGGAAAACAAAGTGAGACTCTGTCTCAAAAAAAAAAAAAAAAAAAAAAAAAAAAAAAAAAAAAAAAAAAATAAAAATGTAAGCCACAGTATGAAAGAAGATGTTTGGAATAAAACAACCAACAAAAGACTCATACATGAAGAATCCATAAAGAACTCCTACAAATCAATAAGAAAAAGGCCAATAATTTTTTAAAATGGACAAAATTTGAGCAGTCTAAAGAGGATATCCAAATGGCTAGTAAGCACATGAGAAGACACTCAACTTCATTATTCATCAGGAAAATGCAAATCAAAACCAGGCACCCAGCAGAGCAGGCCAAAAACAAAATCAAAACAAAAACCTGACAATATCAATCAAGTGCTGGTGAGGACACAGGGTAATTGGAACTCTCATGTACTGCTGGTGGAAGTGGAAACTGGCACAAGTACTTTGGAAAGCTACTAGGCATTACTGCTACAGCTGAACATGGGCATAACCCTGTATCCCAGCAGTTCCATTTCTAGGTATATACCAAAAATATGCACTAACAGACACCCTATGAGGCTGTTCAGAGCAACACTATTGGTAATAAGCAAAAACTATAAATAACCCAAATGTCTATCAACAGTAGAAAGGATAAATAAATTGTAGTTTTGTGGGGTTTTTTTGAGACAGAATCTCACTCCATTACCCAGGCTAGAATGAGTGCCATGGTGTCAGCTTAGCTCACAGCAACCTCAAACTCCTGGGCTGAAGCGATCCTCCTGCCTCAGCCTCCTGAGTAGCTGGGACTACAGACATGCGCCACCATGCCCGGCTAATTTTTTCTATATATTTTTAGTTGGCCAATTAATTTCTTTCTATTTGTTTTTTTTTTTAGTAGAGACAGGGTCTTGCTCTTGCTCAGGCTGGTCTTGAACTCCTGACCTTGAGCGATTCTCTTGCCTCGGCCTCCTAGAGTGCTAGGATTACAGGCATGAGCCACCGAGCCTGGCCAATTGCAGTATATTGATATAATGAAATATTGTAGAGGAATAAAAAGAACAAACCACTCTGGATAAATCTCGCAGCTATAATATTGAGTGAAATAAACCAAGCACAGAAGAATACATACTTTATGATTCCATTTATATGAAGTTCAAAGACAAGCAAAACCAAAATCCATAGGGACAAAAGTCAGAATAATAGCTACCTTTAGGGAGGCAGAATGATGGGAGGAGGCATGGGGAGACCTCGGAGGGCGCTGGTCTTGTTTTGTATTTATCTGAGTAGTAGTTACAAAAATGTGATCACTTTGAAAAAATTCACTGAGTAGAGACCATGATCTCTACTATATTTATATTTAATAAAAAAGGTTACCACAAGTCCCATACAGTCTTCTGTTGTGTTGGATACGACAGTTTCTCCCCAAACCAGAGCTGCTCACAGCTGATATTAGTGTTTAATGCACATTACCTGCTGTATGCATGTGTTGTGAAAAGACTTTGCAAAAGGATGTTGTGGGCCGGGCACGGGGGCCCACGCCTGTAATCCTAGCACTCTGGGAGGCCAAGGTGGGCGGATTGTTTGAGCTCAGGAGTTCGAGACCAGCCTGAGCAAGAGCGAGACCCCATGTCTACTAAAAATAGAAAGAAATTAATTGGCCAACTAAAAATACATAGAGAAAAAATTAGCCAGGCATAGTGGCACATGCCTGTAGTCCCAGCTACTCGGGAGGCTGAGGCAGGAGGATCGCTTAAGCCCAGGAGTTTGAGGTTGCTGTGAGCTAGGCTGACGCCACGGCACTCACTCTAGCCTGGGCAACAAAGTGAGAATCTGTCTCAAAAAAAAGGATGTTGTGGTTTCAGTAACTTGATAAATACCGGTCTGTCTACAATGTGTAGAACGGATAAATCAATTACACGGGTCAGAGGCCCCAGAGGATCCATGGTAATTAGGCCACATTATCAGGAGATAAAACACAGCTCCAGCCCACTGACGTCAGCGACCAGCAACGTAACTGTCAAGAAACATCCACACCGCCTGCCTAGAATTAACCTTGTGCTTCACACTGGCCTACCGAACTGCTAAAAATGGCCCCATCCGAATGTGTCCTAGGAATTAAACTGGCCTTGCTCTATGCTAAGTGGTTGTCACCAAGTTTGCCACATTGGGAAGCAGGTCACAAGGCAGTGTGCTCACCCCCCTTGAACAAACACCTGCTCATGATCTTGCTGCCAGCAGTCCTACAGAACTCATCTAGAATGTCCCTAGGCTAGCCCACCTGGCCTCCAGATATAGGGCATCTAAGAGGGGTCCACCCAGAGGTGGGGCCCTCCTCTGGGCTCTGCCAGCACCCAGAGACAAACACTCTAGCACCCTGCCCCTCACACTGTGTCAGAGCCTCCAGGTGACGTGTTTGTCCTCTCCCCACCATAGCCAGTGAAGGCAGACATCCTCCCTCCTTGTCTTTGTGCTCTGGTGTGCAGCATGGCATCCGGCCCAGTAGGTGCTCAGTATCAGTAGGCTGAATTGAATAGTCTATTTCTAAAGAGAGAAAGGAAATTCTGACAAAGCCAACCTCCTCTTCTCTAATGATACTGTAGGACAAAGAGGGAGTCTGCTGGGAGTTTCAGGGCTCTCAGAGCTTTAAGAGGGATTTCCAAATATCAGACAGAACCAGGAGGGTTAGGGCTCCACACTGCCTGAAATGGAAGGAAGGGCACTAGAGGTGCTTGACTCACCCAGAGGCTGGCACTACGGATGGCCCTCGCTGGTATAAGAGGGGAGGAGTTGACCTGGCAAGCCCCCTTTCTCATCCCCACAGACTGGCTGGGAGGAGCAGGGGGTAGCTGGTCACAGGGAGAGCTGGCTACCTTGGGCTCTGGGGCTGTTCCAGGGGGCAGACACGCCAAGAGGAGCTCAGAAGAGAGCCCAGCCTTGGGAGGGGCAGGCCTGGGTGAGGACTGTGGGAGAGAAGCCTACCTGTGTAGTGCACCACACACGTCTGGCCCTTCTTGGGGAAGGTCCTTCCTGCAAGGAGACACAAGAGCAGATGAAGGAGCAGGGTATTGGACTAAGTGCTGGGACACTCAGGTGTGATCCTGACCAAAAGCTCAGGCCCATGTTCCCCTCCATACTATGGAGATACTCGTGGCCCCAGTTCTGGCTCTGTGTGTGCCTCACAGGAACCAGGACTAGTCATGTCACTTCTCTGGCCTGGATTTGAACTTCATTTCCTTAGTTTCCTCAACTCTGCTCTCTCCTAGGTTTTTTCTTTTTTCCCCTTTTTTGATTACTCTTTTTACCTTATCCATTCCACAGACGTTTCCGGAAGCCAACTATGTGCCAGGCCTGAACTAGACAGAGACACAGAGCAAGGTATGAACTCATGAGGAAGTTAGGGAAACAGACACATAAATACTAGAGTATAATGATGGCTCCTACCGAGAATGGATAAACATACTCATTCACAAATATTTAGAGCACCTACTATGGGGCAGGCCTGTCCCTGTTCCTGGGGATATAGTAGTAAACACTACAGATGAGAGAGACCCCTGCTCTTTTGGAGTTTACATTCTAATGGAGGGAGACAAATAATATTCAAACAAGATAATTATGGATTATTATAAATACTCTAAAGAAAATAAACTCAAAGATGAATTAAAGCGAGATACAGTGGGGCATGCCATTTTAGAAAAGAGTGGTCTAGGATGGCCTCTCAGAGAAGGTGACATTTGACCTGGAACTTGAAAGATCTGCAAAATGCTGGGAAAGAGCACCCCAGGAAGGAGTAGCAAGTGCACAGAATCACCATATTTGCAGAACAGAAAGGCAGCTAAGTGCTGGAAAGAAGGGAGGGAGGAGAGAAGTGGGAAAGAGACTGATAATGCAGGGCTTGCAGAGCCGGATTTAACACTAAGTGCAATAGGAAACCACTGGAGGGTTTTAAGCAAGAGAATGACATAATCTGAATTAAGATTTTATAAGATCACTCTGGCTGCTGTGTGTAGGATGGATGGTTAGGCGTCTGTTCCAATAATCCAGACAAGAAATCAATGATGGCTTGATTTAAGGTGGCGGCAGCAGAGGAGAGAGCAAAATAGATTGGAGACATATTTTGGAAGCTGAGCTGACAGGGCATGCAAATGAACTGGAGATGGGGTCCAAGATGAGGGAAAAGCAGAAAACAAGAACGATGCTTGGTTTTTTGAGGTTTAGGCAACTGGATGGATAGTGGAGCCACTTCCTGAGATGAGGATAGATTTGTGCAGGTGGCAATCTTGAGATGCCCATCAGACATCTGAGCTTATTTGGCAAGTAGGCAGATGGACAGTCTATACTGGAGGTATAAATTTGGGTGGAATTTGAAGCTATGGGGCTGGATAACAAATCCTAGGAAAGGCTAACTGCAGAGCCAACATTTAAGCAGCAGTCCCCAGCCTTTTGGCACCAGAAACCGGTTTCATGAAAGACAATTTTTCCATGGAGCAGGGTGGAGTGGGTTGAGGTGTCCAGGGAGGGTCAGGGGAGGGTGATGTAGAGCTCAGGTGGTGATGGGCAGCCGGTGGCCCTAGGACCACAGATTTAGAGGACCCTCCTGGAGGAGGGAGCGACCAACTGGAGAAGTCTGGGAAATCATCACAGAGGAGATAACGGTTAAACCGGGTCTTAAAAGATGAGTAAGTTTACCAGAGGAAGACACGGGATATAATCTGGGAAGAGGGAACTACACATAAGGGTATGTTCAAAGGCCTAGAGCCCAGCAATAGCAGAAGCCTTGTTTATTTCACTGCTGTAACCCTAGGGCCTAGCACACAGTACATGTTCAATAAATATCTGCTGAATGAGTGTGTGTTTAACAACTTGCAGGCAGCTTGGTAAAGCTGGAGAAAAAATTGGTGGTGGGCGTAGGGACAGGTAGTGAGAAATGAAGTTACAGTGTGGAAGGTTAGAATGACCATATAACCAAGGGGACCTTCCGCCTGGAGGAAAGGTAAGAGACATTAAGAGATTTTTCTGCCTGAGGCAAGGACATGGTCAAATATGCATTTTAAAAAGAGTCCTCAGGCTGTGGTGTAGAAAATGAGTGGGAGTGAGGCAGGAGCCAGACTGAAGGCAGAAAGGTGACAGTGAAGGTGGGGAGGTCAGTTCAGTGGAGGTGACAAGGTCTCAGAGAGATGCTTCCAGCACCAAGGTTCCCTGCGTGGGCCAAGAAGTCTGTACCCCAGGGGTGATCCCACCAGTGGAGGATGGCCTGAAACCAAGAAGCCCTCCAATTTCCCAGGAAGGGGAGTAGGGTTGTCAATAATGTCTTTTATGAAGTTTGCCTGCCAAACCCTGCAGACATGCAGGCTTAGTTCTGAATTACAATTTAAGGAAAAAAGACATGGCAACTCCTTGCACACTCAGACCCAATAACACAAGTGAGTGGTGCCCGTCCCGGATACAGGGGACGGGGAATCCAGAGGAGCACCTGGGGCGGGGAAGGCGGGCCACAAGAGTGAGTTCTGTTTCGGACTTGACGACTCCGAGGTATCCTGGGACATCCAGGTAAAGGTGAGCAGCGGGTTGGCGGTCTGGGTTTCGGGGCTTAGATGTGGAGGCCACGGGAATGGGCAGGGTGGCCAGGGAGGCTGAGCGGGCGGGAGGACGCAGCGAGATGCGGAGGCGGCGGAAGGAAGGAGCGCGCCCCCTTCCCAGACCCGCTCTGTCCCACGGCCTCTCGCGGCCGCCCGCGGGGCACGCGTTAGCAGGGGGTTCCCGAGCAGCAGACCCCAGAGCAGGTCCCTTCCCGGTTTCCAGAGCTCGCCCAGCAGGCAGGGAAGCAGAGCTGAGCCCCGGCCCTGGGAATCAGCAGCCGCGGATAACCCCGCGGTTCCGGCCGCAGCCGCGGCCCCGGGGCGGTGGCGAGGCGCAGACCCCCGCCTCCCGGCCGCCGCCTTCGTTCCGCGAGGTGAGTGGGAGCGACGGGGGTGGCGAGGGTCGTCTCCTCCGCCCCCAAGAGTCCGGCGCAGGGTCTCCTCCTGCCGCCCCCGTCCCGGCCCCTCCCGCCTCGACACCCTGGGCGCCCGCTCGGATTCTGACCCCCGCCCGCCGGGCTCCGCCCCGGGACCCCTCCGCCCCCGCGCCGGAGGCAGCCCTGTACCGTCGCCCGGAGAGATGGTCTCGATCTCCACGCCCATCGCGGTCCCGCAGGCGCCGCCTCCGGGGGTCCCCGCCGCTGCCCGACCCCGGCTCCGCTCGGCCCGGCCCGGCCCCGCAGGCGCTCCGCCGCCGCCCCGCCGCCGCTGCAGAGCCGGAGGAGGTGCGGCGGGAGTCGGGACCTGCGCGGGGAGGGGCCACCGCGGAGGGGCGGCGGGGCGGGGCCGCGCGCAAAGGTGGGGTCGGCCCGGGCGGGGCCGGGGGAAGGGACCCTGCCGTGGCTGCTCGCGGGCCGGCAGGAGCAGAGATCACTAACCCACTGCCTGGGGAGCGTGGTGGGCGAGCCGCTCATCCATCCATCGGTTCAGTGGCTCATCCGCTCAATACGTACCAATCTAGCACCTGCTCTGTGCCCAGCTCTGGGGAGTCGACCTGGTCCTGCAGGCGTGGGGGAGAGGGCTGGCAATGAAACCACCACCAGTTAGATGCTCAGTGCCCTGGAGTTCAGAGCGCTATGGATTCACCAGAGAGGTACCTTCCCTCGCTAGGCTCCCCGGATTTGTGGGAGAGGGGCAGGCGGAGGGAGGACACCAGTCATTGCAGACTGTCCCCCACCCTCCCTGAACCCCTCTTCGCCATCCTGGGCAGTTCCGCTCCACACACAGTTATTGGGTGCCCACTATACCAACTGAATTAAGGCAGAATCGCTGTCCTCCGGGAACTAAGTCTGGGATGGGTGGGGACTCAGACAGTTACCATAGTGCTGTGGAACGAATCAATGAATAAATAAATCCTACCTTGAGCTCCTCCTCCACGCCAGACCCTTCCCCCCTACCCAAAACAGATCCAGGAATCTAGAAAGGAATTTTTAGAGGAGGTAACATTTGCTTGAAGGATGAAAGGGACTTTTAAAAAAAAGTGAAAAAACTTTGTTTTTTCCACTCATTCTTACCTGAATTGTTCCAAATATTGACATGAAGGTATGATTCTGAAAAGTGGTGCTGGAAGATGGGCAGAGGGAGAAAAAGGTGCCCAGAATGGGCTCTAGGGGTGTTCTTCCTCCATCTCTCCACGCACCCTCCTCCCCCAGGTGGTCAGAGACCAGCATCCCTGAAGAAGGACTGGCTGTGTTGTTCAGGAGGGTCACGATCTGAAATCCCATGGGCCGCTTCTAGTTGTGGCCCAGGGTTTTCCAAGAGTGTAGCTGGTCTAAAGAAGTCCAGAGATGCACTAGCTCCATGGGCTATGGGTATGGATAGGCACGTTTGAGGTAGGTGTAGAACAGGGATTTGTAACTGGGATAGGTCCATAAAGCGGCTTCAGTTAAATGCACAATGTTTTGTGTACGGATGAGAACATTATTCTGGGGAAATTTTATCATTTAAAGGGGTCCCCAACTTCTTCCTTCCCGGTCACCGAAAAAAAGAAAAGAAAAGAAAGGAAAAGAAAGGAAAGAGAGAGAGAGAGAGAGAGAGAGAGAGAGAGAGAGAGAGAAAGAAAAGAAAAGAAAAGAAAAGAAAAGAAAAGAAAAGAAAAGAAAAGAAAAGAAAAGGAAGAAGGTTAAGAAACCTCGTTGCCTGTAATCCTAGCTCTTGGGAGGCCGAGGCGGGCGGATTGCTCAAGGTCAGGAGTTCAAAACCAGCCTGAGCAAGAGCGAGACCCCGTCTCTACTATAAATAGAAAGAAATTAATTGGCCAACTGATATATATATATAAAAATTAGCCGGGCATGGTGGCGCATGCCTGTAGTCCCAGCTACCCGGGAGGCTGAGGCAGAAGGATCACTTGAGCCCAGGAGGTTGAGGTTGCTGTGAGCTAGGCTGACGCCACGGCACTCACTCTAGCCTGGGCAACAAAGCGAGACTCTGTCTCAAAAAAAAAAATAAATAAAATAAATAAAAAAAAATAAAGAAACCTCGTTGCCTAGGTGCGATGGCTCACACCTGTAATCCTAGCACTCTAGAAGGCCAAGGTGGAAGGATTGCTTGAGGTTAGGAGTTGGAGACCAGCCTGAGCAAGAGCGAGACTACCCCTCCTTAAAATAGAAAAAATTAAAAATAGAAAAAATTAGACCCTGTTTCTACTAAAAACAGAAAAATTAGCCGGTCGTGGTGGCGTGAGCCTGTAGTCCCAGCCCCACTCGGGAGGCTGAGGCAGGAGGATTGCTTGAGCCCAGGAGTTTGAGGTTGCTGTGAGCTAGGCTGATGCCACGGCACTCTAGCCCAGGCAACAAAGCGAGACTCTGTCTCAAAAAAAATTAAAAAAAAACAAACAACTTTGTTGACCCTGGGGCTCCTGAACTCTCTTAGACAAGAGAACCAACAAGAACTGGGGGAAGGACTAAAGCGCTTAACCGAGGAAGAAACAGTGACTTCCAGTCAGTCAGTCGGTGGAGTTTCCCTGGGACTACAACTCCCAGCGATCCCTGCGGCAAAGCCTGAGCTCATTGGTCAGTGGGAAAGACCTGCCTAACGTAACAGAATCAAAAGCCAATAGGCAGAGGACATTTTCGAGCATATCAGAGGACTGAGGGCCGATACTTCCGCTAGCTACTCAGCGTTTGTGCCCAGCGGTCCGGTGTTGGGCAGTGAGACTCAAGGTATTTTGTCTCCACTGCTGGCAGGCATAGCGGGTGTGGGGAGTCTGGAGGTGGGCGGGGAGGGAGGTGGACCAGCGACTCGGGGCTGGGAGGGCAGCTGGGGGCAGGGAGGAGATACAGACGAACCGAGACGATTGAGAGAACCGGGCGGCCGGGTTATGAGGGGCAGGAGGGCGAGGACCGACCGGGTGTGGGTTTAAAGGACTGAATGTGTTCCCTGTGACTTATGGATGACACTTACGGGAGTATATCCTCAGGAAGTCTTCCGAAATAAAGACAATTCTTTAAGTACAAAGACCGTTATCACAGCGTTACCTATAGCAGGATAAAGTTGATTACAACTAGGTGTCTCGACAGCCAGGAGTTAAGTAGTTCAGTAAATTATGTGACTTCTCTGAGTGCGTATGAAGGAGCTTGTGAAGTTAGTTTATAAAACTTTTAAGTAACTTGGGAAAAGGCTGATATGACACAAATTTGAACCAAAACTATGCATAGCAAAGAGTCTAGAGAGATGTAGTCATAATTTTCCTTGGATGAATGATTTTTTGTGAATTTCTCTTTTTAATTTTTTGCCTTTCTTGGCCTGGCGCGTCGACTGATGCCTGTAATCCCAGCACTCTGGGAGGCCGAGACGGATGGATCGTTTGAACTCAGGAGTTCAAACCTGAGCCTGAGCAAGAGTGAGACAACCCCCCCCTACTAAAAATAGAAAGAAATTAGCTGGACAATTAAAAATATACATAGAAAATACCCGAGCATGGTGGCATATGCCTGTAGTCCCAGCTACTCGGGAGGCTGAGACAGGAGGATTGCTTGTGCCCAGGAGTTTGAGGTTGCTGTGGGCTAGGCTGGCGCGATGGCACTCACTGTAGCCAGGGCAACAGAGTGAGACTGTATCTCAAAAAAATAAAAAATATATATTTTTTACCTTTCTTGTATGTGATTTTCCCCCCAAAATAAGTGTAAAGACATTGAAATTATTTTATAGTGGAAACACAACTTGGAAAATAAGGATGTACCTTTTTTTAAACATATTGGAAATGCTTCAGTTCACCCAAGTCCTTTGATTCTCATTATGAGTTGTTTTTAAGGGAGATTAAAAACATAAAAATTAAATGATCTGAGCTCTAGCTCCTGGTTCTGACCACCTCATCCCTGAACTAATGCAGTGGTATTTTCTCTCTTCAAAACACCCAGGGTTCTTGATTTCAGAAAGCTTGGAGTCTGGGGATTGAGAGAGAACAGGTATATAGTTAGCGTCAGGCAAAATGTAGATCTTTTTAAAATATAGACGATAATTGAGGAATGCCTGAAGATTATCTAAACCTTGGTCCTCTTTGCTCTTTGATCTTTTATAGTGAGGTTCTTCATAGCTTGGTTTTAACTACTATTAACTCAACCCTGTGCCAGTGACTCACAAATCCTTACCTCTTACTGCCTAAGGTACATTGCTACCATGTAGGCATCTTACATGAAGCACATCTGATGTTAAATTTATCACACACTACACACTATTCTCAACTTTGAAGCATATTCTGCCTTCTGTATGGTTATAGGTTCGGCAGTTTCCCAAGATAAAAATCTGGATATCTTTTTTTTCTTCTTAAATAGAGACAGGGTCTCTGTGGCCCAGGCTGGAAATCCTGGGCTCTAGTGATCTCTCCTTAGCTGCCTCCTGAGTAGCTGGGATTACAGGGGTGAGACACCACACCTGGTCCCAGGATGTTATCGTTAATTATTCTTTCTTCTTCACTACTCATATCCTATCTGATATCATTATCTATTCCATCTGCCTTAGAAGTACCTCTTGAATCTGGCCCTCTTTCTTTACTGAAATAGCTACAAACTTGGTTCACTTTCATGTTGTGACATTCAAACTATTTCATAGCCCCTTATTAAACTTGTCAACTTTCTTCTTTCTCAGGTCCATCCTATACATTGTCACATGAATGTGCACTAGATCGCCAAAATTCCAAATTCTTCAGCAGCCCCATTATGATCAGAGAGAGAAAGTTGGAAAGGTATAGTTATATCAATAATATAAGGCCTCAAATACTTTGTTAGATAATATAAGGCCTCAAATGCCTTGTTAAGACCTTTTGAAATAACTTTTTTATACATACTGTAGACTGTGGAGATTCATCAAAGCTTTTTGAGCAGAGGAGCAAAATGATCAGAGCTGTGCTTTTTTAAAAAGATAATTCTGCTCTGGGAGGCCTAGGCAGGCGGATTGCTCGAGGTCAGGAGTTCGAGACCAGCCTGAGCAAGAGCGAGACCCTGTCTCTATTATAAATAGAAAGAAATTAATTGGCCAACTAAAAATATATAGAAAAAATTAGCTGGGCATGGTGGCACATGCCTGTAGTCCCAGCTACTCGAGAGGCTGAGGCAGGAGGATCACTTGAGCCCAGGAGCCTGAGGTTGCTGTGAGCTAAGCTGACGCCATGGCACTCACTCTAGCCTGGGCAACAAAGCGAGACTCTCTCAAAAAAAAAAAATAAAAATAAAAAAAAAAAAGGTAAATCTGCCCAACAACACATAGCATGTAGACTCTTCTGTAAAGAAGAGACTGATATCAAGGGGACCTCTCCTTGTTCTACCCTAATACTAAAGGGAGGAGTGGTCAGGACCTTGGCCAGAACAGGAGCAGAAAGGAATGGAGCACATTTTTGTAAGTATTGTTAGGTTTTTAGAAAAATATGTCAAATTTCTTCTTATTACTAAAGATCAAAATATTAAAATTGATTTTTCTAAAAACCTGAGTAAACTTATTCTCATGTTTGTTTTTCCCTTATTCACAAATCCTTATCTTGTGCTGCCTACCCTCGGCACATCATATACCTTCGTTGACGTTAGACTGAATTTAGTGTCCTAAAATATGTCATATAAATTGATTTTGCTATAATTGGCCCATTAGGAATTATCTCTGTCCAGGAAAATGTATTGTGCATTATTTATCAATAGAAGTCTTTTACAAGTACATAAGTAGATATTAAGGGGAAAACATTTTTTTTTTTTTTTTTTTTTAGGACCTCCAAACTCCAGGAGGAAAACATTTATTATCTTATGTAAGACTGGTGGAATAGAGATTACAGTTTTCTTCATTAGTAATGACAGGGGACTTATTTTTCCATTTAGCAAGCCATTGCAGAAACACTTAATCTGACGTCATGTTTGGAAGCATAACAGACTATTCCTTCTTAATAAAAGATCCTAAGAATAAGGAGAAATTTAACAAGGAGGCATGAGAAATAATTTAGAGATTAAGTTAAAAGCAAATCACCAGTTTGGTAGAGAATCTTTGGATTTAGAATATAAAGACAAAGACAACTTTTTAAAGTTGTCTTTGACACTTACTACCAGTAAAACGGGGCTTGGGAAATGTCCACTGGATTTAACGACAAGGATGGCACTGGTGGCTTGGTTAGAGCTGTTTTGGAGAAGAGATTAGAATGGAGTCCATTTGGAGTGGATTAAAAAGAGTAAGTGGTGAATAAATGGGTGCTGCAAGTTTAGACAATCCTTCAATAATAAGATTAAGCATCACTTTATGTAGTTTATTGACTGTTGTTTTATAAATTGCCTATTGACATTCTTTGGCCATTTAATAATTTAGGAGTGTCTTTTTAACTGATTTATAAAAGCTCTTTATAAAGTATGTTTTTTAATTTAAATCTTTTTCTCTTCTCTCAATTACAAATAGACTATTTGAATACATGCTTGTAAAAAACTTTTTTTTCAAACAATACAGAAAATTTTTTTGAGACAGTGTATCTGTCACTGGGGCTAGAATGCAGTGGTATCATCTTAGCTCACTGCAACCTCAAACTCCTGGGATTGAGCCATCCTCCTGCCTCAGCCTCCCAAGTAGTTGAGACTACAGGCATGAGCCACCACGGCTAGCTTTCTATAGAGACAAAGTCTCATTCTTGCTCAGGCTGGTCTTGAACTCCTGTCCTCAAGTAATCCTCCTGCCTGATCTTCCCAGAGTGCTAGGATTACAGGCATAAGCCAGCCTTTGTTTTTTTAAATTAGAGACAGAGTCTCATTCTGTTGCTCACGTGCGGTCATAGCTCACCATAACCTCGAGCTCCTGGGCTCAAGCTATCCTCCAGTCTCCGCCTCCTGAGTAGCAAAGACTGCAGGGACAAACCACCATGCCTAGCTAATTTTTTATTTTTATTTTTATTTGTTTTTGTGAGACAGGGTCTCACTCTGCCACCCAGGCTAGAGTGCAGTAGTGTCATTATAGTTCACTGCAAACTCGAACTGAGCTCAAGCCATCCTCTTGCCTCATCTGTCCGCGTAGCTGGGACTACAGGAATGTGCCACCAAGCCTGGCTAAGTTTTTAAAAATATTTTTGTAGAGATGAGGTCTTGCCATGTTGCCCAGGCTGGTCTCAAACTCCTGGCCTCAAGTACTCCTCCTGCCTTGGCCTCCCAAAGCACTGGGATTAAAGACATGAGCCACTGCCTGGCCCTTTTTCTACATATTTACATAAATATACACTCGTTTGTATAGATTACAGAGGATTTTTTCCTTTCTTTTTTTGTTTTTGTTTTGTTTTTTTGAGACAGAGTCTCACTTTGTTGCCCAGGCTAGAGTGAGTGCCGTGGCGTCAGCCTAGCTCACACCAACCTCAAACTCCTGGGCTCAAGCAATCCTACTGCCTCAGCCTCCCGAGTAGCTGGGACTACAGGCATGTGCCACCATGCCCGGCTAATTTTTTCTATATATATGTTAGTTGGCCAATTAATTTCTTTCTATTTATAGTAGAGATGGGGTCTCGCTCTTGCTCAGGCTGGTTTTGAACTCCTGACCTCAAGCAATCCACGCCACGGCACTCACTCTAGCCTGGGCAACAAAGCAAGACTCTGTCTCAAAAAAAAAAAAATATTGCTATGTTAAAAACATGATAGTTTTGTTAATTAGATTTTCGCATTTAATTTCATAAGATTTTAATCTTTATATACACTTATAGTATTATATATAATTTTTTACATAATCTATTTGCAAAAAGGATTTGAGGCATCTAGCCTGAGCAACAAAGTGAGACTCTGTCTCAAAAAAAAAAAAGAAGGATTTGAGGCAGCCATCTGCTGTATTGATCTATGTTATTTTCTCCATGAGTAGCATCATAGTGGAGCTACATCCAAAAATTATAATTACAGTCCCGAAATTATAATTACTCCCAAAATGTTGGGATTATAGGTGTGAGCCACTATGCTTGGCCTATTAAGTGTTTTCAATGTGGTAGGCATTGTAACTGTGCAGATTAATAAATAGAAGGAAATAAGGCTGGAGAGATGGGTCCAGATTAGGAAGGGCTTTGAAGGCCAAACTGAGAAATTAAGGCTTTATCATAGAGGGAAGGGGAGCGTGGGCAATATACATAACCTTAACATTTGTACCCCCATAATATGCTGAAGTAAAAAATAATAAAAATAAAAGATACTCCAATTTAGAGTAAAATTAAAAAACAAAAACAATGCTGCTACTTTCCAGTTTTCATTGCCCATCAGATGTATTGTATCTATCTAAGATTACAGAATTTGAGAAAGAAAATATTTGTTCATTTAAGATATCAACTGTATTTGCTGAGTAGACTATTGTGGACATCAAGAAATTTAGAATTATTTGTCTAGACATGTTAACTGAATAAATGTGCTAGAAAAAAATCTCTGTCATCATTTAAAACTATTGACTTTGTTTATGTAGATTTAAAATATGCAGTGAGAAATTTTATCCCAAGTATCTGTAGAGCTTTCTTTTTTTTCTTTTTTTGGAGACAGAGTCTCACTTTGTTGCCCAGGCTAGAGTGAGTGCCGTGGCGTCAGCCTAGCTCACACCAACCTCAAACTCCTGGGCTCAAGCAATCCTACTGCCTCAGCCTCCCGAGTAGCTCGGACTACAGGCATGCGCCACCATGCCTGGCTAATTTTTCTATATATATTAGTTGGCCAATTAATTTCTATTTATAGTAGACAAGGGTCTCGCTCTTGCTCAGGCTGGTTTCGAACTCCTGACCTCAAGCGATCTGCCCGCCTCGGCCTCCCAGAGTACTAGGATTACAGGCGTGAGCCACCACGTCTGGCCTACATGGCACATATTAACTATTTCATTGAACAGCATGGCTATGAGCAGTGGGTAACCTCATCATTTTTAAGCTGACGATGTACTTAAAAAAGGGCACTTTGGCCGGGTGCGTGGTGGCTCACGCCTGTAATCCTAGCACTCTGGGAGGCCGAGGCGGCGGATCACTCGAGGTCAGGAGTTTGAAACCAGCCTAAGCAAGAGCGAGACCCTGTCTCTACTATAAATAGAAAGAAATTAATTGGCCAACTAATATATATGGAAAAAATTAGCCGGGCATGGTGGCGCATGCCTGTAGTCCCAGCTACTCGGGAGGCTGAGGCAGAAGGATTGCTTGAGCTCAGGAGTTTGAGGTTGCTGTGAGCTAGGCTGATGTCACAGCACTCACTCTAGCCTGGGCGACAAATCAAGACTCTGTCTCAAAAAAAAAAGGGCACTTTAAGATTGATCTTATACAAGATGGACTGAAGGAGGAAAGACTAATTAGAAGTAGGAAAAATAGAAGATTTGTAGTCATCTGTGTTTAAGGTAATGATGCTCTGATTCACGGTGTTGTTAGTGGGAATAACGAAGGGCTGGATTCAAGAAACAATTCTAAGATTTAATAGGACTTGCTAAGTAAGTAGTTGAGAAGGCAGGAGAAGGAGAAGTCAAACTGAGTCTCTTGTTTTTAGCTTTAGTGAACTTAGAATGAGTGTGTCATTGAGGGAGCTGCTGTTGAGAGAAATTTTTTTCTTTTATACACATTAAGTTTGAAATGAATATGGGCAGGGCTGATATTAGCCATAATGTAAAGGTCGGCATGTATTTGAATGTCGTTGTCTGCTCAGCAAAGAAGCCAGAAGAAGAGATGCAGATCTGAGAGTGGTATACATGGGAGGTGACAATTGAAACCTTAAGAGTGGGTGACATTGGAAGGAAAGGAAAAAGTGATGAGAACTGAGCAACAAACTTTTGGCTCTATCCACATCTAAATAAAAATTGCAAATAAGCTGAATTCCTGCCTATAGGGAAATCACTGGATAAATTATGGTATAGGGAGTAACTTGCAGCTGCTTGAAGGTTCAGGCGGAACTGTATTACTAACTGGGAAAAGTGCCCATGATTTAAAATAAATTAGTAAATAATATATAACATATCATTCCTGTCATGATCATTTGTCATTTTTTGAAAACTCCTTCCTAGTTTGGAGGGAATATCTCTTTGTATGAGAGGCAACACCATTCCCTATTTATTACAGAAGCCTTGGTGGAAGAAATCCTCCCTCTTCTCTTCTCTCCTGGCAGCTAGAGCAAGGGCACTGTGAGCTGGGCTCCACCAGTGAGACATTCCTCTAGGTTCTGAATCTTAAGCTAATTGCTGTTAAGTAAAGGGGTAGTGAAGTTAGATTTACGACAGCCTCAATAGTGGCAGTAGTTTATTCTACTTAGCTTCATTTCGTTCCTGCTTATTTTTGAGCCTGGTTCTTTTAAAAATGTTTTTCCAATTTTTAGAATTGTAGTAAAAAAACACATAATGTAAAATTTACCATCTTAACCATCTTTAAGTGTACAGTTCAGTGGTATTAAGTACATTCATAATGTCGTGTAGCCCTCACCACTATCCATCTCCGTAATTCTTTTTTTTTTTTTCTTTTTAAATAAAATGGCCTGGGCCACAGACCACTGGGGCCCCTGCCAGCCTGGTCCTGCTCCGTAATTCTTTTCATATTGTAAAACTTAAACTCTATATATGTTAAGCAGTAACACCCTATTCCCTTCTCCCAGCTCTTGGCGACCACCATTCTACTTTCTGTCTCTAAGCCTGGCTCTTGCTTGAGCTGCCTTTTTTTGCTTATGTTAGCCAGAGTGGTTTCTGTTGCTAGTACCATTGACTCATACCCCATTTTTTGTTTGAAAGAAAAGCCAGGACATGTAAAATCCTATATGTTTTTCTTTTAACAGTTTAAAAGGCTACACACCACATTGGTTACAATGCTGTTATCAAGGCCTCGAAATTGGAGGGGGAGCAGCTAAAGAGGGGTCTGCATGAGGTGAGAGGAAACGGTTTTGTTGTAGGTGCTTCTGGTTTGTTTGGGTTGCATTGCAAGAAGGATGTACTTCTTTAGGGATTCAAATGCCTGAAAAAAATATTCAGAATGAAAAAATTGAAGCTAATACTTGCCTAACCTACTTTACATTATTGTGAAGGATTGTTGCAAAGATTAAATGCAACAGGGAGTGTGAAAATGTTCTGAAAATTATTAAGTGCTATTTGAAAACAGAAATTGTAATTTTTGAGTGTCATTTCAGTAGAGAGGGTAAAAGCCATTTTGGAAGGAGTTGAGCAATAAGTGCTAATAAAGTCAGAGACATGAATATTAGTTATTCATTGATTTGGCAGTGAAAGGATGAATAGAAATTAGATGATGGAGGAAACTATTCTCGATACCTTAATTGGAAAATTTCCTAACTTAAAAATTGTAAATGCCATAAATACCGACAGTTTCAATCTAGATTCAACAATTATTAACATTTTGCTACATTTGTTTTATCTATCTATATAAAATTTGGTTTTTTGTTAAACCATTTGAAAGCAAGTGGTAGGCATCATGACACTTTACCTGAAGTACTTCAACATGTGTATTTTAACAATAAAGACATTCTCCTACATAACCACAATACCATGTTCACACTTAGGAAAATTAATATCTTCTAATATCCATACCATATTCAGATTTCCCCAGTTCTAAAATATCTTTTTTTTTTTTTTTGTAGAACGTATTTCCTCAATTCAAGATCCAATTAAAATTTATACATTGCATTTGCTTGTTAAAGCTCAATAGTCTCTTTTTTTTTTTTTTTTTGCCCAGGCTACAGTGAGTGCCGTGGCGTCAGCCTAGCTCACAGCAATCTCAGAGTCCTGGGCTCAAAAGATCCTACTGCCTCAGTCTCCCGAGTAGCTGGGACTACAGGCACTCGCCACTATGCCTGGCTAATTTTTTCTATATATATTAGTTGGCCAATTAATTTCTTCCTATTTATAGTAGAGACGGGGTCTCCCTCTTGCTCAGGTTGGTTTCGAACTCCTGAACTCAAATGATCCCCACACCTCTGCCTCCCAGACAGCTAGGATTACAGGCGTGAGCAATAGTCTCTTAATTTACAACATTCCTCCTGTCCTTTTATCCCTCCACAATACTGACCTATTTTTTTTGTTTTGTTTTGAGTCAGAGTCTCACTCTGTTGCCCCGGCTAGAGTGCCGTGGCGTCAGCCTAGCTCACAGCAATCTCAGAGTCCTGGGCTCAAAAGATCCTACTGCCTCAGTCTCCCGAGTAGCTGGGACTACAGGCACTCGCCACTATGCCTGGCTAATTTTTTCTATATATTTTTAGTTGGCCAATTAATTTCTTTCTATTTTTAATAGAGAAGGGGTCTCGCTCTTGCTTAGGCTGGTCTTGAACTCCTGACCTTGAGCAATCCTCCCACCTCAGCCTCCCAAAGTGCTACCAAGGATTATAGGCATGAGCCACTGTGCACAATACTGACCTTTGAAGAGTCTAAGCCAGTTGTATTATTATAAAATGTCCTACATTCTGGATTTGTCTGATAATTTTTTCATGGTACAAATTTCACTTTTAATCATTTCAGATAACCTTTATCAGAAAGGATGGAGTTGGGGAAAGGAAAACTGCTCAGGACTGGACTGAATGCATTGTATCAAGCAATACACCCAATCCATGGCCTTGCCTGGACTGATGGGAGTCAGGTATTCCTAACGGATTTACAGCTTCACAATGGAGAAGCCAAGTTTGGGAACTCCAAAGTCATTGGACAATTTGAACATGTCTGTGGGCTGTCCTGGGCCCCAGCTGGTCCAACTGACATACCTGCTCTGCTTGCTGTCCGCCACGAGAAGCATGTCACTGTGTGGCTGCTGTGTCCCAGCACTATGGAGACAAGCAAATGGCTGATGTCTCAGACCTGTGAGATTAGAGAATCACTTCCTGTCCTTCCCCAGGGTTGTTTGTGGCATCCAAAAAATCCTGTCCTGACTGTGTTGACTACACAGGATGTTTCTGTTTTCCCTGATGTTCAGTATGACAGTTCCCGGGTAAAAGCAGACATCAGCATACTGAGCCACATTCACTGTGCCTGTTGGACCCAGGATGGCCAGAGGCTGGTGGTGGCAGTAGGCAGCAGCCTGCAGTCTTATATTTGGGACAGTGCTGAAAAGACTCTTCAGAAGTATTCCTTCTGCCCAGTGTTTGAAGTGGACAGCCGCATCTGCTCCATCAGTGCAACTGTGGACTCACAGGTTGCTATAGCCACTGAGCTTCCGCTAGATAAGATCTGTGGCCTAAATGCATCTGACATCTTTGACGTTCCCCCTAATGGTGAAGACCCTAATGGTGAAGACACTTCTATGTATAATTTCCCAGTTACTGGTGACGTGCCCTGTATGGATGAAGGTGCAACTGTTACTGAAACAAATTCTGAAATACCACTTTCTCCTTCATGTTTAGATCCTCTGGACCTCACTGGTATGCAGTTCAGTCAACATAACTCTGAGGGTAGTTCTCTTATTTCTCTAGGAAAAAAGGACTATCTGACAGGAACAGGCCAGGATTCTTCACATTTAGTCCTTGTGACCTTTAAGGAAGCAGTTCCCATGAGCAGAAAAGTCACCATTCCAGGCATTTTGGTTCCTGATCTAATAGCATTTAATCTTAAAGCACAGGTAGTGGCAGTGGCTTCTAACACTTGTAATATAATTTTGATCTATTCTGTCATGGTATGTCCTGTGCCAAGCATCCAGCAAATTCACCTAGAGAATACTGAAAGACCAAAAGGCATATGTTTCTTGACAGACAAATTATTATTGATTTTGGTGGGAAAACGGAAATTCATTGATACAGCATTTCCTCCTTCTTCAAAGTCGGATCAGTATGACATTCATTTGATTGTTAAAGAAGTAATGTTGGAAGAAGAACCTTCAGCAACCTCAAATGAAAGGCAGAGTGCCTACTCTACTTTCAGGGCTCCGTTAAATAAAGCAGATAGAAAACAGTTAATTGAAGGTCTTTCCCCAGATTTTTGTTACCAGAACACAGGGCTCTTCTTAACAGCTAATACCAGTAGTCAGAGTGGAAGTCCTGGAGGAAAGCTTATTGAAGAAATCCAGAGACCTTTGTCCAGCATCTGTGATGGCCCCATAGCCCCAGAGACACTCGACACTAAGCCAGTTAGCCAGTCAGAGACACTGCCCAAGCACAACAGCACACCCGACCACACCAGCACACTGGAGCCTACTAGTTTGTCTCAAAGACAGAACTTGCAAAGGGAAAAGGAAACTTCTCAGCTACCTAAGGAAGTGGAAATTTTATCTAGGAAACTCACCGAAATGCAGCAATGTCTTTCTGAACTCACACACTTTCTACATAGTGGGAAGAAACCTTCTTCAGCGTATCCACTCTTTCAGGATCCTCCTTATGTTCACATTGTTTACCAGGTAACCTCTCCTTGGGGAGCTACCTCTGTGTGCAAAGGCTCCTGCAGCCAGTGGGTATTGCAAGAAACGTGTCTTTTTTTTTTTTTTTTTTTTTTGAGACAGAATCTCAGTCTCTTGCCTGTGCTAGAGTGCCATGGCATCAGCCTAGCTCACAGCAACCTCAAACTCCTGGGCTCAAAGCGATCCTCCTGCCTCAGCCTCCCGAGTAGCTGAGACTACAGGCATGTGCCACCATGCCTGGCTAATTTTTTCTATATATTTTTAGTTGATGAATTAATTTCTTTCTATTTATAGTAGAGACGGGGTCTCACTCTTGCTCAGGCTGGTTTGGAACTCCTGACCTTGAGCGATCCACCCGCCTCGGCCTCCCAGAGTGCTAGGATTACAGGCGTAAGCCACTGCGCCCGGCCGAGAAATGTGTCTTGATGAACAACATGGTACTCTAATTGAACTTCAGTGATCTAGGCTTGTTACGTTACAGGCAAGTTGGTGTACCTTTGCAAGTTACTTAGTTGTTATCCTGCCAACCAGATGGGCACACATACTAGTATACACCATGGTTTTATCATGTGCATGGTGTGAAAAAAATGAATGGTTGCACTCTTTCTGGCAATTTATATTTTGGAAACAATATTTCAATCATATTATTTCATTGTGAAAACCTTTTTCTTTTTTTTTTTTTTTTTTTTCTTTTTTTTTTCACAACCCAATACCACATATGAAAAAACCTTTTTCTTATGTAATGGATATACTCTTTCAGTTATAAAAAATGTTATGCTTGGCCCGGCGTGGTGGCTCACGCCTGTAATCCTAGCACTCTGGGAGGCCGAGGCGGGCAGATGCTCAAGGTCAGGAGTTCGAAACCAGCCTAAGGAGAACCCGTCTCTACAAAAATAGAAATAAATTATTGACCAACTAAAATATATATACAAAAAATTAGCCGGACATGGTGCACATGCTGTAGTCCCAGCTACTCAGGGGCTGAGCAGTAGGATCGCTGAAGCCCCGGAGATTGAGGTTGCTGTGAGTGCCAGGCCGGAGCCACGCACTCACTCTAGCCTGGGCATACAAAGTGGAGACTCTGTCTCAAAAAAAAAAAAAAAAAAAAATGTTATGCTCATTTAAAATGTTTGTTTTTCCTTTTTTTTTAGAAACAGGGTCCTGCTCTGTCACCCAGGCTGGAGTGCAATGGCACAATCATAGTTCATTGTAACTTCAAACTCCTGGGCTAAAACAACCTTCCTGCTTCAGCCTCCTGAGTAGCTGGGACTACAGGCATGTAACAACGATACCTGGCTAATTTTTAAATTTTTTTGGTAGAGAAAGGGTCTTGCTGTATTTCTGAGGCTGGCCTTGAACTCCTGGCCTCAAGCATTCCTCCCACCTTGGCCTCTCAAAATGCTGGGATTACAGGTGTGAGCCACCGCACCTGGCCCAAAATGTTTTGATGCATCTGTTTATGCATGCATATACAAGCATATAATGTTCTATAAGTGGAATCATATCATACATGTTTTTATCATGGATGCTTTCCTTCTACATCAAATGTGGCCCTGCCTCATCCTCCCCATAACCCATTTTTAACCAGCAGCTTAAAGGGGGTCCTTCCATATTTTCCTCTGCACTCATATAATCCAACACAGATCTTTGTATACATAAATATACAGGTATGCATGGGATGGTTTGTCATCATTTTTACAAAAATGGGGTCATAAGCCTGATGTGCTCCTGTAGTCCCAAACTACTCGAGGCTGAGGTGGGAGGATTGTTTGAGCTCAAGAATTCAAGGCCAGCCTGGGCAACATAATGAGACCCCATTTCTTAAAAAATGGGGTCCCAGCCTGAGCAACACTGAGACCCCGTCTCTACTAAAAATAGAAAAAATAAGCCAGGCATGGTGGCACTTGCCCTGTCATCCAGCTACTCGAGAGGCTGAAGCAGAAGGATTGCTTGAGCCGGAGTTTGGGTTGCTTGAGCTAGGCTGACGCCAAAGGCACTCACTCAGCCTGGGCAACAAAGCGAGACTCTGTCTCAAAAAAAAAAACCAAACAAACAAACAAAAAAACTTACATATGTGGGATCTAATTCTGGGTTCTCAATACCATAACTAATGCTTACCTCTTTATAACTTTACCAACACCACACTGATTTTATTACTGTGGACTTATATACATTAGTTTTGAAAGATATTTGCAGTATTAGTATTGAAATCAGTGGTATACTTGCATTATTTCAGGACAAAAAAAATGAAATAAGTGGTAAATAATATATAAATTATTTAAATAATGATGTTTGACCAATTCAAGGATGTAGGCTTTTAAAAGGACCAAATAATAATTTAAAACACTACATTTTAAAAAAAACTATGAAAAATTTCAAATAAAATATTTTTATTATGAAAAATGGTAAACATATGGAAAGACTATATATATAATGAAACCCTATATTTGCATATCACTGTATTTTTTTGTTTTGTTTTGTTTTGGTTTGTTTTGAGACAGAGTCTCGCTTTCTTGCCTAGGTATAGAGTGAGTGCCGTGGCGTCAGCCTAGCTCACAGCAACCTCAACTCCTGGCTCAAGCGATCCTCCTGCCTCAGCCTCCGAGTAGCTGGGACTACAGGCATGAGCCACCATGCCCGGCTGATTTTATATATAATTATATTAGTTGGCAATTAATTTCTTCTATTTTATGGTAGAGACGGGTCTCGCTCAGGCTGGTTTTGAACTCCTGACCTTGAGCAATCCGCCCGCCTGGCCCTCCAGAGTGCTAGGATACTTACCACCCGCGCCCGCCTCATATCACTGTATATAACAGTTGTTAAATCTTGCCATAATTGCTTTTTGTGGTGTCTGTTTTCTAAGATTTAGATAAAGACATCATGCTATTTCATCCTTAAATATTTCAGGATGCTGTTCTAAAATGTAAGCACATTTTTCGTAATAACCACGATACTGTTATCACACCTAATAACATTAAAAATAATTAACTAATCCATCTAATACCTAGTCCACATTCAAATTCCCCAAATGTCCCAGAATGTGAAATCACTGTTAAGATTATTAAATAGACTAAAACAGATTATTTTATCAATATATCTTTCTAATTTTTTGAGACAGAGTCTCCCAGGCTTTCTATTTTAAAACATTGTAAATGTAAAAATACTGTATCTTAAAGTTAAAAGAAATATGTTTTCTTGCCTTTTCAATTCCTCAGTTTCTTAATTTATAATGACGTAATCCAACCAAGCCATTATTAGTAGTTAATCTCTGGAGGGTAGAATTGGG